ATGATTGGTTGACTTGATAGCCCATAGAAACAAGTGATGCAACTACTTGCGACAAAACGTTCTGATCTTCATAGCCCTTTCGCGTGGATGACATATTGACTACGTTTTCGAGGATACCGTATAGAGGTCGGTAGACGTCTATGAAGGAACAGAATGTACTGATATGCGAGGCGTTGCGCAAGGACTGTGAGCTTTGCCAGTCCTGCTGTAGTGTAGAGAATCCTGTAGCATAATTAGTGAAAGTGGATATTATGTGCATCTATAGTATCTACCTGGACACGGAGAACCTGCAACAATCAAGTCAACCTCACCGACTCGAGGAATGAACTTTTGATCTTTGCCTCTAAGTACCGTGTCAAGGTAATCATCAACAGAACCACAGTATATATGGAGGTTTTCTGGGTCTTGTGCGTTCGCCCGCTGTGTATGACAAGCTTCAGCGCTGAAGTCTACTGCGGTATGAATCTTGACAGCACCACCTTCCTCGAGTCCTCGGTCGAGTGAGCCCCCGCCACTAAAAATGCTTAGACCTCTAAGCGTTCCTTCAGACCTCTCGAGAACATCAGGGCCTTGCTTGAATGACTTAGGAAGGTTCTGTAGATAGACGAGGTGCTGCTTGCCGTTTGCTTCTACAAGTCCCATGGCCATGAACCAGAAATCACCAGCACCTCCAAGGTTATAAGGGAAGGGCACCTGGTTGCTTTCAATGTCCGACTTTGTCAAAATCTTTACAGAACAACGCCGTTGAATTCGAGACATAGCCAAAGTCTCATACTGGTCGGTAAAAACTAGCTCGTTGGGGGCTATGTCCACGCGGTGGGCTCTCGTTGCTATCTCAGCACAGTCGCGCTTAAGTCGAGACATTCTTCGTACAGTGACTAAGCCAGTGGCTTGGTGGATGTTATGGATGAGAACTGGTTCTAACGGCTCTTCTTCATTCAACGTGCTTCCCATGTAGACCGTATCGCCAGGGCAATGGAGGAAAACATCCTTCTTTCGGCAAACGCATGTCTTGTGCTCGTCTCGCAGGCTGACAAAAGCGCTATCTTGGGTGATGTAGGTTTGCCGAATGAACAAGCGGTCTTTCTCGATTGAAGGCGGACACCAATCCAGATTGTACTTGCCCTTGATATCTGTTGACAAAAGCTCCCCTTCCGTGCAGTTGCAGTTGTCTGAAAGAAATACTTCGTTCTTGAAGGGATATTCCGCTTTGTAGATATTTGTTTCGCAGCTTTGATAGATCCACAGTACGTAGAGTCTTTGCGTACCATCATCTAAGAGTTGTGTATCCTGGACGTACGCTAGCCAGTCCCAGGACGTGTTCTTCCAGATCATTCCATCGTTTTTTTCTGGTGTGAACACCACTACGTCACCCACTCTTACTAATGAGGCTCCATACGGCTGGCATCTGTTCAACGAGTGTAGGTGGTTACGTGACCCTAAAGCATGTGGGGTTTGGGCAATTCCAAGCTTGCGTTTTCTGCGCTCCTGCTCGAGCTGTACACTTCGTACTGGGCACCTCTCCCGAATCTGTTCGCCGAAGTACATGTGCTTGAAGCAGGCATACACGTCGGGAGTAGCCAAGGTATAGTCAAGGATCTCTTGCTGCGGCTTAACGAATGTCAAACCTTTAGCCATGCATTCGGCCCATAATGGTTGGTTCAGAAGTTGTTTCGACGTTGACAGATTGAAGGCCTGATGATAAAAATACTCTATATAGGCGTGAAGTGCAATGCGGAAGTCTTTCTGCTGTCTAAACGCTGTGTGCCATTGTTTAAACTCGTTGTTGTTAGGAAACCGGCCAGTGAGCCAGGAATGAAATGCCTTACGGAAGCTTAATAGAGTGACTGAGTGTACTGGCTGCTCTTCGATGTAATCCAGAACGTGCTTGCCGAGTTGAGCCACCCAGAGGAATGGTTCATGGAATCTTTGGTAGTTAGGAGTTGCATTCCTGAGCCGATACCATATTTCGAGCGATTGATCCTTGCTTGAGGCGAATGATCGTATGTAGGCGATAATCCCGGGATTTTCTTCATCCCCGTATCCCTCGATAGAGCAGTCTTGAATTCCCACTGCTTGGATGTAGTGATTGACTGTGCCCACACGAATGAACCCGTCGAAGCACAGCTTCTTCGAAACCGGGACTTCGAGGTAATGTAGGCTGATAAGTTCGTATGCTCTTTTGTCAGTTGTTGGTGCATGATAGATCTCGAAATCATGAACATCGACAATGAGAAGTGGTTTGGTGGTGGGACCACATTGATCTTTTGGCTGTCGCTTCCACTGGCGCTCCTAATCAATTATAAGTCCCATTCTTTTGAGCGTGGGTAGAACTCTTTACCTTGATACTCTCCAAGGCTTTCGACTCGGGCGTGATAGAGACTGGAGGTGCCCAGCTCCGAGAACGAGCAAAGTCACTCTTATTTAGCCGGCTAACAGGGGTCTTTATATTCGCAACATTTGTGGTATTCGATGCGCGTGATGAGAGCGCTGACCGTGACGGCTCCGTGTGATCCGTGATGGCTGATATCCTGCTCTTGAAAGCCATTGCGTGCGCAGACTGAGAGCAAAGAAAGGAAACTAGAAAGAGGGAAGTCGCAGTACTAGTATTACCACGGAAAAATTAGGCACTACCAATCTCACGGTAAGACCTGAAACGTGACAGTGAGAGCGACAGTGAGAGAGACGGTGAATGTGAAAACAGAAAAAAGTGACGATGAACAGCAGCCGTGAACGCAGCTCTCGCAATGACTTCTGTAACAGCATACGCCATCAAACAACCCGGGCGTCCAGAAAGTGCGACCTGTCAAACTTCAACGCACGTAAACAAAGACGTCTACAAACAAATCTGCAGAAAGGACAAGTATTTAGAAAGAGGATTGTGCAATGTCTTGCTGTGAGGGTCTAACCGACTCAGAGTCGGTACCATATTTCGAGCGCACAATGTGGGTCACCAGGCTTCACGATACAGGATTCCATGGGGCAAGCGCGGAGGGGAGATGACCGCGGCAGGCGCACTAGCCACCGGTATGGAACAATGGATCGGCATATGTAGAAGACAGGATGGTCGGAACAATGCGTGTGATGCGCGCCTACAGAACAGTATTGCAGTGTGTGGGTGGGAACAAGCAACATCTTGTGTGAGATGAGATGGAAGTTAGTGTGCAAGAGCGAAGACCAAAATGGTTTCTCCAGCACTGGCGAATGACAAACAGCCCTTCAATACCTTTGCTCCAGAAGCGGTGAGTAACACGGTAAGCATTGCGGGGTAGTCGACAGCTTTACCACTGAGGTCTGCAAAGCAGTCACCAGTATGTCGACGGTCTGATTGTACAATCAAGTGCATATATGCACATCAAGTCGTCAATTAAAACAAACTAGTTATCTATACTCATGCCCGACGCCCTCCCTGAGTTGTACATCCATGATAGAAGACCGCTAGATGAACGCCACCCGCCCCGCATGTAGCTCCATTGAACGAAAAAGAAAGTCGACTGCTTTTGCACAGTCCACTTGATCTACCCTCAAGCCTAGTCGTTATGTGGGGCATAATCCCAGATATGGGAGGAATCATACGACTCGGTTTCCTCCTTTCTCGCTTTTGGATCTTCGCCCCTCTTTTTTGCGTCCTCCCTGAGTGCGTCTAGTTCGCGATCCATGGAGTTGATTTCGACTCTCAGATCGAGTATCTTCTTCAACTCTTCTTGTGTGAAGTCAGGATCTTTCCCATCCTTCTTGGCGTCTTCTTCCCTGTGGCTGAACTTGTCCAGTTGATTGAATTTTTCGTTACGTGCGTCCTGCTTCTTCATATAGTCTTCGAACTTTTGGCGTCCGCCGAAACAGATGCCGTAACCGTCGCAGTAGCAGGTGTTCTGGGCTGGGCAGTGCACCTCGTGGCCAGTAAATATGTAATGCCAGATGTATTCGAAGATGCGGCCAGAGAACTGGTCATCCATGCCGGTTGTGAGCAGCCACTTGCGGTAGTGGATGAAGCGCTCGATGGGCACCTCGCGTATGCGCTGTTTGGACACTGCGAATTGCGCACAGCAGATTCCTGATATGGATGGTGGGATTGGCGCGCCTGGGTGAATCTCCTCCCAGATGGCCCTGCGCCAGTATATCTCTTCGGGCTTGCGGAAGAAGTCGAAATCGCCGCCGGGTCGGTCCATGTGAATCCAGTCAGGGCAGCCGGGGTCGTGGTGGCAGCGCACGTTCATGTAACCTAGGCGTGCCACTCGCTCGTGGTTGAGGCGCTTGATCATTTGCGCCGCGTCCAGGCCAAGGAGCATGTTGTTGTGCCATGCATGACGGTGGGCATGCATGAAGATGGATGTATCGGGAAGGTCGTCGTAGTGGTCAATTATGTAGGAAAGGTATACCTGGCGCTTCTATTAGGCTATGTGCTCGATTGGATAGACAGGTCTGCATACCATGGCCTCACGGCCCTTGTTCTTGGGTATCTTGTGCACCGCATTGGGGTTGTCCACTTCGTACACAACTAGCGGCGCATCGGGTATCTCCTCAGCCATCCAGCCAATATCCTCCTTCTTTGTCTTGGGAATAATGATCTTGTACGTGTAGTTGCTGCCTGGCGGCTTGCCCACGCCATCCGAGAAGCGCAAGGGGAGGCCAAAGTCGAGTGGATCACCGCGCAACGATGGCCGGTCGGCTTGGAGGGAAGTCGCGGGTTTCCATGGTGCCAAGGACGAGCCAGCGCCCGGTGTGTTGTGGGAATACCACCAGATGAGGCAGAGAGCAAAGAAGACGAAGAGAAAGGGAACTATCCGTGGGGGTCCACTGAGCATGGTGGCGGGTGATGTTTGCGGTGACGCGACGTGTTGTCAATACACTCACCGCATTGGGGTTTATGGAGGAAGAGTCGGGGCGGGTGGGATGATCATTTGCGCGGGAAACAAGGCGGAACGGTCGTCGTCAGCCATGCCCCAAGTTTTGGTGGAGCAGCCCTACAAAGATTAGACCTTGTTTCGTGTCAGTGGCAACATCCCTGTTCCTCGGCCTCGTAGCTACAGTAGATTCACTGTCTTAGCCAGTGCAGTGTAACACCTTGGCAGGGGAACCGTTGAGCATCATATTCATAACGTCTGTGTCATCCTTCTCTACCACCTGTTCGTTCCATGTCGATATTCTTAACCCCTGATCCATTTGCATGTCAGTGGCACAGCTGTACGAAAATAGACACGGTAGATACGAGAGGCGCACCAAATCTGCCACAAGCGCTGCAAGCCTCTCAACAGGGCTCGTATGCGCAGGGACAGTTGCTGCATCCGCGCTGGAGAGACCGAAGTCAGGACGAGTTTGGAGGTAAACAATGCATGTGCAGTAAGACGACGTCGGCTATAGTTTCCGTCGACGGACAAAGCAACCACGTCTGTCAACACCATGTTGTAATACATACTGAGTCCAGTCTTGTTAGCAACACCATAAGTCTGACGCGTGATGTGAGCAGACAAGACAACGACACGTGACATTGAGCGCCTTGTATCAGCGCTTCACGAGATATCAAGACTGTTCGCCATTCATCCACCCGTCATGATGAATCCGTGTTAGCTTCATATCTTTAAACAGACAGCCACGTGTGGTAGCAGCATATGTACCCTGGCTACTCGCTAACATCCGAGCCGCTACGAGAAGGTGAGAAGCTTGAGATCAACCCTCGGAACGTTCCGTCGGAAGTCAAGGAACGGAGCTTAGGGAGTGATAACATGGCTGCGCTTTTTGTAAGAATCGCCTGCCGTAAAGTTGCAGGAACAGGACACTTGGGAAACATTCACAAGACAAACCTCGTATTTCTGTCCACGTCTAGGACTGGTCTTCATTTTCGCCAGACACGTTTGATGTGTTGATTGCTGGTGAATCACTTGTACTCATCAGGCATTGTTGCCCCCCCCTGAAAGATAGCCTCTGGCCGTTATGCTACACGTTGCAACTTCTCGGAATCCGTATTGAATCTTATACCGCGAACGTTTCCCCGCAAGCTTGACGAAGCCGCACTAGTTGCGAGGAATATCGCGCACATCAAACAAGATGAGGGCTTCAGCCTCACTACTGAGTGCGAAGCTTCTCCTGGCGCTGAGCGCCTTCAGGCACATTGGAGCTTATGCGAGTCCAAGCATCAACGTCGCTTTACGCGCAGCCTTTAGCCCCGCACCATACCTAGTAGAGCTGCTGTAAGCTTCTCCAATTTGAAGACATTCCTTACATCTAACAATTACTAGGGAAACCGCTGCAGAAGAGAACGCGACCGCCTACTACCCAATCCTCGACCGCGTAGCTGAAGGCTACTTTGACGACAAGTCTACCGATCAAGAGCTATACACGGCCTTTGTAGACCTACTACGAATTGATGGACACATTACTGCACCTGAAGCCCTAGCTTCCTTCCAATTTGCCCTATCAGTCCGATCGGCTGCGCCGCGGATAGAAGCACACCACCAGTACTACAAGACGTCGGCCGAACCTTCTCTTGTCGCTGAACAGACCGACGCATGCGGTATATGGGTATCGTTTCATGGCAAGCAATACTGCTCGGTACAGCTGGATGAGCCGTTTGGTAACATTCATAGCGAACGGTGCGTATCTCATAGCTGTTTAACCAGAAAGACACTGATGAGTGAATAGTACATACCAATTACCCTTCGACCGCATACTTGGTAACAGCTCGGCTTTGCCTGCTATCCTCTACGCCGATATCACTTCACCCGGGTTCAAGAAATGGCACAAGACGTTGAGCAGCACAGCCAGGGAGGGGAAGACATCCTACCGCGTCCGACACAAGCCTTCAGCCAAGGCCTCAACTTCGCCGTTGATCGTGAATGGCTATGGCGTCGAGCTACAGCTGAAGCGGACCGACTACATTGTCATTGACGACCGACAAGCCGTGGAGGGGGAGAGTGCTGCTCAGAAGCCGATGGGTACAGAGTTGAACGACGATGAGGAGGTTGCGGACCTCAGGCCATTGTCCAAAGAGGAGGTATCGAATCTTGGCCTCAAAGCTGCTAGTTTCGTGGCCCAGAGTGAACAGCCCATGGACACTCTTATGAAGTTGATACAAGACTTTCCCAAGTATTCATCCATCATCGCTGCTCAAGACGCCTCTGAAGAGTTCATTGAGGAACACTTGAAGAATCGCGAGCAACTTCTCTCTGCGGGCCTCAGCGTCATATGGATCAACGGTGTACAGATCCCAGCTCGCGAAGTCAACCCGTACTCTTTGCTAGCGCATCTGCGACGTGAGCGAAAATTAGTCACTGGTATCCAGAAACAAGGTCTTACTGGATCTGAGGTCATTTCCCTGTTGTCGCACCCAGCCATCGCAGAGACGCAAACAGAAGATGAGCCACAGCGCTATGACTTTAGGGACACATCTGAAGGCGGCAATGTCATTCTCTGGTTGAACGATATCGAAAAAGACACTAGATACGAGACCTGGCCTGCTGATCTCCGGGCCGTGAGTAAATCTTCACAAAACTGTTGACTGTGGTGCTGACCCTTGCTCCAGTTGCTCCAGAGAACTTTCCCTGGCCAATTGCCGTCTTGTCGTCGAGACATACACAATGCCATCTTCTCCATCGACCTAACTTTTGCAGATGAAGTGAGTGATCTGCTGAATGTCGTCCTTAGTCTCATTAAGCGCGGCATCCCGATGCGCTGGGGTATTGTACCTCGAACTACTGGGAAAGGCGCGCTAGAGCAAGCCAAGATAATCTACCACTTACTCGAGGCATATGGCGTCGATGCCGTAACTGTGTATCTCGAAAAGGTTAGTAGTCATTGTTGTGCGTCCGAATCCTACACTGACATGCGTTGCAGTCCTTACAGGATAAGAAGCTGGCACGTCCAGACAAAGCCATATTTGCCGCGATTGTCAAAAGTGCCCCGATCCTTGACGAGCAGCAACCTCTCGATTTTGACGATGTGATCAAGTCAGAAAGCCTCGATCAGCGCGTTGCCGGTGCGAAACAGTACTTGAAGCGTCTCTCAGCAGAAGGCCCTAAAGCTCCAATCTTCGTAAACGGTGTTCCCATTCCACTTGGTGATGAGTGGCTATCTGCCGTTAGTCAAAGAGTTGGCATGGACCTTCGTCTGGTGCAAAAGGGAGTCTTTGAGGGGGTCCTCAACGATGACAGCTGGGTGCCGCAATTGTTCCTCTTCCAGGCTGCCAACAAGCGCAACCCTGTTATCATCCCAGAGAACGAGAAGAACATCACAGTCCTCAACATGGCTGATTTCCAAGAAATCCATGGAGAGGCTTTTAACAAGATGCCTCGAGTCCGTGCATCAGATTCTGCCAGCAAGAGTGACTGGGTGCACATTACGTTGGTCGCAGACTTCGACTCGGTGCCTGGATCCGCTCTTCTTAAATCATTGGCGAACTTCCGTGAAGCCAACCCAAATGTTGAGGCGGTTTTGATACACAATCCCCAGACTGGCGCGGAGCAGTCCAACACGTCAGAAGACCTATTAGAGGCTTACACCAAGTCAGGCCAGGAACTTACAAGTGAAGCTTTGATGGAGCTCCTGGCCCGGGATGCCAATCCCAGAGCTGTGCCCGCCGACTCCACAGCATTCTGGAAGACGGCTGAGCCAATCTACGATGCTTTTGGTCTCAAACCAGGACAGCACGGTCTTCTAGTCAACGGACGTTATGTTGGCCCTATTGCAGATGACTACGCGTTTTCCAATGACGATATGGAGACCTTGGTGACTTATGAAACAAACAAACGCATCGAGCCTCTGAATAAGGCACTCCAGGGCCTTGAGCTCTTGGACAAGATTGCCTCGCCTTTCGATATTGCCAAAGTTCAGTCGCTAGTAGCACTCTCAACGGTATCGGATGTGCCAGAAGGTATGTTTGAAACCGCATCGACACTGAGAATCAGCACATACAACAGCTGGGCCGCAGAGCACACCGCTATCGTCAAGGGAGACCAAGATAAAGCTATCTTCCATATCGTAGCTTCTGTAGATCCGGCTACCGAGCTGGCGCAGAAATGGGTCCCGATTTTGAAGACATTGAGCGACATGGATGGTGTGCATCTAAAGCTCTTCTTGAACCCTGGACAAATGCTCCAGGAACTCCCTGTAAAGCGATTCTACCGCTATGTCCTCGAGGCCCGACCCCACTTCAACTCTGACGGGTCTGTCGGCAGTTTGGCGGCGCACTTCTCTGGTATTCCGAAAGAAGCTTTGTTGAACCTCGGTATGGATGTCCCTCCGTCGTGGCTAGTCGCACCGCAAGAGTCTATTCACGACCTGGATAACATCAAACTCAGCACAATTCCGGCGGGAACCAACATCGATGCCATTTATGGACTGGAGAGTATCCTCATTGAAGGACACTCTCGCGACACAACTCTTGGCGGTCAAGCACCTCGTGGAGCTGAAGTCGTCCTCTCTACCGAGAAAGATCCACACTTTGCAGACACGATCATCATGGCCAATTTGGGATACTTCCAGTTCAAGGCCAATCCCGGCTTCTACAACATTCAACTGAAGAGCGGTCCCTCGCAGGACATCTTCAACTTGGATAGTGCTGGTACGAGTGGCTGGGCACCTCAGCCAGGTGATGAGACTACTGAGATCGCTCTCATGAGCTTTCAAGGAGCTACAATCTTCCCTCGGTTATCTCGTAAGCCTGGCCAGGAAAAGGCCGATGTACTTGATCCAGGGGAGTCGCTTGCGTCTGAACTTATTGGCAAAGGCGCACAGAAGGTCAACAGCTTTTTCGGCAAGATGGGATTAAACATCAACTCCGAGAAGGTCTTCCAGAAAGGCGCAGACTTGTTAGCGGGGGGCAAAGCAGTGAAGAAAGGTACCCAAGCCGACATCAACATCTTCTCCGTCGCTTCTGGTCACTTGTATGAGCGCATGTTGAACATCATGATGGTCTCCGTCATGAAGCACACCAACCACACAGTCAAGTTCTGGTTCATCGAGCAATTCCTTTCACCGAGCTTCAAGTCTTTCCTCCCACATATCGCTGCTGAGTACGGATTCGAGTACGAAATGGTCACATACAAGTGGCCACATTGGCTTCGGGGACAGACTGAAAAACAGCGTGAGATCTGGGGTTACAAGATCCTCTTCCTGGACGTGTTGTTCCCCTTGGATCTCAAAAAGGTCATCTTCGTCGACGCGGATCAGATTGTCAGGACAGACATGTACGAGCTCGTGCAGCATGATTTGCAGGGCGCGCCATATGGTTTTACACCCATGGGCGACTCACGCACTGAGATGGAAGGTTTCCGATTCTGGAAGACTGGCTATTGGGCTAACTTCTTACGTGGCCGTCCATACCACATCTCCGCGCTCTACGTTGTTGATCTTGTTCGTTTCCGTCAGCTCGCAGCCGGAGATCGACTACGCCAGCAATACCACTCCCTCTCTGCTGATCCCAACTCCCTTTCCAACCTGGACCAGGATCTGCCCAACAACATGCAATTCAATCTCCCAATCCACAGTCTACCACAGGAATGGCTCTGGTGCGAGACCTGGTGCAGCGACGAGGATCTGGCCAAAGCAAAGACTATCGACTTGTGCAACAACCCTCAAACCAAGGAACCGAAGCTGGATCGTGCGAGAAGACAAGTTCCAGAGTGGAACGTGTACGATGAGGAGATTGCAGCGCTGGCGAGACGCGTCAAGGGAGAGAAGAAGGCTGCAGAGGTGGTAGATGTACAGGAGCAGGAGCAGCTTAGGGAGAAGAAGGAGAAGGATGCCGAGAAGAAGGTAGAGCACAATGAGTTGTAACCAGGTTTAGTAGAGTATGATGTATATGAAATAGGCCAGGCAAAAATAGTTACGCTCCCAAGATAATAGTGATGATGTGCCTCACAATCAGCCTTTACTCACGCCTTCTGTCAATACCATCTTTGCGTGTATCCCAATCTAACATCGCAAAACTTTCCCTTGGGAACCAAGCACCAACACTCCGACGTCTGAGAACCCCTCCCCGTCGCTGATCCGCCCAACTGGGCCCTTTTAGTACCACCACCTCAAAAGGCCCGACAGAGCCGTCTCTCCCGAACGCCACAAACGATGCGGCGATGCAATCAATCATGCGCAACGACCAACCCACACCCACCCAATGCTGTCATCGTCCCTCTAGACACTTGTTTTTTCACAGTTCCAGATGTACAGTAGGCGCATAACAGGTTTTCAGTTGAGACATGGTGGATGGGGGGAAAAGAAGGATATCTCGGCATGCTTGCCGCACGCGTTCCGGTTACTCGGCCCCACTAGCGTCATCTGCGATGCTGGGCATCTGGGTGTGTCTGGAAGGGGGTATGATGACATAGATGGTGGGTTAGGGTGTGAAAGTGAGGGTGGGTGAGGTATGGCGTCACTGGAGACGTTTGACGACGTAATGGGAGGGTTGAGATGCTACCTAGGTATGTATATAAGGGAGGAGCTTTCGTGGGCTGTTGTTTGTATTCAACATCACAAAAGCTATACATCACATTCTACCTCCTACTTTAAACAGTACTATCTACAATCTACAAACCAAACAAACGACGAGACGAACATACCAAAAATGTCAGGACAAGGAATCTCCCACCAAGGCATCACAGCCCCTGGTCTCAGCGAGGCAGACCAGAACATCAACAACACCGTTGAAGACATCAGCAATCAGGCACGCGGCCACAAGGCGAATCTGAGTAACCCTAGTATGTTCCCCCCTCCCTTCACCTTAACCCCCTGTGTGTGTGTGTGTGTGTGTGTGTGTGTGTGCGTGCCTTTACCCCATCCCCTTTCCACCCTCTCCGTATCATCGCAGGTACTATGGAAAGCAAGTGCTGACAAAGCTACCAGACACGAGCGAAGAGTCTAAGAAGAAGAGCGCAGAGGCACTCGAAGCGTTGGGTGGAGAGGATGCGTTTTATGGAAAGCAAGGCAAGGGCGAGTAAAGTCGTCAATTCAAAGCATGGAAATAAGAAAAACGAGGCTGGACTGCATATGATACCATTGATATGAGAATATGAAACTTCTTTAAAAATTGAAGTTTCTTGTGCTGTATCAGTCTGTGTGATCTTGTGGTTGATTGTAGGGGGGAGGGGAGAAGGTGGGTAGGGTGACGTCATTCCCGAAGATCTGTACTTCACCTGTGCTACAACACGAAACTTTTCTAGTGTTGGTGGAAGATTTTTTTGGATTGCGAAGGTAATGGTGTGGTGCTCTCCACGAATGATATGATTGTAGTCTCTTTCTACGAGCTACTTCACTATCTTTAAAGCTCTTCTCCTATCATACTAAGCCTAGACTAGTACCAGCCATAACATCCAAAAACAAACCTGAAAGCCACAAAATCACATAAACTGTGTATCTTATTGACTCCGCTCCTTCAGATTCGTGATGATTAGTAGCAAAATAGCATTTGTTATAATCACAAGTCCTACAAACATACACTACTACATCCCCAATACTCTGTCCACAAAGGGTACCACCATTCTAACTCCACCCACGTCTACCCAACACTCTACTCCCTCCCCCTTCACCTCCCAGCCATCCTGCAAAAAAATACAAAAAACATACAACAGCGGGGATTCGCCAGTGGTCACCCACCTGACTACTAATCCGCCGGTACACCGTTTAAGTACCGCTGAGCGAACGGGAAGCGCTGTTTTCGGTGTCCTATGGTCGTATGTAGAGGAAATCGTAATTGTAAGAGTCAACTATGTGATTTCTGTCACCATACTGTCCTTCAGTGATTGCAGAAACATGGACTTTGGGTAGAGGGGAAAGGAAATCACCATGACTGTGCCGGTGATAGAGAGAGGAACAAATGTTGTATTAATCTGGGAAGCGGTGTGTTTGTTGGTGGAGGGTGTAAAAGGGAGATGATGAGTGTGGGATAGGTTTGGGGAGGCAGAGAGATTCTCAAAGTGTGAAGATGACCAAGACCACAGGGAATCATAATCACTGCAGTACAAGTCAATGTTTGAATGTGTTGTTGATTTCAGACTTCAAATACTACAATAACTAGAGGGCCCAGTCTTTCGCATGCGATGTAAGAATCATTCCGAGGAACGACCATCGCAAAGCTTTTCGCCTTGACTGGAGGATTGCGGGGCTGCCATCTCTCAATGATGCCCATAAGAGCGAGAGTCGAGCGATTGCGTCCTGCTCAACACAGGTACATCATCTGTCTCAAGGTCCTCGGAATCTTCAAACCTTACGACCGACTTACTCCTCACACAAGACCCTGGACTGCTTGGTATCTAACCTCCCTTTCGCGGCGCATTGGGGATTGCAACCTGAGCGCGAGCGGCCCCTCCAGAGGAACCGCCCTTCTTACGCTGGTAGTAGTGTTCGACAATCTTGCGGACGTGCTTCTCAGCCTGTGCCTTGTCGGCAGGCGCTTTGATGCTGTCGAGTGTGTATGGTGCCTGGATCAGGACGGAATCACTGACCACGATTTGGGTGTCTGCCCAACGGGTTGGTAGGCTGTTGTAGATGTATCAGTGTTCTATTTCGGTATGCAGACTGTAATTGCATGACTCACGTCCTTGATATGGCATCAAACAGCTCTTGCGCTTCCTGACTGACACCCTTGCCCTTTTGCGCATCCTTCTTCTTCATCTCGCGGATAGTCTGTTCCTCCCGTGCCAGGATCGCAGCCATGTCCACCTTGGAGATGCTGGGAAGCGCTCCATCATAGGCTCCTGTAGACTCGGGCGCCCGTTCCCCTGTGCCAATAACCTCAAACGATTCTATGTGTGCAAATGGGATGATGTGGTAGTCCCCGGGTTGGGTGAAGACTGAAGCCGAAGGATTTGGTGGCGCAGATGCAGTATTGATGGCTATGGCATGGGTGATGTTGCATGCGGTGAACAAAGTGCCCTCGAGAACGTTCTTGCCAGGGGCGCATGTAATCTTGATACTGTTGAGCGTCAGCTAGTTCCAGAGAGCCACCGGAGACCTTGAAGGAAACCATATGAGCGAATAGAGCATACCGGGATCCAACAGCCTTGTACAGAATGGAGTCTGCATCTATGGTCTCTTTGCTTGACGCGGCGCTGGGTTTTAGGTTGGGAGTCGCGACCTTGCCCGCAATGCTGTTGCGCTTGTCCGCCATGGTAGTCGAAAATCCTAATTCTTTTTCCCCAAGCTCTCGTGTATTACAGGCGGAGTCTGAATTGTTGCTCCGCTGCACTCGATCTTGTTAGCACCAAAACCTTGCCCGGATGAAAGACTCAACGCCAGTGAGTCATACAAGTTGTGAATATACAATTCAAAGGAATGAAAGAAATTAAATAATCGACAACGCACGCGCGACCAAGGGATGGGGAAGCGCGGGCGTGACGGAGCTGTAGAGCTCGGGGCGGATGTAGTGGTGTTGTGTTGATGCGCTGCAACTTTCCGTAGTTGGTCCGCCAAGGTTTCGTGCAGGGGCTTGCAGGGGCACCAATGAAAGCGATTGTTACCCGTGAAGAGCTCTCTAACCTTTCTGGTTGTTTGTTTATTAGCTGTTAACAATGGATGCACGGGAATCGTAGCGACATTGACTTCAGAGTGGGGTGGCTTCTGTCGGGCGAGGGTCTCCACACGACGCTACGTTGAGCTAGTTAGCGCTTCGAGCAGCACACGTCCATCACCATAACCCAAGCGCTCACGCCATTCCTTCTACATTCACGTTGGCACGAGCAGACACGAGACATGCGAATAGTTGTTCATTCTAGATTAGAGGTATTTCAATCCTCAGATTCTTTGTTTTTCATCCGCAAACCCGGGTTAGCGGTGAGCTCCCTTCTAACAGCGATTGATATCCAGCTTTTAAGCGTTGTAGGTCTGTCCAATGTTAGCTGCTTACGCACAACTATGGTCCGGGATGGTTACTTACTGAAGCAGAGATGTTTCCACCCCTTCCGGTCCAGTTGACGTGAATGTCCTGGCCCTCCTTGTATGTAGCGTTGGCGTACTCGGGCTTGATCCTGAAAGTGTGCGCACCAAAGTAGTCACGCTGCGCTTGCAACAGGTTGGCGGGGAGGTCCTTGGCGCGGTAACCGTCGTAGAAGCTCAAAGCAGTGCTGAAAGCGGGAGTGGGAATACCCCAGAGAGCACCCTTGGAAACGACACTGGCAGACAATTAGCGTTGTACGTCCTTGCCATGGACAAATACTCACTCTCTCCATCCGGACTGAGCCTTGTGGATAGCCTTGCTGAAAAATTCGTCGAAAAGCAAGTTCTCGAGCTCAGGGTTCTTGCGGTACGCGCTGGTGATCTCCTTTAAGAAAACGGAGCGGATAATGCAGCCACCACGCCACATGAGGGCAATCTCTGGCTTGTTAAGCTTCCACTTGTACTCCTTGGCAGCCTGTGTCGAAATTAGCACGAGTTCAAGATTGCTGCCGGTTCAACTTACGTTCTGGATCAGCATGAAGCCCTGGGCGTATGAGATGATCTTGGATGCGTAAAGGGCCTGCTCGAGGTTGTCGATGAAAGCCTGGCGGTCGCCGGAGAAGCTGGGAGTGGGTCCGTCCAAAAGACCAGCAGCACGGCCACGCTCCTGCTTGAGCGAACTTAGGCAACGAGCGAAGACGGCCTCTCCGATCAGAGTAACGGGCATACCGAGGTCGAGTGCGTTGATGGCGGTCCACTTTCCGGTACCCTTCTGGCCGGCAGAGTCAAGAATCTTCTCAACGATGGCAACACCGTCGTCGTCGTTCTTGTACATGATGTCTCGGGTGATTTCGATCAGGAAAGAGTCGAGAACGCCCTTGTTCCATTGTGTGAAAACATCGCCAATCTCCTTGTTCTTCATGCCAAGACCGCGTTTCATGATGTCGTAGGCCTGTTTTTCGTCAGTTTACTTCTCTTTCCACGGCATTGTGTCATCTCACTTCGCAGATCAATTGCATGTCACCGTACTCAATACCGTTGTGGACCATCTTGACGTAGTGACCGGCACCCTCGTCACCAACCCATTGGCAGCAGGCCTCACCGTCAGACTTTGCAGAAATCGACTGGAGAACGTCCTACAGCAATGTTAGACGTGCATTCTGCGCTGTTTGCGGATTCCTACCTTGATGTATGGCCACGCCTCCTCGTTACCACCGGGCATGATGCTAGGGCCGTAACGGGCACCCTCCTCTCCTCCAGAGACACCAGATCCGACGAATCGGATGCCCTTTGACTTGAGGTAGTTTGTGCGGCGGTTCGTGTCGGGGTAGTGGGAGTTACCGCCGTCGATGATGATGTCACCCTCCTCAGCACCAGCCTGGAGGATGAGCTCGATGAAGTCGTCAACGGGCTTGCCGGCCATGACGAGAAGCATCATGCGGCGGGGCTTCTTGAGCTTGCTGACGAACTCCTCCATGGAGTGGGCGCCAACAATGGACTTGCCCTTGGCCTCTGTTGATCGTCAGCGCTGTCTGTAGCAGCATCCAACATGGTGCTTACCGTCGTTTAAGAATCGGTCAACCTTGGCAACGCTACCTGCCTGTCAGTGTATGCCTTGTGTAGTCCATCGAAGCGCTTACGTTCGGTTGAAGGCAACGACCTGAGTTTAAGTCAGTATTTTGGCTAGGACAGACATGGAGGAGGCTCCATACCGTGAAACCATGATCAGCACTACGTAGTGTTAGTACTGGTGTATTGATGGTAGACAGTGGAGCATGACTTACGCGTTGAGGATCAAGTTTTGGCCCATGACCTGAGTAGTGTGTTAGCATGGCTCAATTGCTTGACCGTCCAGTCGATGGAGAGTTTCGAAGGAGTGGGCGAATGTTGGGGATAATCGCGATGAGATGGGGAAGTACTGACGGCCAAGCCGATGAGGCCGAAATCTCCAACGGGCTCAGTCATGATTGCTGTTGTCGAGTGGAAGTGGATGTACGGGTAGATGTGTTGGGATGGCGGGAAAGTTGCAGCGACCGGTCGTGCAACACAAGAAGACAATTGGGGGCTGTGGAAGCTGGTGATGGTCAAGTCAAGAGGAAGGAAGAAGAAGGTTAGTGGGGGTCTTCTGAGATAATGTAGTGGCCGGAAAGACTTTGGAAACAAGCGGGGCACACTACTATTGCATCAATGGCTGCACGTCCCACTAGATGCCAGCATCACATTCGCGCAAGTAACGGAGAATAGCTTCGGCCGCGGCGGTAAAGGCGAAGACGGTACATGTACGCCATTGTGCCGATGCCGTTGTCGAGACGGTTTGCTGTGCTCGGAAAGTTTGACGTCTCATGATTAGAAAGCTGCTTGCACATGGGGCAGCCTAGACGCGAGTGGGTTTGCGCATCTAGCTGCGACTGGGAAACGCGACATTGCAGGCCGTGTGCATGGCCATGGTGGGTGGACGAGTTCGTTTTCATCTGCGTCTGCGTCTGCGTCTGCGCCAGACTAATGAAATTCATGGTACAGACCGGGACCAACGAGTTCGCAGCGAGATGCGGCTGTCTGCGACGCTCGCACTCGTAGCCCCTCCATGCTCAGCCTTACATAACACAGCATTACGGAAGGAGGGGCAAGTGGACGTGCAGGGATCATCCGACACGCTAGCGAGTGGATGAATGCTTCCATGGTTGCTTGCTTGCATGCTAGAGCGAAGCAGAAAGACGTTTGCTCGGCCGTATTGCGTCTGTCACTCGTTCGATATCAACCCTAGTTTCCATGCCGTCATGGTCATGTGAAGCGGGTCCATGTGAAAGACGCCGATACACGTGACCCAACGCCAAGCCCCATTTCATCCTGCGACTAGACCTGACCCAACAAACGCGGAATAATCACAACGTCAAGGCCCCATTTGGTATTTGACGCATCTCCACGGCTTCCGCAATTTACGCCGGCCCGCCATCCCACGCAGCTCCAGCTCCGTCCAAACAGTGCAAACCCCGATCCCCATCAGCTACACGCTCTACCAACAAAATCTTCTCAGTCAGCCCTGCTGTCGTCAGCGCCACTAAATCGCCTGCGCAACCCTGCGGCATTAATTCACGCCCAAACAAACTGACTCTACCGGCTCATTCACCCCACTGCCGTAATCACACCACTATACTCGCCCCAAGATCAAAGCAGACTGCGCCTCACCGCTCACTTTCGCCCTCCGCGCCCCTACAAACAATCTACCCAAGGACAAACGCGACCCATCATCGCACCACCAGTCTACACACGCCGCGACAGCCACGCGCATCCCGAGCAGTAGCTGGTTAAGTCATCACCTCGCTAAGGTTAGCCTGAACTGACGCAGCGTTCCAACATCGATATGCAGCCTCATCACTCCCTTCCGGCGCGACCGCCGCCAACTACTTACTCAGCGCCGCCTTCTAGATCAAACAACGCCGGCGCACGAAGCCAGGCCAACTCAAACATGTTTGCTGGCTTCGCCGCGGCTCAAGCATCTCCGCAAGCCGCTGCTGCTCCAACAAACTACTCGCAAGCCACTGTGAGCGCTCCTTACCAGGCCTCTGCTTACCCGCCCAGCAACGCTTACAACAACTACTCATACCCAGCCTATGCGGCCGCTGCACCTGCCACCTCCTACCCCGCTGCTCCGTCGATGAACAACAATCGCGGATTTGGTAGTACCTATGATCCCGAAGAAGAGGCTCGAATTGCAGAGTGGAATAGCGCATACAACGCCGGCGACGCAAACGCAAAGAAGGGAGCAGGCGCAACCGCCAGTGTACGTCCTGAAGCTGCAGCAACTCCCGACACAGAGGCCGGCCAGTCGGCTGATGGCAAACGCAAAACCGTCATTCGTGAAGGCGGTGGGAAACAGTGGGAAGACGAAACACTGCTTGAGTGGAACCCTCTTCACCCGCGACTCTTCATTGGCAACCTTGCTGGTGAAGTCACCGATGATTCGCTCCTCAAGGCTTTCGCAAAGTACCCGTCTCTGTCCAAAGCCCGCGTTGTCCGAGACAAAAAATCCACAAAGAGCAGAAGCTACGGTTTCGTGAGCTTTTCTGACACCGACGACTACTTCCGCGCCGCCAAGGAAATGAATGGCAAGTACATTGGAAGTCATCCAGTCCTCATCAAGCGAGCCACGTCTGAAGTCAAGGCTGTTACTAAGCGGGACGACAAGCACAAGCAGGGAAAGAACAAGAACAACAAAAATAACAGAGAAAAGACTACCGCCACTAGCACTCCTGCTGTTGTGGCTTCCCCGGCCATGTTCGTTCCCCGTGGTGTCCAGAAGAAGGGCAAGAACAGCGGTCCTAGGATTCTAGGTTGATCCGTCTGTTGGGCTTGAGCATTCTCAGCCAGACAATACATCAGGCTGAACAGATGTTTGCTGCCATGTGATGCCTCAAAATTCTTCATGGTTAGTCTATTTCCGCCTCCAAGCGATTCATCTTGAGTATTTATTTTCATCTTGAGCATTTATTTCATCTTGAGCATTTATTTTCATCTTGAGCATCTATTTTCATCTTGAGCATCTATTTTCAATCTTTATTTGTGCATGACTCTGGCGTTGAATTAACGCTGAGAGAATGAAGGATCGGGGCCTTGAAGGATATTCAAGCCAGGTATTTGTGTAGCTAAGGCAAATGTGTTGTGGGGTATTGAAAATAACCTCGGGAAGGAAGGGCTCATGGTGTGCTTTGCATGCTCAGGTCGAAAGGATAGACGGTTTTTTTCTTTGGGATGTACCAAAATTACACTACAACGCATCGGTGAACTGTAAACGTTTTGCCTGCTGTCTTTTAAATCTTACAGTATTATATTTAAATCGTGTTCACATTGGCGTTGAGTTAGTCCGGAGAAATGCTGGACTGTCTCACCTCCGGTACTAGTACCATGACATCCTCGCCTTCTTATCTTGTCTATTTATTGAATCGTTTTGCCTATGTTTGGCTCTCAGTTTGTGTGCTCGGTATTCTCAGACCATGCATTTTCAGTCGCTGCCTAATCGCGTGCCAAGACGCTTTCGGCAAGAAGCGCTGACATGTGCTGACATGTTTCCAACCCACCTTGATTGCTTATATTTCACCTTTACTAAATTAGAACCCTTCAAACTACCCACTACTTCTGAATGGAACAGTATCACCCGGGTGTCATAAAATACTGGACACACTAGTGTAAAAAAGCCACTGTAGTCGCCAGAAACGTCTATTGGGTGCTTGCCCACACTGTCCAGTATTTTATGTCACCCAGGTGGTATGAAAATAGTTTGAATGCAGGTGCAGGATCGAGACCTTCGCGGTATAATGCACAGACCATTTGTTTGTGGAACATTCACACCCAATCAGATTAACCTTCCACTAATCTTTTCTTATAAAATTTTCATTGGCTGTCTAGGTAATGCGGAAAGTTCCATTCACGGACCTGTTGAGGATAGGACAGTCAGCACGTGTGAAAATTTACCTCGGTACGCAAAGGTACGTCTCACCAGCGGAAAGACTCGGAAAGTATTGGAATGTTCATGTAGAAAGTGTTGGATCAGAGACAGGCATCGCCAACCACCATCCAAAAAAGTATTGAGGTTTTGCATCAACATGGCTGGATGACCTCGCTATATCTGAGACCACCTACACCAATGCTCCAGGACGCCTCATACCATACCGCTTCGCCTTCCACCGACACACAGATACCGAGAAGAGAGTTAAACACACACCAAGCAGCGAACTTGTGAATTATAACGACAAAAAATATCATGTTACTCTATGTGAAACATGATGGCTCTATGATCACTTTGTCTGGATAACAATGTCAGCACGGTCCATTCTTCCAACTGCTTTCTCACAGAACCTGCGCTTTATACTGGGGCCCGCCGTTCGACCCAAACATACGCATTCACCATATAGCATCAATGTCTGGATAACAGTTCCACGCTGTTCCTGCGAGGCTCGACCACATATAAATCCAGGATCCCAGTTCTCTTATGGAGTTCCCATTAGCAATCTACCCAATTCTCAACTACGACTGAGAACCTTGACCACTTATATCAGCACAAGAAAATTCAGGAGCTTCTCAACAAAGACCTCATTTACGATGCCTCACACAAAGAACATGGCTCAGCCATTGCTTTGTTCATTTACGGCACCGGACACTCCAACACACAAGACACTCTCTACTACTTCTGTCGAGAGCAGCCCTGAGAAGGACAAGGACACGCCTGACACGACACCTCCCGCCACTCCCCATTTCGACCTTACGCTCGCCAAGCACAATTTAGCTAGAGACGACCTCAAGAAGGTCCATCTTCTTCTCCGGGAGATTGCCATGAACGGGGGAAAGATCATGCTGGAGGCCGAGCACTCAGTCCTGACACTCGCGCAGTTTAAGAACAACACCTCCGACTTGGTCACCGAATTTGACAAGCAAATCGAGGACATGGTCGAGTCCCGTCTCCAAACCGCCTATCCTTCCTTTGGCTTCTTAGGCGAGGAAACCTTCAAGAAGGGTACAAAGCTTCAAGATACTCCCACTTTCGTCTGTGATCCAATCGATGGAACACTCAACTTTTCGCGCGGCGTTCCCAACTGTGCCATATCCTTGGCGTTGACTATTGATAAAAAGCCTGTTGTGGGCGTCGTCTACAATCCTTTCCGTGGAGACATGTACCATGCGGTCAAGGATGAGGGTGCGTATTTGACCAAGACTATGACTGGTCTGCAGGTCAAGCTGCCAGTTCAACACATCCCGCCACCCATGCCATCTCTCAGCACCTGCCTTATTGCTGTGGAATGGGGTAACCAGCGCTCTGGTCCTAACTGGGCTTTGCGTACTTCGGTGCACAACGCTCTCTTGACCAACCAGTCTGACGGCGGCGCAATGTGCAAGTCGATCCGCTCCAACGGCTCCGCAGCGTTGGACTTTTGTTACGTCGCACATGGCATGCTTGATGTCTTCTGGGAGGGCGGCGTGTACATCTGGGATGTCTGTGCTGGGTGGATCATTCTTGAAGAGGCTGGTGGTATCGTTGCGAGCGCCAACCCCGGGAATTGGGATCCGACGCTTGAGGGTAGATTGTACTTTGCAGTTCGCCATGCGAAGCGAGAGGAGCAAAAGGCCGTAGTTGAAGAGCTCTGGGGAATCATGGGCGATCGCAAGTTTGTGTATCCTTGAGTGATGGAATGCTTGGTTTTCTTCATCAGAAGACTGTATGCTTCTTGTGACAGCATCTCTGTGCTTTGCGCAGGTCCTCTTTGTCAGAAGGGTCCCGGGACGTAGGATCCAAGGGCTTATTTTAGGGATTTTGTAGTACAAAGCAAAATCTTTCTCAATCTGTCATTCATATTAAATCTCTTGACACCCGTGAAAAGTGATTCTATTCTCAAATACATCAGGTCCTTGCATTAAGCACGCACCTAGCTGCTGAAATTGCCACATCATGCCTGCGATCCAAGTGACATTTGCATACATTTATTAATGCGGTCGCAGTTCTCATACATTGACGCCTTCCTTGGGATACAGATCAAGCCTGCACGTCTCAGAATATGTTGAAGAAGCTGCCATCATGTGTGCAGAGCAAGAGCGAAATCCCCACTTCCGTCTCCCACATGCCCCCTCGGCCACAAGCAAACAAACAATACGCATCACTTTCAGTTCAACCACCCCGAACTTATATTTACCCTCAGCCTCTATCAGACATTCTTTGCTTTCACACCATTACCTCTACGACAGACACCCTCAATTCGTCATCTCATCACTTCACACACTACCTCATTCTTCCACTTCAGAGGTCACAACTCATGGCCGACACTTCCACATCCCATATATCCTGAAACAACAGTAAGTCAAGCCTCATCTGACCAGAGGTTTTCTCTAACATCGTACGCGCTAGTTATCCTTCATTTGATCGACCCCACAAACCTGAATCCTCCCATCCAGGACGTTCCGAGGGCCCCAAAGCCGCGTTATCGTCGGCTACGCACTTTCCGAAAACGCAAGACCGTCTTTGTTAGACGACACAACTTCAGAACGAACCCATACTCAAATAAACCTCTCACATCAATAGAGAGGCTACACGTTGCCGATAAACGTACCCAGAAGTTCGACAAGACAAGAGTAGAGAGAGAGCCGAGGAAGAATTGTGAACAAAGTGAAGCTCTGAAACCATTACGCAAACGAGACACTTTCCAAGCCAAGCTCAAGAAGTTGTTCTCCGGAAAGGCCTACGATACTTGACGCCAGTCCTTTCTATAATTCGTTGTGTATGGACACTTCTGGTGCCTTTATTGGCAATTTATTTCCAAAGTATCCAGGCCCACTGCAAAAACCAGTACCCGAGTCCATCTCTCGAAACCGTCAACAAAAGAGAATTGAACGCCTAAGAAAGAAGCGTCAAGACAAAGCCAGAGATAAGGCACGGGTCGCCCGACGGTCAAGACACAGGCAAAGCACGTCTCAAACAAGCACACCCAAAGTTCAGGCATCGGAACCATCTACGAACTGCAGTGCATCTTGCGGAAAGACCACTCCGGCGGCAGCCACCCCTGACGCAGTGCCATCTGATACCCGAGTTACGGTACGCACCACACCAACTCGCAAGCTTGCGAACCCGCTGGAGGAAGTTCTCAACAAGAAGGGAACGAAACTTGTGGGAGAACAGCCACAGCACAGGCAGGTGCGAGACGCGGCCAAGATCGACGCCAAATCCAAGATCAACGAAGCAACAGACAACAAGGCCAAACTTCGGTCATACACGACGTTGCTGAAGCTCAAGCTCCACATTGACTAGACTTGACGCTCTTTGATGGCAAATTGTGGTGCTGATTTTGGAGGTGCCGATTGTGGTGATTCCGGGGGTGCCGATTGTGGTGCCAGTCATAATGTCAGTCATGGTGGTGATTTCGGGGCTGCTATTATTGCTGGTGGGAGCGCGGACCATACACCCGAGCAACGTGAAGCGATGCGCAAGCGGGCAGAGGAAAGAGCCGAGAAGCGTCGCTTGATAAAGCAAAAGAAGAAGGGAAAACGAGCGGAAACGACTGCCGCCACCATGCAAAAGCTCAGGTCAGCAACAAAGAAGAAAGAGAGGCTCAGGCTACAGACAAAGTTGCTCTTGCTCAAGTTGCATGCGGCGAAGTAGGTTGGAGGACGCTTGCGCGAGTTTCAATCGAATCTCGGAGACATCTCAGCAGCACCGAGTTTGGAATTCCGTGGAACTATGGGTGTTTCTCGAAATACCTTGAGCCACCTGGATCTGGTTGGCTTGGTGGCCAAGAACATCAACTCCTATAGTAATTTGTTAGTAAATCGATGCAGCCACGCTTTCTAACACCCACAACGTATTTGAAGTTCATTGTTTGCTGCGATCGCCTCTACTGACTCGCGTTTTTGGTGTTGCAATTTTCTCGAGCCCATCTCATCGCGATGCCAGGCACCGGCCACCGCTTGCAGCCCGCTGTTCTCCAGGCTATCCTCGACCGAATTGCTGCCTGCGAAAGTGATCGAGCCATCTCTAGAGCTACAGGTGCGAGCCGTAACACAGTAGCAAAGCTGAGGTTGAGCTTAGAGTTTTGGGGCGTGCCTTATCCGCCGCGCTGCGTTCGACTTGGGCGGCCATCTATACTCCGGCAAGCTCAGCGCGAAGGCCTTCAGGCATACCTCAATGGCTCACCGGGCGCATACATGGATGAGATGAGGGACTTCTTGTACGACGAGTACGACGTTAGGATAAGCCTTGCGAGCGTTTACCGAGAGCTAGAGAAGATGAGATGGTCTCGCAAGCTTGCAACAAAGCGGGCAAAGGAGCAGAGTGAGCCACTCCGCCGCCTCTATCTTGCCAGGATGGCGCAACACTATAAGGCGGAGCAGATCGTTGCGTTGGACGAGAGCGCCTGCAATGAGCGTACGGGCGACCGCAAGTATGGCTGGTCTCCAATCGGGGAGCCGGTGGAGCTATCACACAGCTTCAGGCGATCAGAACGGTGGTCGCTGCTGCCAGCCATGACGATAGATGGCTACATAAGCTATAAGATCTTTCAAGGCGCGATTACATCTGAGATCCTAGAAGACTTCTTAGAGTTTCAAGTGCTGCCGTTCTGCAATCCTCACCCAGGGCCAGCCTCAGTAATCGTGCTTGATAACGCCTCCATCCATCGATCAGAGCGTGTACGGGTGCTTTGCCAAAGTGCTGGAGTACTCCTTGAGTATCTGCCGCCATACTCACCAGATTTCAACCCCATCGAGAAGAGCTTTAAGCAGCTCAAGGGGTGGATGAAAAGGAATTCAGCGCAAGCGGAGAACTTCATTGACTTTGGGGTCTTTCTTGAGTATGCAGCGCAGCTGGTGTGCTGTAATATTAACTGCAGAAGCTGGTTCCATAGGTGTGGCTATCCCTATTAATTGTGCTTTTAAATGGATGCCACAGTACGTTTCTATAGGTAGATGATACCATACAAATGCGAACGATTACACCTTAATGCGCAACCCACAAAAGCGATTTAATAATTCTAAAAAAATAAGAGCTATTTCTATACATATAGAACTATCTTAGGAAGTTAACCTGTTATAATCGCATAACGTTGTAGTGTTGTACATAGGGCTATCCAAATAGACTATTGTTGCAGCGCATTTGAAACGCCTGAAAAACCTCAACACTATAGCGGGCACGGGCCGCTGTCACCAAAAACGCTCAGGCCACTAAGCTTCAAGCATTCTCGCCATCATCCTCCACAACACTGCTAGACGGTTCAACCACCAATTTCTTGCGCGCAATCTCTTCTCTTTTCTTACAACGTTCGACTCGTCTCCAGTTACGATCTGTGAGACCCTGGTACCCAGCTTGCCATTCTTTTGCAGTGTTTTGTAGCGTGAAAAACCAGCCAGGAGGCTGCTTGAAATGCTGCGTCCACAACTTCAAGATATCACCAGATGGCTGCATCAAGAGGTTGATATCCATAGCTCCGTCAATAACAAGAGTCTTATAAAGCTCGTTAATGTCCTCTCCAACTGTAGGAAATTTTAACTTAAGGTAGTTAAAGAAATTACTAGTATGCTCGTTAATCTCCTGCTCATGATCATATCGGATAGGCGCCCACTGAGATGCACTAGATACCTCAGCTCTTGTTATCGTTGGTGCAGCTGCCTGCAAGTTAGACTCCTGTTGAGGTTGCCTGTTCATCCGCTCAAGCTGTCCAACGATGAGCAGTTTTGTTAAGCTTTTGATATCATCGTCGCCATCTCCAGCCGCCCGCAACTTGCGCGTTTTCTCATGCACCCGCAGGTCCTTTGCTCTCAAAATTGCAAGCCGTACATCATCAGATGGCTCATCGTACGTTGCCCTTCTCGCTGTAATTGCTCTTGCCCACATGGAGATAATGTTGCCGTTGACAAAGAGGTGATCTTCGAAGCGCGCTGGCTGCCTCGCTGTTGGCGCCATCCAGCAGCAATAAGGATAGTTCTCGCAATGGGTATCTGTACAGCGCCATCTATCCCGGATAGCAATAGCATGCCCGCTACCTGCTTGTTCAGCTGCTATTACACCAGCAAGCCCCTCCTCTTGAATCACCGTTGCGGTGCGTCGACGAGGACCGTCGACAACCGTTGGCAACGGCTGCTGCTCCCCTGGAATTTCAGCCAAGATGAGCTCGAAATCGACGTTTACTGGCTCGCTGACATAGTTATCAACCTCTACAACAAGGCGCTGAAAGCTATTCCACGTTGCATCAACACCTCGCCGCAATCGCTTTATCGCGCGCTCGCGTTTGGCCTGCTTAGCTGGGTAAACAACAGTGCAAACAGATGAGATCTTCGCTCTTTTTGGCCGTAATTCTGCAACAACGTCATCTACCCACTGCCATAGGTCGTCGAAATGCAGCGAGTACAGCCGTACGCCGTGCTCGCTATCGGCAGCTTCAGGAATAAAGTGTTTCTCCATATCACCACCAAGGCAAGCCCTCCACCTAACGCGCAGTACAGGATTAACCTCATCCTCTAGCGCTTGCGATGAGCGAGGCAGCCATGGAGTGCCTTCTTGACGTCGGTACGCTGGCTCTCCCTCATCCTCAACACTACCGGCAGCGCCCTTAGCAGCGATCTCATCCTCATCCTCAGGCAGCGGATCGCCATCTCCATCCTCGAAAGTATCCTCATCCTCGCCAACGATATCTTCAGCTTGCGCGGAGGCAGCTGTTTGGGTGGCTTGCAGCTCAGGCTCGGACAACGGGCTTTGACGGCGCGGCGGGGCAGTCGCTGGAGGCGACGGCAGCGCCTCACGGCGGACACGTTTAGGCGTTAAATGGGTAGGATTTTGTCTAGTTGCTGGCGCTCTACGCTTCTGGGAGGACGGGTTAACGCCTTGATCGAATGGCTGCTTCGGCTTACGCTGGCGCTTGGGCGGCATCCCAACAGCAGCTAGATTGAGCTCGCAACAAGCTCCACACAAACAAAACGCTATACACGAACGATTTAGAGTACAGGACTAGCTTCATGGGCTTCTGGAGGTGGGAAACGGCTGCTGCATTAATTTACTAACAAATTACTATGGGAGTTGATGTTCTTGGGCACCAAGCTAACCAGATCCAGGCGGCTCAAGGTATTTCGAAAACCACAATACTGTATACTGGAATGGAGAGCATTCGCAGTGTTCGGTTCTCTGACGACACAAAAGGTTCAGCACAGTCGGACTTCACGAGTTGGCCAGGGGTGTATGCCCAATTGCGAGAGGGGTTCGACAGCCGTTCGATCGGTGTAGAGATATCACAAGGTGGAAAAAGGACGCGGGAGGTTCTGGCGTTGAGAAGACTCCATGTCCTGACGTTCAAGAGGGGCCTTCGGAAGTGAGCACGGGCCGCCCGCAAGTGTGCATCGCACCAAGACTGCACTTGGTCAACTTCACACCATGCTGGCTCGCACCACCCGCGCCAGCTTTGCTGCAGCTTCGAAACGACCATACATCTATCACTCATGTACCAAGCAAGCAAGACGCTCGGAATTGGGTGCTGCGCACCTTACATCGCACACGACACGATACCTCCAGACTGAGACGTCAACATCTTTCCGCAAGACGTTGAAAGATGCTGCAAAGGAGCAGAAGAAGGTGAAAAAGAAGAATAAGGGTCAATCTGACAAAACGTTAGACCCGATCACTTTGAACAAACATGCACGAACGGAAAAATGGGAATTGACTGTAGGAATTGAAGTACATGCCGAACTCAACACTGCACGGAAGCTGTTCTCCAAGGCGACTACGTCGGTGGGTGACGCACCAAATACTCACGCCGCTCTCTTTGATGTCGCCTTTCCCGGTTCCCAGCCCATCTTCCAGCTGGACACTCTCGTACCCGCCTTGCGAGCCGCCTTAGCCTTCCAGTGCGAGATACCTCCCCGGAGCAGCTTCGATCGAAAACACTACTTTTACCAAGATCAGCCCAATGGCTACCAGATCACACAATACTACGAGCCTTTTGCGAAGAATGGAAGGCTCGTTCTCTATCCCTATGACTTCCCTCCCGACAAAACCCCACAACACACCCCTAAGTATATTGGCATCAAGCAAATACAGATGGAGCAGGACACCGCCAAAACCATACAGCAACCACCTTCGACGCACCTACTCGACTTCAACCGTGTCTCGCACCCTCTGATTGAGATCATCACGATGCCCGAGATTCATGACCCTATCGTTGCTGCTGCCACTGCGCGCAAGATACAAATGATACTCAAGGCTGTCAATGCCTGTACAACTGGTATGGAATTGGGAGGCTTGCGGGCTGACGTCAACGTATCTGTTCGTTGCCATGAGGAGAGCTCACAGGGAGCAAATCATTCATATCACGGTGTTACTGGCCTAGGCCAGCGAACCGAGATCAAAAACCTATCAAGTTTCAAAGCTGTTGAAGACGCGATCATCGCAGAGCGCGACCGCCAGATCGACATCCTCGAGAGTGGAGGCATCATCGAAGGTGAGACCCGTGGGTGGACTCTTGGAAGCACGACAACGAAGCGCTTGAGGAGCAAAGAGGGAGAGATTGACTACCGTTACATGCCAGACCCAGACATTGCTCCCATCATCGTATCAGACGCAAGTACTCTCACTATCTTGGTGGGTTCATGCTAACCATGATCAGAGTCTCATTGAACACCTCCGAGAAACACTGCCAATGCTTCCCGACGAGCTTGAGCACCGCCTGACCTCAACATATTCGCTCACTGCCAAAGACGCCATGACACTTCTCACAATAGACGACGGCGAGCGTATGGAGTATTTCCTGGCCACGATCACGAAGCTTTCAGAAGAATGGGGAGACGAAGCGAGTAAAACCAAGTCAAGGCTGGGGAAAATGGTGGGGGACTGGGTACTAATGGAACTGGGCTCAATGTTCAAACAACTACCATGGGACGCTAACCGTGTTCCACCCAACTATCTTGCCGACGTCATTTCGCACGTTTACCGCAAAGTTATTACATCACCCACCGGCAAACGCTTGCTCGCAATGAAGTTCGAAGGTGATGAACGCAGCGTTGCTGAAATTGTCAAAGAGGAAAATCTGGCACTGCACCCCCTGAGCGAGGAAGAGTACAGGGAGATGGCGCAGACGCTACTGGAGAGGAACCCCGAAATGGTGATGGATATCATCAGAAAAGGTCAGACTAAGAAGATATCCTGGTTCGTAGGACAGATGATGGCGGAGGCGCCCAAGGGAAGTATGGAGCCCAACAAAGCCAAGGAGGTGCTGGAAGCGTTGCTGGGCCTTGATGGAAAAGTTTACTAAGTAGTTTCGGGATCTCCTAATGAATAATGTCCTCATCGAAGGTGCGTACATTACGTCGTGTTCACATACGTAATGGTGGTAAGGGTCGAGTGGATTGTGGACTGGCTCACTGGAACCAGTGATGATTGAGGAACAGCCAACTCAATCCCAACAATCATATCACAATCCAGGGTCTGAACGTCAGTTTCCGAAAATCTTCACCCGCAACACAACGGATCTCAACTGCAATAAAATCGCTCAACTATCTACCACAAGATTTCAACAACCTACCTATATACCTTCCCTACAATGTCGCCTCAGGAGTCTCCCGCGTATATTGCAGGTCTGCGCAAACGAATGGTAGCAATCCGTCACAATAGCAGGTTGCTCAAAAATAAATTAGCCGGGACTGTGCGTCACACAGATCGCGACTCACATGACGGACCTACCAAACAGCCACCAGTTGCTTCGCTCGCGGCGCATCTAAGAGATTCAAACGGTAACTTGTCAATTCCGTGCTGCCTATATCAATATACTGAGGCTTTTAAAGATTTGAATAGACCAAAAACTCCAGATGCCCAAGTTGAAAGGCCACACAGGTTGGAGCCGGACGATGCAGAGCCACCTGTGGATGGGAAAAACAAGAGAAAGGAGATGGTAGTACAAGACTCCAAGCAGAGGGATAAGCGAGAAACAAATGTATATGGTCCAGATCTAGATTCTCATCAGGTCGTGAAAGCGAAACTAGAAGAGGAGACGGAGACATGTATTGAGAGTCTAAAATATGCTGCAGTATGTCTTGACTTTGAAAAAAGGGTAAGTATCACGCTAACGATATATTTAGGTTGGCAGAAAGAGAGGGAAAGAGATACAAAAGGCTCTGCACGAGCTCGAATCTGAGTCGAGTGCAAGTGAAGAGAAGAACCCTGCCCCTCCTCCCACACGGTCCACGCCATCACTCCTTCGCAGCACCATCGAAGCACCTGCGAATAGTTCTGCAAGCTTTGAATCCAATCCTTACCCCGAGGATGCACCCCCGTGGTCCGAAAACACTGGAAACTACAGTGCTGCATCACTGGCGCGGCCATTGTCTAGACGTCACCTGACACCCTTGACAGTCTCCTCTCGCCCCTCAAACTTCTCCATCTTCCCGGTTGGTCGTGCCATCTCTCCTATTGCTCCTTTTGAAGTATCTCAACATCGAATTACGCCCCCAAACCGATTCATCCGCGAATCTGGCTCCGAGCCCTCTGTCGAGTGGTTCGATCGAAATGTAGCGTTTGGATCTAACCACCCTTACTTTAACATGACACCGCAGCAAAGAAGGGCATACTGGGAAGATCTTTCGAGTTATTTTAATAGCTCGCAAGAAATCAGAAGTCCGTTAGACGATGCTTCACTGCGTCCACCGAGACAGCGGCTTCTTCCAGGTAATGAGAGGCCGGGTGCTCAAAGCTCATCTACACCAGATCAGTACCAGAACCAACAACTGCGCTATGCTTCCAACCCACCATCTTACGCAGCGCCAAATCCACATCGGGACCTGGAAGCGTCTTACTGGAATAGCCTGAGCCCAGAAGCCAGACGATTGGCAAGAGAACATCGGAGTTCGACTCCGCCACCTGAAATACTCCGAACGCACGAGAAGTCTCCATCTCCCGCTGATACGCAAATAGGGACAGAGGAAAAGAGGAGAAGTGCTGCTGGGCTTCTCATAAAGAAACTAACATGCAGAGCTGGAGCCGCTACACCCGTATACACAGGCACACCCAGATCCAACCCTTTCGCCGCAACACCCGCGCCGCAAAAGTATGGTATAGCGTACCTTCGGCGAAAAATCCAACGAGGCTCGCAAACGGACAGGCTGGGGGAACTATGTCATCGATCCAGTCCAAGCGAAGAAATCACACCCCCTCCCCCATCTCACAGCCGCCATAACAAGGTATCTACCGCACACCTGGAATTCCCACCGATCCGTCTCTCAAGCATGATTCAACGCGCCCCCGCCAGCATACGCTCAACGGACAATATTCACTCCAGCACTCAGGCCAACATCCAACCCGGAGTTAGAACCACCAGTTTACCCAATCGAAGCAACACAGACAATACCAACATCCGCAACGCCCGAATAGCGGCCCTAGGCCTGCGGTCCAACGCCGCAAGGGCGATTCGGGAGGCGATGTTCGCGCCGGGCATGCAAGGCAGGATGGCGGACGTAACTGCTACAGGGCCGCGGCGCGAGAGGTATGAGGGATGGGGGCATGAAGTCTGGATCGAGGGTGGGAATGAGAGTGGGGAAAGGGGTGGTGTTGATATCGTATGTCAAGTCCTCTTCCCTACCGACCCTGTGACCCTAAAAGTTGTTCGCCAAACAGACACACGGCTAACAACTACCACAGGCATACCCATACTCCCCTTCCCATACTCCCGCCCCAGCACCCCTACCCCCTCGAGTCAATCAGGCTCTATCTCGTAATCTCAGATTCGCCCCCAGCCCACTGCGCACCGAAACCAATTTACCGCGCCTCGCCAGTCCGCTAGAAAACGTGCCGGATTTGCAGATTCCACGGTATCCCAACTATAACTATAATAACAGTGAGAACAACACTGCTTTACCTCGACGGAGGCGAACTGTCTCACAACCTTCTGGCACTGACCATGTAGAAAGAAAGGTGGACGATAATGAAGAGTTTCCTGTGCGAGATAGAGCTAGGAGATGAGGTAGAGGGAGAGAAAGCGGATGATAATTCGATCTCGCCGTATGTGATTTCTTTTACATCTCTAAGAAGAAGTAACACACAGTCAAAGCTTGCTTCTCGAGCAAGAAGGTTACATTTTCCACACCTGAATGGTAGGACGATGGTAGCTTTTAGTTTGTGTTGGAGAAGGATGAGAAGGATAAGGGTTTCTGTTGGTAGGGCTGTAGCACTAGTGCTGAAAGGAAATAACGATAACTAGGAATGCATTCTGTTCGGTGATAGTTCTGATTGATTGTCTTGCGAAGGGGAACTATGGAAGAGCTAGATATAGGAGGTCTGGTCTGAGCGCTGCTCGGACGCCGCGATCAGTGCGCCTGCTCGCGTGACCGAGATTAGTGCGGCCGATCGCGTGGCTGAGATATCGTTGATATCTGTGATCCGACAGTTTCAATGTTTTCCGTTTTGCAGGATGATTATATTACAATAACGAAGAATAGTATCCCAAACAACGCAACACGATGAACTGTATCTCTGCATCGCTCTTGTACGCGGTATAGCGATTGCTGTTGTAGCTGGCGTTGGAAATTCCTATCCATGGGTCTCTCTTCCTGACTAGTGCGTGAAGTTGCTTTCTTTAGTGCTGTTTGCGAAACCAACAGACTATTTTCACCAAATCCGTCCATGCCTTCCGACAGCTATGAGTCAAACATGGCCTTGCCCCCAAAGATTCCCTGATTCTTGCTGCGCAGAGAAAGATAGCCATGTCTCAGTGATTTCTATAAGAGCCACAAGAGCACGTATAACTGTAAATGTTGCTATAACCTGTTAGTAAAACGTAGGTGGCAAGCGTTCGAGGAATAAGAAACCACAGCTTACCTTTCGATTCTACGGCCCAAACCGCGCGCGTTGAGGCAGTCGCATGCACGGTTCAACAACATGCATGCATGGGTGCTGTGTTTCCCCGAGCCATCACTAAACGCAGGTCAATCAAACAAAGTTTATCTCTAGATCATTATGAATGCTACTAACACGAAGAGTTTACAATCCACATGCTCATTTGGGTGCGCATTCATGCACTCATTTCCCTTTTTTGAGGGTTTTTTGAGGGGCATGGCTCGTTTTCATAGAAAGCGATCTTTTCGCCTTGCGCAGCTGCTGTGAAGGCGAAGAAGGCGTATACGAGTTGAGTTTGGAACAACATAGTAAAGAGCTGAAGGGCACAAGGAAGAATAGGTATTAGGTGTAAATTTCGGTGTTTATGTTGGGGGTATTGCTCCGATAGTTCTTAGAGATTGTTGAAAGGGTGGGAAGTGAAGGGGAGGTCAGGACTTTGTAACGGTTTAAATACCCGCTCATCCCTTTACTTCCTGGAGCGCTGATGCACTGGTTCAACTCTTCCTGAGAGCGCGGATGCTTCGGTTCAATGATAAAAGTCAGTTCGCCTTAATTGGTTCTGATAACGCTCGTGCTTCGTGTTCAGGGCGACCGACCGTCAGCTTACGCTGAAAGGAGGTATTGAATATGTTGGCTTTCCATCGACAGAACCTGACGATAGCCGCCCTCACTTGTTCTTTCCTGCTCTCTTACTCTTCCTTATATCACTTTCAGAGTTGTTTGTATTCTTGAACTCGGCTCTGTCAATTATGGTGAGAGTAACTTAGCCCTAGCACTATGACCAAATGAAAAACACAGTCAAACTCAGACCTGTCAGCGAGTTCCAGATGCGGTCAAAGTCTCGTATTTTTCGTCGACGTGGAAAGAAATGGAGCGTTGAGAGGTTCAGGCTCAGCATTGTTCGTGGGGCTTGGTGGTGTGCACTCCTCATAGTATGTATTTTTGATAGTTATGTAATCGGACTTCGATTAATTTGCGCAAGTGCAGCCACCTTGTCGGATGTCTCCTCTTTCCTGTGGGTACTGGCATAGTCAAAGCACTGTCTCGGTTGCTTCAACATGAGCGTTGAGAAGCGTACAGACCATGAGAGCCAGCTGAGAACAGATGATAGCCTTGACAGGCTTCCGGGACTTTCATCGGAAGCCCCTCGATCACAATGCAAGTTCACGAATCTGCATAATAAGACTGATAGCCGTGAATCGGCCACTCGCGCCCTGACTGACACATACGAAGGCTTACCGTATGGCAGTTTGCCCGACAGGGACTCCTCGTAAGTCTAAGCACCGATCATCAGTATCAGTTCCACGACATGTATCACGACATCACGACGCCACACGCCACACAACCTGCTCGCATGGCCACGCTCTGTGCACAGCATGCGCAGGCACCTGAGGACACCACCAGAGATCTCCTAGGTTGATTCAGGAATGGTCATATTGGCTATGAAACATCCCTCAGCCACCACGCTGAACACGGGTCTGCGCAGGCCCGTAGAGAGCACTGCGGACCCAAAGACCTATCCCAGTCATTGCCGTTGTCATCCTTTTATGATTCCAAGACGCCTCATCATGCATTCCCTGTTGCCGCTTATGCGACGAGCTGAACGACACCACCGGCTTCCTTGATCTTCTTCTCTGCCTCGGCCGAAACGTAGCGAGCGCGGACGACGATGGGGACAGCAGGCAGACGACCCTTTCCGAGAACCTTGGAGTAGCCGTAGTCGAGGAGGTTGAGAACGGGAGCGTTACCGCCCTTGTTGGCGAGGTACTCATCGCGCTTCTCAGCGGGGATGAGCGACCAGAGCTTGTCGAGGTCTATGTTGGGTTAGGCCTTGCAAGATTGGAAGTAGATTGCGTGGGCTGACTTACTGATTACTGGCTTCCAGAATCCGTTTTGCATCTTGTGGAAGTAACGCATACCGACCTTTCCGAAGTAACCAGGGTGGTATTTGTCAATGTTGGTTCGGTGGTGGTGTTGTCCACCAGCCATACCGCGACCACCGGGATGCTTCCTGTGCTTGCCAACACGTCCGTGACCGGCGCTTACATGCTATTCATCTTGTTAGCCCATCTCCCAAGTATAAGTTGCGTCCAGAAATCGTGCAGCTCCCAGCATGTCGCGGCGCAGCGCAACGCACCAGAAGCTGCAATCATTTTGGCAGCAATTGAGTAACAAAGAACTTACGCCGCGGTGTTTGCGTGTCTTTGTCAATCGGGTAGGCATTGTGACTGACTGACTTCGTTTGCTGCAAAGTTAGTTATCGAACAAGATCCAGAGTTCGCGGAACGGGCAATTTTGGTCGAGTGGGCTGCTGAATAAGCGAAACCACGCTAAAAAGTCGGCATCCTGGTTTCTCCGATGTGTGTCACGTGTCGTCACTTCACCCATCTGCAACCTCAGAACGCTCTCCAAGTGGGGGAATAATATCATCTAATCAGTGTTGCTGATTTACCCTACACACTACGCCAGTATTGACCCCGATCACGATACTTTCTAATCACAATATTCCAATAAAGCTCAGCGCTAGCACAGAATCTGTTCGCATGAAGAATCAATCAATTTGGAGTGATATCCAGGCCGACATCTTCCACATGTAGCACAGATTAGGGCTACACCCAAGTCTGGATCCGAGGGCTGCTACTGTATAGGCAGCTAGTAATAAAGCAACATGCTTCTCGGCAGATGGATCATTCTTCGACTCACTTTTGATCTATTTGTCGCGTCATGAACCGTCTGGTTTTGTTAATTCCACAAAGACACGGATATCTCATCGCCACCACACGACCGTCCTCCCCTGTGAAATGCCGGCAACAGCAGTCTCCAAAAATGGCTATAGCCACCGTATCGTACGGCATGTTCAGGTTTGTACTTTGTCTTTGAGACGAAGGGTCGTATATATAGGGAGCTCAGTGCATCAGCAAAAGTAGTTCGCTACATTGCTAAGTCCACTGGGGATAGAGGAGAGGATCCATCACCTGCAACCACTCCGCGATGATGATGTTGTAGATGTACAATTAGCCTGCATGCCCGATTTGAGATTAGTCTGGGCTAGAAGAGACGCAATAGTAGTGGCAGATGTATGATGTTCAGTTATGTGACCCTTGAATAGTCCTGGCCCTGAACTGAGTAAAATTACGATTAACTCGTGTATAGAGTATCTGCCGCTTTGCAGACTGCACTGGTAGCTGAGTGCATCTTCTCTGCGACTGACGTCATGTTAAAGATCACGTCGTTGTGCGCGTTCATCAATTGCAGAACGCGATTTTGTTGTTCATGTCGGCTTCCTGGATCTGGGCAACGCGTTGAAACGCAAGGCGGCAGGCGAAAGAGAGGGGAATGGCATGGTAGTGGACGCCTGGGGTCGTGGGCGGACGCCCGAAGCGTGATAGCGTCGTTCCTGACGCGCCAAGGGCTGTCCACATTATTCTCCATCTCCTCCTGCTGTACATTGCGCATTGATCTACCACCACGATCACGCCCCCAACGCGTTCAGCCCATCAGACTTCACACTATTCCATAGCCACATATTCGAGAGAAGATAACAGGCGACTGCAACGAGAAGATTGACCCAACGGTACGCGGCGAGCAGCCCAAACAGGCAATATGCCGCGGAAGAGCGTAGCGAAGAAGGTCGAGGAGCCTTCGTCGGACGACGTGTCGGCGCAATCCGATGTCGAAATGCAGGACCAGCAGGACGATAAGATGAGCGGCTTCAAGAAGTTTGGGGTAAGTGCGACCGCTGCTCGCGCCTTTCTCCCATAGCCCCAAGGCTTGATGTTTGGCGGAAGGCACGACTATGATAGAACCACAGGCTGACATTACAGTCGCAGTACAATGTAGACACCCCGGACTACACGGTAAGACACTCACTAGCCCCGCGTTATATGTACCTACCTAACGTATGCAAAGGACTCGGACACCAACCCCAACACCACAGCAAACAGCGTCGCAGGCGATAGCGCGCCGGCCGACGGGCGAAAGCGACGCGCCGAAGAGATGAACATGCGAAAGAGCATGTACGGCAAGAAGGCTGAGGGATTGAGGGCATCAAAGGTACGCGACGTCGCCCGGCGTATCGCATCTTGGCGCACATGGCTAACTAGCATGTCTTATAACAGGAAGACGACACAATCCGCCGCTTTCGATACCTCCTTGGTCTGACTGATCTGTTCCGTCACTTCATCGACACGAACCCCAACCCGCGCATAAAGGAGATTCTCGCCGAAATCGACCGTCAGGATGCCGAAGAAACCAAGAAGTCAAAAGCAAGCAAGGTGCGCAAAGGTGGTGCTGCTGCCGAGCGTCGGCGCAAGACTGAACAAGAGGAAGACGCCGAGCTGGTGAGGGAGGAGAAGCATGGCGGACACAACGAGACCGTCTTCCGCGAGTCGCCAGGCTTCATCAAGGGCGGCACAATGCGCGACTACCAGGTTGCTGGTCTCAACTGGCTCATCTCTCTGCACGAAAATGGTATCTCTGGTATCCTTGCTGACGAGATGGGCCTCGGAAAGACGCTTCAGACCATCTCTTTCATCGGTTACCTCAGATACATTGCGGGCATTACTGGTCCACATTTGGTCGCAGTCCCCAAGTCTACCCTGGACAACTGGAAGCGCGAGTTTGCAAAGTGGTGTCCCGAGGTCAATGTCTTGGTGCTCCAGGGCAACAAAGACGACCGTGCAGACCTCATCAAGGAGCGCCTGGTCCCCGATAGTTTCGATGTCTGTATTACCTCGTACGAAATGATTCTGCGCGAGAAGTCACACTTGAAGAAGTTTGCGTGGGAGTACATCATTATTGACGAAGCCCATCGTATCAAGAACGAATCCTCATCTCTCGCACAGATGGTCCGCGCATTCAACTCCCGAAGCCGGCTACTCATCACAGGTACCCCTCTGCAAAACAACCTGCACGAACTCTGGGCTCTACTCAATTTCCTCCTTCCCGACGTCTTTGGAGACTCCGCCGCCTTCGACGACTGGTTCTCGCAACAGAATGCCGACTCCGACGCTATTGTCAAACAACTTCACAAGGTTCTGCGACCCTTTTTGCTACGACGTGTCAAGGCCGACGTAGAAAAGTCGTTGTTACCGAAGAAGGAAATCAACCTGTACGTGGGTATGTCCGACATGCAAGTTCAATGGTACAAGAAGATTTTGGAAAAGGACATCGATGCTGTCAATGGCGGTGCTGGCAACAAGGAGAGCAAGACTCGTCTACTGAATATTGTCATGCAATTGCGCAAGTGCTGCAACCACCCCTATCTCTTCGAAGGCGCCGAGCCTGGTCCACCCTACACAACGGATGAACATTTGGTCACCAACGCCGCCAAGATGGTCATGCTGGACAAGCTGCTCAAGCGCATGAAGGCTCAAGGCAGCCGCGTGCTTATCTTCTCACAGATGAGCCGTGTCTTAGATATTATGGAAGATTATTCGGTCATGCGAGGATACCAATACTGCCGTATAGACGGTTCGACTGCTCACGAAGATCGTATCCAGGCCATTGACGACTACAACAAGGAAGGCTCAGAGAAGTTTTTGTTTCTCTTGACCACCCGCGCCGGTGGCTTGGGTATCAACTTGACTTCGGCCGACATTGTCGTTCTCTTTGACAGTGACTGGAACCCGCAAGCTGATCTTCAAGCCATGGACCGCGCTCATCGTATCGGCCAGACCAAGCAAGTCTACGTTTTCCGCTTCGTTACCGAGATGGCTATTGAAGAAAAGGTGCTTGAGCGTGCCGCACAGAAGCTGCGTCTGGATCAGCTAGTCATCCAGCAGGGTCGTACACAGCAGCCGGCGAAGAACGCTGCATCAAAGGACGAGTTGTTGACCATGATTCAGCACGGTGCAGAGGCCGTATTTAAGAGCAAAGGGCCTGTTGGTCCAGCAGCTGATGGCGAGCTCGCCGATGATGACTTTGATGCCGTCATGCGCCGTGGTGAAGAGATGACTGAGAAGCTTAACAAGAGGTACGAGACACTTGGTCTCGATGATCTCCAAAAGTTCACTTCGGATTCGACATACGAGTGGAACGGTGAGACGTTTCAACCTCGTAAGAAAGAGGTTGGCATCTCGTGGATCAACCCCTCGAAGCGTGAGCGCAAGGAGCAAAACTACGGCATCGACTCCTACTACCGTAAGACGCTGGTCACGGGCGGACGGACAGAAAACAAGCAGCCTAGGATACCTCGCGCGCCCAAGCAAATCACCATACACGACTACCAGTTCTTTCCGGAACGACTCGCCGAACTCCAGGACAAGGAGACGGCGTGGTATCGCAAGGAAAATAACCTCAAGGCTCCCCTGCCCGAAGGCCCTGACGAGGATCTGGAGACGCGTGAAGCCGATCAGCAACTTGCGCAACAAGAGATTGATGACGCAGAGCCATTGACGGAAGAGGAGAAGGCAGAGAAGGAGCGCTTGATCGAAAGAGGTTTCCCTGAGTGGAACAAGCGGTGACTGCACAGTCTCATGGTAGCGCCAGTATGTAGACCACTACGAGGGCATCTCAGAAGAAGTCGACGCAAGGATGCAGAGGAGATTGAAGCGTACGCAAGGTGTCTGGAAGAAGTACAAGACGCTAGACAATTGGCAAAAGCACTTAGGTGTGATTGAGGAAGGAGAGCTGCGCGTACGACAGTCGGAAGAGAAGAAGCGTTTGATTGCCAAGAAGATTAGCATGTATCGCATGCCTCTTCAACAGATGCAGATCAAGTACACCGTCTCGACTACCAATAAGAAGGTGTACACAGAGGAAGAGGACAAATTCCTCGTCGTCATGCTACACAAGTACGGTGTAGAGGGCGACTTGATCTATGAGAAGATCCGAGACGAGATCCGTGAATCACCCTTGTTTCGATTTGACTGGTTCTTCCTGTCGCGCACACCCCAGGAGATTGGCCGTCGCTGTACCACGCTAATCTCAGCCATTGTCCGCGAGCTTGGTGATGGCGATCTGAAAAACAAGAATGGCAAGCGCGGATACGACGAGGAAGAGACAGAGGAGGAGGAGGAGCAACCGAAGAAGAAGACGAAGAATGGAGTCAAGGTATGTGAGATTGACTGATTTGGTTATACACGATCTAACACGATGCAGAATAAGCAGCTTGACACTGTCAAGGCCAAGGGTTCTCCCGCTTCGGCGACACCATCTCGTGCGAGCAGCGTTGCTACGAATGGTTCGGCGACCAAGGGTTCAACAACAAAGGGCAAGGGAAAGGGAAAGAAGAAGTAGTGTGTTCGATTGGGGTGATGTAGTTTTAATCTCGTGCAAGTAATGCGCATGGCATGGTGTTTTGGGCGTATATCAAGACGGGTCAGGAGGTCTACTCAACCTCGGGCATGTTGAGCTTGTTTTAGGTCTATCGCTAGGGAGACTGAACTGAAAGTGTATTTGTACCTGAATAGTCGATGTGTAATGTTGCTGAGACTGAATGGACATGGTTCGACATGAGATGACTTTGGCTGTCAAGTGGCTGTCTCGAGTGGCAGGAGCGGTGTGGCGGTGCAGCTGCGGGGTGACGCACAAGCTCATGACGCGCCCGCCGCAATCTCATCTGCACTCGAATTCTTGTGCGCCTTATTGTAGCCCCGTAGACAACGCTCTCTCTCTCCATTCCTGTAGACGGTTACCAGGCGGGAATAGATATTTGGTACGGTGTAATATAAGAAACAAGAGCACGTTGTACATAGACCAGCCAGACCAGGTACGCGCTCGCATTGCCCCTCCAAGGATTCGGGAAGGTTCCGCTGTGCGTAAAGCTAGGTTGAACTTATCTGACCGCAATAACAGCCTCTCACCCCTCTTCTCTTCTCAATACAGCCAGTCGAACCTTCTCGCCGCGACCATGGCCTCTGCCGCACTCATCGACGCCGACATGGCGCCGACTCTGCAGTCAATTCTCGACCAAAAGACGCTCCGATGGATCTTTGTCGGTGGAAAGGGTGGTGTAGGAAAGACGACGACATCGTGTTCACTCGCCATTCAGCTTGCAAAGCACCGCAAATCCGTCCTGCTCATCTCCACCGATCCTGCCCACAATCTCTCAGACGCCTTCAACCAAAAGTTCGGCAAGGATGCACGACTCGTCAACGGCTTCGACAACCTCAGCGCCATGGAGATTGATCCGAACGGCAGTATACAGGATCTGTTAGCAAGTGGAGCGGAAGAGGGGCAAGATCCCATGGCTGGACTGGGCGGCATGGGCAGTATGATGCAGGATCTGGCCTTTTCAGTATGTGAATAGGCCTTTTGATTTCGGAACGCATGCTGACTCGGCAGATTCCCGGTGTGGACGAGGCCATGTCTTTTGCCGAAGTGCTCAAACAAGTGAAGAGCATGTCGTACGAAGTCATCATTTTTGATACCGCGCCCACGGGCCACACACTCCGTTTCTTGCAGTTCCCCACTGTCATGGAGAAGGCCCTCTCAAAAGTTTCTCAGCTCTCCCGACAATTCGGCCCCATGCTCAACTCCTTTCTCGGCGCATCAGGCAGACTGCCAAACGGACAAAACATGGATGAGCTAATTGAGAAGATGGAGAACCTGAGGGAAACAATCGGCGAGGTCAACGGCCAGTTCAAGGATGCCGATTTGACCACTTTTGTTTGCGTTTGCATCCCAGAGTTCCTTAGTCTGTACGAGACGGAGCGCATGATCCAGGAGTTGAACAGCTACGAGATTGACACTCATTCCATTGTCGTCAACCAGCTCTTGTTTCCCAAGCAGGACAACCCATGCGAGCAATGCAATGCGCGCCGGAAGATGCAAAAGAAGTACCTCGACCAGATTGAGGAGCTGTATGACGAATTCAACGTGGTCAAGATGCCGTTGCTAGTCGAGGAAGTGCGAGGCAAAGAGAAGCTGGAGAAGTAGGTTGTCTAGTCATGACTCGCCGATTAGTGTGCTAACCGTTCATGCAGATTCAGCGAGATGCTTGTTAAGCCCTTTGTGCCTCCGCAGTAAAGCCTAGCTGTGCTCTGCGACCCAGCTCAAGCACAACAAGGACCGTGCACGCATGTTAGAGCCCTCTAGATGCGACGATGCGACGATGCGACAACCTCCTGGAAACAGGGACCAACCCCATGCTCAGGCGTTGACGGCACGAGTGCCTCGCCGATTTGTCGCCGTTACCGTCTACCTCCTGTGCACATTCTGTGATACCATGTGGCTTCTGTGATTTCGCTTCTCTTATCCACATTTCTCTACTTTAGCGACTAGCCTCCACCTCGGCAAAAATATATGAACATTCTGCCGATGCAGTATTTACTACATACTCCACCCCTCTATCCTCTTTTGCCATCATGCCCGTGGACAGCTGACTTGCATTGCAGCTGGCGCTCTTGCGAACTCTAGAAAAATGCCATGTCTGAGTGCATGCAGTCCGCTAGCGCTGAGCTTGCCTACCAGCATGTCGATGCACCCCGCACATGCTGCTAGCTATAATGAGACCTGATACCGAACATTCTACGAACGAGTCAGGAACACATCGAACTACTAGCAGCGCGCGGACGTTTACAAAATCTTTTCTCGCTATGCCTGCCGTCTACGAAAGTACCATGGCGGATGCAAGATACCCGGGACTCACCCACGTTCCATTAACATTGGCCCAGGCACGCCTGGCTCCTACAATATCAAACACCAAGCGCATGTTCCCTAACTACATACATGCTATATGTGCAGCAACACACTTGCATCTAGGCGTATGCAACCAAACCATCCATCCATACTGAGGAACTAAGTGGAGATTTCAGGCACAACGTGCTGCTAGCGCAGGGGCAATACGATGCGCAGTCATGATATCTTCTCTTGCCTACATACAGATCGGGAACCGAAGATGTTGTTGATTACCACAGACTAACTTAAGGATGGTTGGTTGGGTGGATGAAATCTAAACTTGCTGTTCGTAGCGCAAACTTGCAAACGCCCACCTTATGCACGTGGTAAGCAGTAGGCGGGTTCATGCATTCGATGCTCGCGTGCAGAAAAATAGAAGCTTGCGACCAACTTTGCGGAATCAGCCTGGTTGTTTATCATGTTCTGAATACTTGCTAGGATATTGTACGGCAACACGGCAACGAACAGGCTGGTTTCACTACTAACACAGCCTTGCGAACACCAGCACTTCTAACTGCGCCTTGTCCTTCATGCAGAAATGAGTACCTTTTTCCTGTGGCGTGGATCAGACAGCGGGTCAATGCCTTGATTCGGCAAGTCACTGTTTGAGGCAAACCCAGCAAGCGCCAATTCACCCCGGTCTCGTACTTGTGTGTGCTTGCTGATCACAGCCCAGGATTGTTGGCCATGCATCGCAGCAAGTGACCACCGGTAGTACACGACTCGAATGGCATGACCTGCTTGGGGAAGAGGGTGTGGTATATAGATCGTGTCTTCTCCTGTCCATGTTTGGTCAGTACATCGCAGCGCGGTTACATTCTTTCCTTCAAGTCACAACTGGTTTTGTTCTCTTTCTGCCAATTCTCCTCCTCCCGGTAGTCAAGAGTCTTATACCCACTCTAGCCGTTCCATCATTCGTCTTGGAGCCATATTGCTCGGTGCGGATTCACTCCGTCACGCAGTCCCTGTTGAACTTGGACGTAGAGGTATGTCTTTCAATCCTAGCAATAAATGTATTTGCTAACGTTTCTAGATGTATCCGCCGGAGTTTTAGATCAACTTGCCTTCTTTTCCCAATACTCTGCGGCGGCCTACTGTCTCGGCAACAACAACAGCCCCAACACCAAAATCGCATGCCCACAAGGCAATTGTCCCCTCGTTGAAGCCGCGAAAACGAGTACCCTCACCGAATTCGAGAACAGCGTCAAGAGCGATGTGACAGGCTTCGTCGCAACAGACACCACCAACAAACTCATCGTGCTCTCATTCCGCGGGTCAAAGAGTGTTCGCAACTGGATCACCAACGTCAAGTTTCCCGTCACCAAGACGCCCATCTGCGCAGACTGTGACGCGAGTATCGGGTTTTGGGAGAGCTGGGAGGAGGCACAGACCGAGGTCCTGAAAGCCATTTCAACTGCGCAAAAGAAATTCCCAAACTTCAAGGTTGTTGCCACTGGACATTCGCTAGGCGGTGCGCTGGCAACTCTCGCTGCGGGTGTGCTGCGCAGCCAAAACACAACAGTCGACCTGTACACATACGGTGCACCCAGAGTCGGCCTAGAAGGCATTAGCCAGTTCATTGGTGCACCGGGCAAGGGTGAGACTTTCAGGGTCACGCACAAGGGCGACCCTGTTCCCAAACTTCCTCCTTCCATCCTCGGCTACAGACACTCTTCGCCAGAGCACTACGTCCTTAGTGGCAACGATGTACCGCCAACGGTTGGAGAAATCGAAGTTCTCGATGGTACATTGAACCTGAAGGGCAATGCGGGCGACTTGGGAGTGGATATCGGCAAGCATTTGTTTTATTTTGGAAATATCAGTGCCTGTGACGGAAAGCAAGGCATCGAGGTCAAGGCGTAGAATCCTGTCCATCGTATGATGAATTAAACGATTATGATTTTTTTTACATCTTCATACCCTCTACCGTCCCCTTTTCCGGTTCCCCCTCTTCGTTTTCGTACAAAGGGTTCACTTGGACCTCTCGTAACCACAGCCGAAACGACTTGTCCAATGTCTTTTTATTCATAATGGCGCAATCTTTGATCTCTTGTGGTGTCAGGTACGATACTTCGTCTGCATTACCGCCGGCAATCGATATAGCGCGTTGAAGCAGTATGCAATTCTTCTGCGTGTACAGCGCCCGGTACACCGCCTCCTCGATGCTCGCCCCAAACGTTGTAAACCCATGCTTATGCTGCAGCACCACGGGATTCTCTGACGTAAAATGCGAGGCCAACGCCGCCCCTAAGTGTGCATCCTTGATGAGGAGGTCATGTGCACACGGCGTTCCTGCATCTCGTGCTGCGTCCCGATATAACTTGTCCATGGTAAACACTTTTGCGCCCCCAACACCCATGAAGCCGGCCATGTGAAAGACGGGCCGGACGGGAAACGCTTCTTCAGTGCCGTGGCCCAGTGTGAAAGGAATCACATCCTCCGAATGCGAATGTACGACGCAATTTGCTTTTGGAAATTTGCGCAGTAGCTCGCCATGGATGAAGCGTTCAGAGTAGCCTTGCGGGGCGTCCTTGTCTACAGGACTGGAGTCGGAAACCCAGTAGGAGATAAAATCACCGACATTTTTTACTAGGGCTGGGGCTCCGGGGTCGTAGGCTGCGATGATATATTGGTCCTTGTTCAGGGGGTGCCGGACGGATATGTGGCCGAATGCGTCGACGAGGTTGTGGTTGTGCAAGATGTGATTTGCGCGGATGAGGAGGCGTAGTTGTTGTTGGAGTTGGGGTGGTATCGACATGATGAGTCGTCTAGTTTTTGGGGCCACGGGACGCGGTGATTTGGGGGCTACGGAGCGTGGTGATTTGGGAGCCAGTGAGCGTGGTGATTTGGGAGCCAGTGAGCGTGGTGATTTGGGGGCCAGTGAGCGCGGTGATGTGGGTAGTGGTGGCAGTGTTTTGCGCCGTTTGGTGTACTGTTGCTTTTCTTGGAGTTGTTGCTCCGGCCCCGCCTGTAGGATGGTCTTCAATTGGGACACGAGAGTTGCTTGAACTTCCTGGAACCGGGGTTTCGGTGGTGGCTGTGCTACTGCTGCTATTGGTGGTCGTACGGGTTGTAGGTGGGCGGCGAAGTGGAGGGAGGAGACGCGGGGAGGAGGCGGTGGTGGCAGTGGTCCGAAGACGTGGACGGGAAAGCTTTCGGCTGCGCAGCGGTTGCAGAGAACCATATGGGCATGTATTGCGCAATCAATTTGCTGCGTCTAGCTGGAACCTCAAGAGCAGGTTGATCCACCTTATGAAGGCCCCGCTGATGCATGTTTCTTCAAACGTTTGGACGGAGGAGGGAGTGTATCAGACACATTGAGCGTAATGATGGAAACGAGGCTATGAAACCGCGGTTACTTTCAACCTGCTCTGCTCTCTGGTGACATTCACTACTCTGATGTTCGTTATTCTCAAAACGACTTTACGTACTGTAATTGCGTGTCGTCATTGCGGGCAATGCTACCCATTCTGACGGCCAGATTGTGCAAAGTGACAGGGAGTGGCGGATGCATGTGTTGCGGGACGGAACGCCGGGCGGTTGGAATCGAGGGGATCCGGCGGTGATGCCGACCGCCGATTGACGCTTGCTGCAACTCGCGACACCAAAGTTCCATTCCAAGCCTCTAGTCATGTAGTTCTTGAACTCCTTGACCGTCTCACTAGGTTTCACTCGGGACAATTTGTCTCGTGGATGCCTTCAATCGCCGGCAGAATGGCGGCTCAGTACGTTTTCGCGGGTATCGCGGCCGCAGGAATCGCCTTTTGGTACGACTTTACGAGCTGGAAGAGTGCTGGTTTGCGCAATCTTTGTCCTGGGATGGCCAATTGCTGAACCTGCCAGGCACCGGAGGCACGCCGCCAACCTTGGAAGGCTACCTCAAGATCCGGCGATGGGGAATCTACCTGCTCTACACGCGCCAAAACCTCCTTGACCCATCTCCACTCCCGGATTCGGGGACTTCGTATATCAAATCGCAAAGGATTCCGGGACGTGTGGGTAACAGGCCAGAACTCACGCGCTGGACCCTTCCCCAGCGTCAATTTCCTGAGAAGATTACTCCAACTGCATCGGCCACTCTTCACAATTTGATGCAAGAAATCTCCAGTACGGCGCCTTACTCGGAGTATATTGAAACGCGACCTAGCAAGACAGAAGGCGGTACCGGACCTGCCATTTACGTCAAGCCAGATGTCAAGACCATCAATCCTGTAGCGCACAAGATCTTCTACGAAGTCGCGCATGTACATCCAGCAGAGAACTCGTTGCATGTTTATGTGAGTCCTCAGGATGCGAAGTTAATCATGAACCGAGGCTGGGGGTTGCGCTTTCCTGTTACATGGATTGCGCCACCAAGCTGGATCATGGTGTACGCGCCGAGGAATGAGGAGGAAGTAGAGGTTGTGAGGGAGATTGTCAGGGCTGCTGTTTGCTTTGCTGTGAGCATGAACATTGAGTAGACTCACGAATGCAATCGGGTGCGCCGAGATGGCTGAATCCAAACTATTTCTGAGTGTCGGGGTTTAGCAAAGGTGGCAAGAAGGCGCACCGTTCTAGCTTGACCTTATGCCTGATTCCATATCTCATGAAACTCCAGATACAGTTTTCATCGTGAACTACTGAGCGCTTCACAAACCCCGCCCATATCTCCTAGACGAGGTGACGTTGCTCGGTACGGTAATCACGAAGCGGAGAACCGCTGGAAACCAAGGCCCCGGCTGCTCCCGCTCCGATCCTTCCCTATATGATCTGCACACTAGCCTAGTATGTAGTAACTTTAGAAGAGCCACTTAGCTTTAGTCGGGGACATGTCCTGTTAAGAGCCTCCATCCGTCTACTGAAGTTATCGCTTGAGTACACGGACGTCATACCCAGAAAATATCGCGCTACAGTAAAACAGCGAATACTGCGCCTGTATCCTTCCGACTGGACAACAGTTATTTTAATAATCACCTCTATCAAATGGGCAGCATGGACACCAAGCCGATGAAGGTCCTCATCATTGGAGCAGGTAACTAGACAATGTAAGCTTCTGGCCTCCATTGCTAACATATCTAGGCCCCGCTGGATGCGCACTCGCACATGGTTTAAAGGAAGCTGGCATTTCGTTCAACATCTACGACAAAGGCTCAGACGTCTACCGCCATCGACACTGGGCCTTTACACTTGGCTGGGCACGGCCGTTTCTCTTTGGGTTGATACCAGAAGAGCTGAGCGCCCAGATCAATACCTGCCAAGTGGATCCATATGTCGACTGCGCAGCAATCGGCGAAGATCGCATTGTAATTTACAATGGTCAAACAAAGGAAGAAGCATTTGCCTTCCCCGCACCCAACGCACGAGAAATCAACATCAGGAAGCTGCGGATACTATTAGCCGAGCAACTGAATGTGCAGTATAGCAAGAGCTTCTCGCACTATGAGATGAAAGAAGACGGAGGTGTCAAGGTCTACTTCGAGGATGGGTCTAGCGACGAGGGCGACATGCTCATTGGTATTGACGGCGCAATGTCCAAGGTCCGTCGATGTCTATTGCCTCGTCAAGGTGAGATGGAAACGCTTCCCTTTGCGCTTATGAACTTCAACGCATCCTACACTGCTGAACAAGCGCTGTTCATCAAGGAACGCCTGCACCAGCTCGTGGATATTGCGATTCATCCCGCCGGCCATTATATCCGTGCCAATGTTCTCGATATGCCGGATGAAAAGGATCCAAGTACCTGGACATTCCAAATTCTCACCACATGGCCGTTAAAGTACGTCGAGGACTACGACAATGACACCGATCGTCTCAAAAGACTAAAGGCGCATGTGAAGAGGGATGACTGGGCGGAGCCCTACAAGAGTGCCATTGAGTGGATTCCAGAAGACACTGGTGTGTTGCGAGATGGACTTAAGATTTGGAGGACAGTGCCGTGGGATAACCACGGTGGACGCGTGACGCTATGTGGTGATGCAGCGCACGCCATGACGTTCCATCGTGGACAAGGTGCAAACAATGCTTTCTACTCGGCACATTGTCTCGTAGAAGCACTCAAGAGCGTGCAAGACGGGAGCGCAACGCTCCAAGATGCGATTTCGGCGTATGATGAGAGTATTTGGAAGCGCGGCGCCAATGAGGTGCAAATTTCGAAAGCGCAGAGCTTCTTCACACATGATGGACTGGACAACTTCATCAACAGCCCTGTGATGAAGCTGGGAACTAAGCCGAGCCACAATGCGAAGAGTGCCGGATACGAGTAGTTAGGCCCGAAGAATGGGAGGACAATCTCTATCTCGCCGCATCTGAATCGAATGATCGTTTTGCCTTGCGTCTCAAGTACCTTGTTGTTGCTGGGAGATCCGTTTTTTTTCCTCGCGGGTATCAGTTTGCATGTCTTGCAAGTTGTGCCGAGGTATTTATCGACGGTGGAACGGTTATTAAATCACCTTGGGTGCAGATGAACTCCAACTCACTAAACTAAGATAGACTAGTGGATGGTTCGGAAATTTATGTATGCCCTTCTGCCACTCGGTTCCTCTTCAGCACAACTATAACTCCTGATGCCCAATGTACGTACTTCAAGAAGCTGTTGTTTTCTTTCGACCTCGCATTGCCTTGTTTGCTGTAACTTATTGAATTCAAGATCACAAGCTCCAATTCTGTCTTCTTTCCGAGATATCATCATCAATTCCACGTAAAGCGAGGCCCTGACGGTATTTCCCGACCCACTAACTAGCTGCGGCTCCTTTCCGGTCGCACGCCCCAGGTGCTAACCCCTATATTTAGATCCGATGCGCATGTCAGATATCTTGTTGTTGGTATTGAACAAGACTGGACATGTACTTAAGGCGCTGCAGGATGCGCTTCCTTTTTTGAGTACCTGTTGCGCAACGTCCTTCTTACACCAGCCGCTCAATTCGCCGTCTTCGCCATGGTAGCCAGCGTAAAAATTGTCCTAGCCGTTGCCACGACTGCTTCAGCAGCCATACTGGAATTGCCCGTCGCTATCAAGAATTCTTATCTCAGCGTTCCATTCCAGGTTGGAACACCTCCGAAAGAGCATCGATTGTCTCTCGATACCGGCTCGGCATCAAGTTTTATGCTCAATACCGATTGTACAGCGACGTCGTGCCCCGATGGTAGTAAACCCTACTACATCCGACAGCCGTACAATGCGTCTGCCTCATCATCGGCCGTTGATAAGCACATTTCCGCGGCGATTCCATACCTGGGGGGCAATGTCGCTGGTGAGACATTCGAGGACGTGTTCGGCGATCCAGCGTCTGACATCCAATGGAACCAGACTTTTGTATCGGTCAATCAAAGCTCCTGGCGCTTCATCACTGCCGATGGGTTCCTTGGGTTGGGCTTTTCAACCATCGCGGAGAAGAACACTACTACCGTAGTCGAAACGTTGATGCAGAACGATCTGCTCGACGCACCGCGTTTTTCCTTGTTTTACGGAACAAACCCATCAGACAATGGGACTCAAGACGGTGCGCTGACCATAGGCGGTAGCCATGAAGAAAAATACGCGGATGGCCCGATAGTCTACGCACCTTTGAAAAAAGAGGGCGAGTACCAGCTATGGCGTACTCCGCTGAGGAGCATCAGCATCCTTGTTGCGAGGAACCCAACGGACCCCAATTCGACTGTGGAAGTTCACAACGGCCGTCTTCCCACTACAAGGGTTCCAGAGGGCACATGGCCACACGCCAATGTGACATGGAACATGTTCACCTCGGGAAGTGCGGTTTTTGACACGGGAGCTGGGAGCCTTTCTCTGCCGATAGTAACTCTTCCCGGCCTTTACTACAACCTTGGATGGAATTACACCAAGCTCTTCGAGACCCATGAGGAGCGTATCGAGTGCCAGCATTTGAATGCGTCGTGGGCAGTCACTCTGACGCTCGGTGACGGCGCTCCGGAAGACGATGTCTCGTTCAGCATTCGAGGCGACGAGTTCTTTTTCAACCACGAGTGTATGCCACCGTTTGATACGACCGGCGATAGCTACGCATTGATCGGCATGTCGTTCCTCCGAAGGCATTACTCAGTCTTCGACTTTGGGAGCAACAAGGTTGAGAACTACGCACCAAGGATTGGCTTTGGAAGGCTCAAGAAGGCGTACGACTACATGTACCAGTATTAGTTGCGCATATTAAGTTCCTATATTACCGGTTAGAGTTATAGGAATTCGGCCACTTGCCTATTTAATCATGACCACCTCGTATGCTTTTTTTCATGTTTCCTTCCTACTAGCTGCGACAACTGGATATTACTATAAGACAGCTCATACCCTGCGCCAATGCACATCCTCTTGGCCACATAGCAAATGACTTTGACCTTAACAATCGTTGTAATCACCTCGCTCCCAGGCGCGCATTGGCCTAGCCTCTTACTCTTCCAACCCACACCTTCCGCTCACGTTTTTGGTCCAACGGCATACTGTTCTCCCACGGCTGGTATTTGGCCGAACCCTCTACAACGAGTCTTTACGATAAGATTCACGGCAGTGTCTTCATTGACATCAACAGCTCCAGCTGCAATCCAGAAATTACATTTTACGTGCGCTACTCTGTATCTCATGGCTCTCCCATCAGGACCCATCAACTGTGTCCCTATGTTCAAACTTCTTGGGCTCGACCAAAAGCAGTTGAGAGGCAAACCTTCAGCCCGCCGGGTGTTTTGTGGTTGAAGAAAGCATCATAGCACTCCGAGATGTTCTCGAGCTTGTCTGTGTAACGGAAATTAGATATAAGAGACGCGTACTGACCCTGGCTGTACTAACCTTTGTGAGTGAACATGAAAGAGGGGTCATATTCGCCCTTGACGACGAGGTCCAGGAGGTAGGGGAAGTACTGCAAATTTCGCAGTCACAGTTAGTGACATCGATCCCGGATACATAGTGGTGAATGGGAATAGATATCTCACCTTCTCAGCATATAGCTGCCCACCGCGCAAAGTGATGGCCTTTTCCATCAACATTCCGATCGGGAAGTTGTTGGTAGAGTAGAAGAAGTCACCAATCAAAGCAATGTTTCCACCCTTGCGTGTCGCCTTGATCACCGCGCTCACGGTGTCTGAGCTATCGCCCTCGATGCCCAGCTTTCTCATGGTGGCATGAGCGACCGAGTTTGTACTCCTGAAGCCGCTTGCTTCAATTCCGCGGTCTAGGCCATGTGGTTCAATGGACAGGATGTAATCTGCCGGGTTGGAGTGTTTGTTCACATCGACGGGAATCATGCCGAAAGACTCTGCAATCCGGAGTCGGTTGACGTCCTTGTCGACAGCGTACACCTTGCGAGCCCCGCGGAGCTTCGCCAAACGTTGGATGGACAGACCGACTGCGCCACAACCCCAGACACCAACAACGTCGCCTTTGCGCACTTCTGCAAGCTCATTGCCGTGCCACGCAGTAGGTGTAACATCCGCAAGACCGACCAGCTTTTCAGCCGGGATGTCCTTTGGAGCTTTAACACAGACAAGATCGGCATTGGGAACGCGACAGTACTCAGCTTGGTTGCCTGGGTATCCTCCTGTGATCAGGGAGTAGCCAAAAATGCCCGAAAGACGATGTCCGTACATTTGCTCCAACTCCTGCGAGGGGTTGGTCTTATCGCAAAGAGAAAACTCCTTGCGCTTGCAGTAGGAGCATTCTCCACATGCAATGACAGGCAGGATGATGACTCGATCTCCCACCTTCAAGTCGTTGACTTCAGGGCCAACATGCTCGATGATCCCGATAGCTTCGTGGCCCATGATCAACCCCTTTTCCATGACACTGTTCATATCACCATTGTACATGTGTAGGTCCGAGCCGCATATGGTGCAGTGTGTGATGTGCACGATGGCGTCTTTGGGCGCAGTGATCGTCGGCTTCGGGACGACACCCAGCTCGATTGATTTCGTACCCGTCCAGAGAGCTGCTTTCATTGTCTCAGTCGGATGAGGCTTGTATGCTGTTGTGTTGACAGGCCTTTGAACTGACGTCAGACTTGTATAAAGTACGATCTAGGAACATGAAGCTTACTTTGATACTTCCGCCATTATGAAATGCTGCGATACCTTGATGGTTGCTGTTAGTGTGTACGATTCGGAGGTTGAAGCGTCTTAATAGTCGTGTGATGCCGTTTAAGAGACAAGTCTTCAATGATGGTGCGTACTTTATAGACAACGGTCCTAGCATTAGTCTTCTAGGTACGTGATGCTGACGCTGTATCGTGACGGCCCTTACGCCCACCGCGCTGTCATGAAACCATTATCATGTTTTCATTTTTCATCATAACATGATCCATGGGCGAGCGGCGCACACGGGCGAGCGGCGCACCCCACCAACTTTACTCACCTTACTGATCTTAATCTACAATGGCTCAACGCAGCGCTACTCAATTACTATCAAATGAAGCAGATATTCAGCTTGCTATCTCATCTATTAATGCGCACCAGATCCAAGGTACCCGTACTGCTGCAGTAGTCTACAACGTAGCCGAAACAACGCTCCGCCGCCGACGCGCTGGTATACCTGCCCGACGCGATTGCCCGCCCAACTCAAGGAAGCTTACCCAGAGAGAAGAGGAGGTGATTATTAGCTATATACTTCAGCTAGATCTGCGTGGATTTGCGCCTACCTACACAGCTGTACGTGATATGGCTGATAAGCTGCTGGCTGCGCGTGGTGGAGAGCAGGTTGGAGTCAACTGGCCATCTACCTTTGTTAAGCGTACAGACAGTCTTCGGACGTGTTTCAACCAAGCGTACGATAGGCAGAGAGCTCTTTGTGAGGATGCAACATTAATAAAGAGGTGGTTTAAGCTTGTAGAAGAGACAAAGGCTGAGCTAGGTATCTGCGATGAGGACGTCTACAACTTTGATGAAGCTGGCTTTATGATGGGCAAGATTACAACGCAGCTAGTTATAACAGGAGCAGAGAGGAGAGGCAGGCCGAAGAGTATTCAGCCAGGCAATCGCGAGTGGGTAACGCTGATCGCTGCTATCAGCGCTGCTGGCTGGTCAGTCCCACCGTTCCTCATCTTCGCTGGCCAGTACTACCTATCAGCCTGGTATAAGGAAGCTGAGATCCCACGCGACTGGGCGATCGCAGTCAGCGATAATGGCTGGACGAATAATGAGCTTGGAGTTGAGTGGCTAAAGCACTTCAACGCTCACACGCAGGCTCGTAGTGTAGGCGCGCGTCGCCTGCTTATTATTGATGGCCATAAGAGCCACCAATCTCTAGAGTTCCAGGAGCTCTGCAAGGAGAACAATATCCATACGCTCTGTATGCCTCCTCACTCATCTCACCTACTCCAGCCACTTGATGTTGGCTGCTTCTCGCCATTGAAGCGCGCGTACAGCCGTGAGGTGGAGAGCCTTATGCGCAACCACATCAACCACATCACCAAGCTAGAGTTTCTGCCAGCGTTCAAGGCAGCATTTGATCAAGCGTTCACGCCAGCCAATATCTGCTCAGCCTTCCGCGGCGCAGGCCTTGTTCCTCTACAACCAGAGGCTGTTCTATCAAAGGTAGATGTACAACTGCGTACACCTACTCCTCCAGCAGCTCTGCCAGAGGCTCCCTGGGTAGCTCAAACGCCGAGCAACGCGCGTGAGCTTGAGGCTCAGTCAAGCCTAATACGTGAGCGCGTGCGCCAGCACAAGAGCTCATCACCAGCTTCAATTATTATGGCGATTGACCAGCTAAAGAAGGGCGCCGAGGTGATGATGCTCTCTGCTGAGCTGATGCGCGATCGGATCTCTAGTCTTGAGAAGGCCAATAGCGCAGCCTCAGAGCGTAGGCGGCGCTCTAAAAGGCGTATACAGAAGCATGGAGTACTCACAAAGGGAGCTGGAGAGGATATACTGGCTCAAAATGAGGCTGACCAGCAGATTGCTCATGAAGAGCGTCAAGGAGGAGCGCGATCAGGCCTCAGCCAGCGGGCTCAAAGGCGCTGCACTAGGTGCAAGGAGACTGGGCACAACTCGCGCACATGCAAGACTGATACTATTAATATAGAGTAATCTACTGTATCAATATCTAGCAATAATATTATCGCGTTGTTGAGATGCATCGCTTTAAAGTTGCAAAAGTTGGTGGGGTGCGCCGCTCGCCCGTGTGCGCCGCTCGCCCATGGATCATGTTATCAAAAACTGCAAATGTTAATAAATTACCTTTAATCCAAATCCATAGCATCATCCATGTATTCATACGGTGTATCTTCGATATCCATGCTAGTGTAACCGTACGTCTTGGGCTCAAAGTCACGACTAGTCAAAGACTGAGCAGCCGAGACTATGTCATGCTCCTGTACTGCATCATGAGCAAGGTTACAGCCCGTTATAATAGTGTGCAGCATGCGCTCCAGCTCCAAGTCCTGAAGCTGCATCTTTGCATTATCACCATTCAACAGGTTGGCCTTGGCATCGGCATCCTTCCACGCATTCCGGTATTCTTTTGCAATGCCTAGTTGTACGCGCACCTCCTGTAGTCCCAAGGATCCAAAAAGTGGGCACTTGTCGTCGTCCAACGCTTCTAACAAGTTGGCATGGAAGGCATGCGAAGCCATCGGGCGCGTCCGGTGGAGATCAGGATTGATTTCGTAGCGGAGGGCGTTGAAGTTTTGCCGTGGCACAGACGCAGAGACGCTAATGCCGAAGATTGCGAGGCAGTCGGTAATGTAGCGCTCGAGTAGGGTGTAGAATTCGAAAAAGTCAACTTTGAACATGGACTCGGCTTGCTTCTGCACCAGGTTAGTCTTGCGATTGCTGGAGTGTTGAGACTGGTGGCTACTTACACTCGACGCGCCACTTCCCATTGTGTGCTGAGATTGGTAGTGATCCTGTTGCTGGGCTGCTGCTTGCACGATCTCTATGGTTCGGTTATACGACACCCACAGCATCTCAGCCTTCCAGCGGAGACGTCCTAATAGGCGCGAAACACGGTCTTTGTCCTGCTTGAGTTTGTCTGTCTTGGATTGCGCCAGGCTCTCGGCAGGTGTCTTGGGCGCGTATTTGGATGTTTTCATTGTGTCGCAATTGAGTTGTTTCAACCGGTGGGTGGTGGGGTTGAGTCTAAGCTGTTGGAATGAGTTGTATCTGTCAATTAATCGTACTGCTTATCAGTTGAGAAATACAAAGTTAGTGGGAACTAAGCCAACATTGATCGTTCATATATCTGGCATGCGTAGATTTTACAATGTTTCGAGCAAGCCCGTTGTGCATTGCATGTCCACAGTCAATGTGCTACTGTGTTGACGCTCAGAGGTCTGTGCTGAGGCGCGTCTGCTTTGTGGCTGAGTCAGCCACCTACATACATGCTTCCCTTCACACGAAAGTGCCCAAAGGTAATAACGGGCGAATAAGAACAATGGAAGTGAAAAGTGGACATTAATAGAGAAAAGTTACTAGAATTCTGTGATAAATATCCTACTCCCAGCGAGATGCAAATACCCTGTTCTTTCCCATTTCCCATTTCCCATTTCCCATTTCCCATTTCCCATTTCCCATTTCCCATTTCCCATTTCCCATTTCCCATTTCCCATTTCCCGTTTGCCCAGAGTCCCCTTTCCATGCCATGCCTAACATTTCCGTCACCACAAAGAAAAGCGACGACAAACAGAAGAGCTAAATTATGAATACATAGAAGAGAGAGGGAAAGATCAAACGAGTGTGTGGGTATCCCCATTTCCAAGCCGCAACCAAGAAAATGCGGAAATAATGGCCAAGTAACTAAGTAGGCACAAAGCCCCAAGGGTTGGAAATGCAGATAACATTGTGATACAAAACACCGTCGCTGGAACGCAAGGCTGCCGTAAAGTAACGAGTACAGCCATTTTAGAAGGGGGTAGTGGTGGTGTGCAAGTACAGTGCAGAAACGAAAAGAAATTCGTGAGGGCTGTGAAGCCTAAGAATGACAGCAAGCTTGCTATGACGCAAGTGCCGGGCAGGAACAAGTCTATGGTGTCGTGAGCTCGTGTTTAGTAGGGTATCAGTTTCTTTTGGGCGATGTGTTGGGGTTGCACAGGTGTGCCGAACCCTTCGGATTTTGGTCGATATTGTGGTACAAAATGGAATAAGATGCTATTGTAGATTCCAGGAGGGCAACGCTCTGCGATCGTAGCGTCCCAGTGGCTTTGTTGGTACAGGTGGTGAGTCCCTCCTCTTTTCTAGGCCTTCCGGAGCGACTGGTCGCTTCCTTCTCTCGATATCCGGATCATAGTAATGGGACGCTGTAACTGGGACTTTGAACTCCTGCGTGCTCAGTGGAAGGGTGTATTTGAAGTTGCCTCTGACGATGAGCTCGAAAGGATATTGTAGGACCTCTTCCCATCGTTCGCTTCCGCCTGCCTCTGTCTTGTTACCAGGGTGTGAGAGGCGAAGTTCACCGATAGATTCGGCGCGATGTCGCTGAAAAAAGGAGCCTTCGAAATTCAAAGGCGAATCGAAGCGGTAAATGCGGCCAAGCAACATAGTGCGAGGTTCACCTTCAACAGGGTCGGTGCCTTCGTCGACACCGGCAGTATCGATAGGTTTCCAGTGCTCCACGTTGTCATGTGGGCCGTGTGGACCATTCCCATGCTCGCGCCACCAGGCATCCGATCCGACGTGCTTGCTCTTAGCAAACAGTGAGACATCCATGTCGGAGACAGTGACGCCGATGATATTGGGATTTACAGCGTCGACGATGAGATCCAGCATAACTTCCTCTTGGCTTGCAACGACGTTCTGAATCTCCCGTACCATAAGGCTCGTGAGTGGCTTCGTGGTAGCAAAGACGAGACCAACAGCACAGAAGACAACAACCAGAAGCAAGATGGAGAGCACCAGGCATCCGGCAAATCGGCGACACCATCCTCCATCCCGGTGGTGGCGGCGTTCGAGCTGGCGTATGCTCGTGCCATTCCTTTGACGAGTCGTTCGAGCGCGGGGGCTGCGGCCAGGTGTAATTAGTGGAGTGCGCTCGTCGTCTGCTATGTTTTCAGCGTCAAGATCGTAAGCAGCCGAGTACTCTCCATTTTTCTTGATGCCGTTGCTGTGACCGTTGCCGAGGCTGAATTGGTGGATCCGAGGGCTATTGGGCTGCGATGTGTGCCTTGATGAGGGGCCGCGCACACGTGAGGACTGAGGCATCGACGAGTCGCTATCCATGACAAGATGGTTCAGTGCGCCACGACCCTGGCCGTGTCTCCCAATGTGATGGTGGTGGCTGCCTCCGCCTGCTCGCCCGGACCCGATCCGGACGGTACCCTCACCTCGGTCGTCACCATCGATGCTGGCATTGTTGTAGGGGTTCGTAAACTTGATGCTGCTCTTCTTGCTTGGATGCTTTTGTGTGTCACGTATTTGGAGGCGGGGGTCTGTGAGACTGGCTAGCGACGTCATGCTCGGTGTGCGCGAGTGGTGGCCGGGTTGGCGACTGCGGTGTGGCTGTTCAGGGGGATTGGATTCGTAGATGAAGGTGGCATCAGAGTCGGACGAGTCGGCCTCGTCGACGGCACTGGCCACCTTTTGTTCGAAGACATCTGCTTTTGACGAGGCTGTGCGATAGCTTGCGTTAGTATTTGAATAAAAATATTTGAGGGGAGGGGGGCGAGGGGACGCCATGCGGAGCTCTGGGCTTGGGGGTGACATTGTCAACAGCGACCGCCGGTCATCATACGAACGGTATGAGACGGGGCTGCCGAGGATTGAGGTTGTATTAGAGCGCAAGCCGGGGTCAGGCCGGCTGGGAATGTGATAGTGGTACGAAATGTGTTGCAACCTACCAGTACCTGCATTAATCGACGCCGCCTTCCGCTTGGCAGGTTTCCTATTATTCTTTGGGCGAATTGTCTCGTTGCTCGGCTTGAGGCGCACGCCTCCATCGACACGACCCGAGGCTGAGCGGTCCTGGTTGACAATGGACGCCTGTGCAACCGAAGGCACGGTCTCGGTTTCGACTGTCATGTTGCGGAGCGGGGGATCGCGTGAGCGGTTGGACATGGATGACAGGGAGGGTTTTGCGGAGACGGTATGTGGGCGATGGGTGTAGCTGGCTCGTTGTTCCTGCATCTTGCCCTTCCTGGCGCTTCTGGTCGCACTGTCACTACCGCTGCCCGTGTTTCTGCTGCTGCTGTTGTTACTGTTGTCGTGTTTACTGTTGCTAAGGTCTTCGGTGACTTTGGATGAATTGACGTCATTTCGCTCCGTGTCACTTTTTTGGACAGTCGCTGAAGAAACGAGACTAGGACAAACGTCAGCAGAGTTTGCGGATAGAAGCGGAAATTGGGACCGTTGTTAGTTTAGGTGCGTCGCGATGACCAAGAGTGGGGCCGTTGCGGGGAAAGCGTACCTTTGCGGCTCTAGACCACCAAAGCCGGGAGTGGCAGGTGAGCTAGATTCCTGGACAGTTTCGAGCTTGGGAGCCACGCCGCTGGAGCCCCGTAATGGGACTTTCATCGACTGCTGCTGTGGCTCCTCGGGGTCGCTGGCCGGGCCGTCGTTCCTGGGGAAGCCCGAGAGCGAGGCTGGGGAGGAACTCTGGACGATGATGGCGGGCGTGGATTGCGCCTCGGGCTTCCGGATCTGCGAACGGAGCGAGTTTGTGCGCGAACGCGGGCGGCCGTCGTCGCCCGGGGGTGGTGACCTCAGGCGCGGCGAGATGGGCCAGTGATGGGGGCCTGCGTCGCCGGGCTGTTTGGGGTTTGCAGGACGTGAGGCCCGCACTGTGTCGGTTGATGAGGTAGGCGTGAGCTCAGGTATGCTCGTCGATGACAGGGCCCGCGGCACTGTGGCCGTCGTGGACGTCGTGGACGAGTTTGCCAGGCTCGAGGTGCGGCTGGGGCTGACGTCGGCACTGCTCTTGCGTGAACGGAAGCCGGGTCTGGTGTGGTTCGCGGGTGGTGCATTGCGCTGCTGTGGGCGGGCCGGCGACGCTTCTCGCGACGACAGCGGCGATGATGGAGAGCCGGAGAGGTGGAGGGAACGTTGGCCAGCCAGCGTCTGGTGCCGCAACGAGCCCGTAGTTCCGTTCTCGGACGTGGTTGATATACTCGCAGGGGCCTTGGTTCCTCTGTAGTTGGTGTGGCGGTGCTGTGTTGTCGTGGGCGTCATGGCGGGCTCGGGCGATGGCGTAGGCGTGGGCTCTTCACTCTCCACAAGGCCTGAGAGGGAGTGGAAGCCGTCGTTGTCCTGCGGGGTGGGCGAGGGTGCAGTGGATGTCGGGGTCATCATGGGCGAGCGTGTGCTTCAATGGGCAGCGGCGCCCGTAGCATCCTGTGCTGAGGGCCTGGATAGCAGCGAGGTCCGGGTACAATGGGCGGTCAAAGCAGGTGGAATGAGTACGCGGCGCGCGGCCGTTGGACAGCGCCGCAGCGCGGGAACTTTGTTGTCGGTACAGGGGGACTGTGGCGCGCAGACAGCCTAAGCATTTGGAGGGCGATGCAGTCGGTGATGATCCAAGTAAAGCGTACTGTACTGACCGAATCCACACTGGCAAAAGGCGTGCGGCGTGTCCGGAGTCGATTGAGAACCTGCGTCTGCCAAAGCCTGACAAGGCCCCAGCCCGCCAGCGCTGACGCACCGGCACCGCATCTGGGGCTTTCCCAGGCACGAACCGAAACCTGCCAACGCATCACACAAGGGAACCGATCGAGGACGAATAACATATACTAACACCGACCCGTCACCTGAGCCGTCCGTTTTCGATAGGGCTGGATGTCCATGCATGCAAAAGCAATCAATCCATGCACACACAACGACTGACAGCCCTCCACGTGCCGCAATCCCCCACCCACACTCACTACATGATTGTGCCTTATCTGCCCACCATACTGCTGGTAGAGGGTCGGCACGCTCTCACCTCAGACGGGCGCGGCCACCCAAGTCCGCCATCTCACAATCATCCGGCACGCCTATGTATACTGTACAAACCGCCCGACCCCCATCTGCAACCCTAACACGACGCCTCTTAGCCCGAGATTCAACTCCCCGGAGTAACCGTAAGACGCGCATCTGCCGTCTTAGTCATATTCCTGTGATACCCTCATGTACAACAGCCCGCTCATTATTGCCTCTCAGTTCTTCAATTAGAAATGGCTTGAAGAACTTGCTAGCACCGCGACGGCATGTCACCGGCTGTGCCGCACAAACCCGAGTTCTGCCCGCTGGCCTAATCACAACTCCACCCTCCAAGCAGATTGGAAACCAAACCCGGGAAGCAAGACGGGATATTAAGAGATATACAGTTGCCTAATATAACTGCTGATTTGCTACACATTGTGTTCCATGTACGTGTCAACTCGCCACGTGGAAGCTCCCCTTCACATCACTCGCTACCATTAAAAGTCGTGCGCACCTGTCAGTTTACATTGTAATGAAGCAGCACTCGATGTCTATTTCGAGAAGCCAGTACCATGGCTGGTCCTGGAAGCCTAGCTTACCCTTGCACCCGTAGTCAAGGCCGCGTGTAATGTGCCAATAGCTGCAATCTCGCTGTTCGTTTGGGAGAGTCTATACACCAAGATCCTAAGCTTTGCCATGTCTGATACAAGACATATACACGGGCCTGTTATTGTTCTGGACACCATTTCCTTTTGCGCTGATGTCGCAGGCACCGTAGCCTGAGAGTGCAGGCAGTCGGAACTAACTCAGCGAAAGTAATGCCGGTTTGATGAGCATGCACTCTATGAATAAAATTGATTTGAGCGCCAAGATGAATCCAAGGCCATACTAAATAAAGCGCAGGAAGATACCTTGTACAAATCTACATATCTATCTATTTATAACAGTGAGAGAGGTGTCGGCATCCTGCGATACTACTACACACGTGATGCCACCCACCAAAAACCCAACCAACTGCTCCCACACCCCCAACCACCATAACGGAAAAGTTGCAAAAATAAAGCAAAAAAAGAAACAAGCCATCTCTCCAGCTGGGAATTGAACCCAGGTCTCCCGCGAAATTGCCGTCGTGTAGACGATGACAAGCGGAAATACTAACCACTATACGACTGAAGATGAGATGCTGCTGGAAGGCTGCTGCTGATTGATGAAAGAACTTCAATTTAATTGAAATATGATGTAGAGTTCAAAGGTTGATGGACCCTGGAAAGGAGTGGAAGGTGCGGTGCTGCGGTTGCGCACACAAAGTTTTTCTTCGTAGGTGGGACAGTGGGGTTTGTACCTACCTAAAGTGGTGCGCTGACTACCTACGATACCACACAGTCTTATCGCATTACATTACTAAACATGCTGTTGCTGGAACAAGATTACAGAATAGATTGATTTTGCAGTGTAGGAGAATAAATGTGTTCTCCTGGGTATACCAAGATATGGCTAAACAGCTGAGTTGATAGCCGTGTATTCGCCAACTAGTATCATTGACTTCGCGTTCGTTGTTACCACATCGCACGAGAGCCTGCAGAAGGGCATACTTAGAACGCCGATGTGTACTCAGTCTGTATATTTGAAGTATACACGCGTCTCATATACTAAGAGTATTTTGAATGAACAAGGTACGCTCTTCCAAAGGTACCAAGGTAGTAGTTTTGGAATTGCTTATCTTAGGCCACTATGTGCGACAACAGCCGAGTGGACGTAGCAGCGAGGTACCCTCTCTCAAAGGTAGTAGTAATTTTGGAATTGCTCATCTAAATTAACTACTACCCATAACCATGCACCGAGCATCAAGTTGCGATAAAGCAGAATCGTATACAGAAAAAAAAACGTATCTTGAAAGTGTCATGGTCCACAAATTGAGTGTGTAGTTACAAGAAAGAAGAAAAGTTACAATGCATTTTGCTCTAGCATGTGCCTACTTCTAGAGCTCATGCTTCTTGAATCCAGCACTTGGCTTGCGACTCAGCCTCAGCCTATCAACCTGGTTCTGCATACGCGATTTCTGAGCCGGCGCAGAAGCCGGCTTGTCATTACAAGGAGCACCACCAAACTGTGGCTCAGGGAACTTGTCTTGACTGTCAAAGTCCTTGATGTGTCCGAGCAGAACCTGCAGCTGGCGGAAGCCGACAGATTTTGTGGAGCCGGGGAGTGGGTGACCGGCGAGACGGGCAGAGTAGAAAAGGAGGCCACGCTCTTTAATCCAATAGCCTTGGAGGTAATTACCTGCCACTGAGTAGGCGTGCTGGTCATTGTAACCAGGTATGAAAAGGGGTCTGTTAGGGTACTTTGAGAACCCCTGGACTCCGTTCCAGGTCATGTTCTGGATGGCAAGCAGAGTTCCATTTGTAGGGATAAGCATGTCGAGATCGCCATTACCGATGAGAACGTTGTTGGTGGCCTCAATAACGCTCTTGAGAATGCCGTTCACTCCGGGTGGGTACGACTGGTCATACCCGTATGAGCCGTTACCGTCGCTAAAAACTCCCTCAGCAGAGCACATAGTCCACGTGGTTTTGGGATCCACGTGCAACGCCTTCTTGACATCGGCTCGATCGAAGTACACCTGTGCCCCTGGCTGGGGCTCATAACCCGTGTCCATTGGGCCCAATTGCGAACTTGCAAAGGGGCACATTTCCGTGATGTGGTACACGCTAAAGCAAGGGTTGGTAATTTGGCTAGCACTGAAGAAGTGGCCTTGAATGTCGCATTTTCCGTCTGGGGTAACGTCATAGGGATCGCGCACGGCTGGAAATGGACCCTTCGGAGGTGGAAATTTGAAGTACTTGTTGTAGTAATCGGTATAACCGCACTCCTTATGGAGCCTTTCCTGTTGCTGCAGGAAGGTGTCGTTATAGAATAGTATGTTGTTGTAGTGATTGGCGTATGCCATTATAGGAACTTGTTCTTGCAGGGCATCTTCGCCGATGACCGGGTTGTTGATTGAGATACCGCCAAGGTTGAAGTGTTTCTTGTCCTCGGAGGACAAAATAGCGTGCGCAATGTATGGGACAAACATTCCGGCGTAAGATTCTCCAGTAAGGTAAGTCTTCCAGTTGTATAGCTGAAACACATCGAGAAAGTTCTTGTAGAAACCAAGGAACTGCTTGGCTAAGCCTTCCTCGTCGGTGATGGTTGGAAGGCCTGGGGCGTACCCAACGCCTACGGGTTGTTCAACCCAGAGCATGTTGGTAAGATTGGTCCACGAGTACGAGTTCTTGATTGGTGTCTGCATGCCACTTGGCCATAGAAACGGACCGTTCTCACTAAGGAGGCCGATCAACGAACTACATCCGGGACCACCATTCAGCCTAAACAAAGTTAGAATTTACTCAAGAGTTTGCTTGTCATCTGAGGCTTACCAGATGGTTACTTCATGTGGGATATCCTTCTGGGCTGCCGGGAAGAACCAGAAGAAGAGCTTTCGTTTCTCCTTTGGGTCGTCTGTGATTGGCAATAGACCAGCGTAGCTCTCACCAATATCAAAGTCGAGCCCTGGGAACTTTTTACCCTCGACAGCAAATGCTATAGTTTGGTCAGTTTCCGCCTGTGAAATACGTAGAAGAGCGCTCACCCTTTGACTTTTGATTGAGGAAATAGCTTTGAGCTCTTGCATTGAGTTCTGGGTTCTCGAAGCCTTGACCAGGTATACGCTTCTCCACGACTGGCCCAGCGAAGGCTATGGACGCACACAACAAAGACCCGAGTACAGAAAGAAGCTTCATCTTGCAGATAGGGGATCAGCTGCTGTGGAGGCTGTGGCGAGGGAGGACCAGATCCTCTTTTTGTAGTCTTACAATGTGACGGCATAGCTCCAGAGGTATCCTTGCACAATATCCAAGAAGAGGTCAGAGCGATCCAATCTGGCCTAATTGCGGCCCGGTGTCAATCTCGCAACTACCACTACCAGAGCAAGATAGCCCGTGCTATCCGGCAGACATTGGAAGTCATCCAGTAAGCTCGGGATCGGTGTATTCAAAGTTAAATTCTGCACCGAGAATCACTCCTCTCCGAAGGGTTTGGTTACGGGGCTTGATAAATTGATTCTACATCTTTGGTTGGTATGGCGCTCATGCCCTGTCGCCTGCTTACGAGCAAACTGTGCATCAACCAATTGTAGTTCAACCGGACGTTCCAAAATAGATTCGGATACCTAGGTTATGTTAGGGGTGGGTGCTGACTGCCGAAGCTGGGCCAAAGCTTGAGTACGGGTGATTAAGCTTGCAGGGTCATGTCAGCACGGCCGGCTAATAAAACACCACATAAGTAGTGATAGAAGCTATGCACAACATCGTGAATTGATTTTTTTGGAGTTATCTTTTACCGTTTACGGTGTGACAGGAGAGAGCCACTGGAAACGAAGGTAAGCCTTTGGCGGAACATGGCGCCCGAATTAAACTTGACCATCTCGTAACGGAAGAATAAATTTCCAGCCCTCGATTCAGATTTCTATCCAGGGTCATCAATGTTGTTGCAATTTGAAGCTGTGCGGGGAGAAGACCAATCTTTGCTCTTGAAAGGTGGCACATCGTATTCCAGACCTCGACCTTTATCTCCTTGCGCTGATAATTGCTGTATCGAAAATAAAGGTATGACAAGACCCCTATCCCCACCGGAGAAACCCACGAACACCAACTGAGAATCCCGTCCCGCCTATTCATCTGCAGCGGGAACATCTGTAGAAGGGCCGTGGCGGTGACTTGATGTAAGGTCTATATGCGTTCTTGCCGTCAGCACTTTGACATGACAATTACTAATGCAAGTGCGAAAAAAGATTCCAGGTTTGCTGTTTTGGTTAGCTATCGACTTCACCGCTACTGTTCCTTGAGGGACCCTCGCAGAGAAAGTGCTAGTGAGCATGATCACATGTGTATTGATGTGAAAATGTAGGTGATATTGTTATGTGAGGTTTGAGGTGTTCGCCGGAACAAGTCGGCAACGCGCCACATCTGGCAGCCCCTTTTCAAGAAAGACCGAACCATACATACAATCACGCAGCCATCGTAAGGTGACAGCGTAAAACTCGACTTGTTCTGTAGCATTGCGGGGTTGATCATCTTCAGCATTAGGACGCACTACGATGTTCCTGCATTATTGTTCTTAGGCACACCAATGGTGGTACGACAAAATTCAAGGTGTGTATCTTTTCAGAAACACGGGAAGTTGGGAATACGCAGAGACCCAAATCTCACGCCAGGCTGTGGTCTCACGAGCTGATTATCGGCTGTACTGTATACACGGCTCACAACCGGTTCTAGATCCCTCGAATACTAGCCCGAGACACCAAAGGATACGTGATGATGATATCCCGAACACATGAACGTTGGGTCATCGTATGCTCTTCATCCATAGTCGTGTACATCCATGCGCCGCCTGGTAATCGTCCGTCACGACTTACCCTCATAGTCTCTCTTCCACACTTCGGCGAATAGGTGCTTATCCACGGCGAACTCCTCAAGAAAATCCCTCTCGAGATCATGTGTCCGCTTCCCCAATAGCACGAGACTATGTAGCGGCTTCCCCAGATCCGCCTCACAAAGTTGAGCCAGTGTCCCAGCAACGATCTGTTGATCTTCTGCTCCTATCCTTGCAACACCCACGGCGAGACTGTCCTTGGTATAAGCACCCTCTTTCTTGACATCCTCCTCAATCTCCAGCATCTGCTGTGCACACTGTGCGACCGTCATGTACCGTGGTGGCTCATAGATCTTCCGCCCGCGTGCCATGTTCTCCAGACTCTGTTCCTTGACCTTGATATCGAGGAGGACGAGCGTGTGAAGGCCGATGGATACGTTTTCCTTGATGCGGTCGTAGAAGGAGGCGGGCTTCCAATTGTCGAGGAAGAAGACCATGGATACCGTTTGTCCAAAGTTGTACAGTTGCAGGCCGGTAGCGCCAATAGAGGTGAGGATACTCGCATTAGGAATGGAGCGTGTGGGTATAGAGAGCTCGCGGGCGCGTAGGACGAGGTCAGTGTGTGTAGTAGCTCTGTTCCAACTGTGAGAATACGTCGTGAGTATGATGGGACGAGAATATACCCGAATGGATCTCCAACTACAAGAAATGCAACATCGACTTTATCGGCGTCTTTGAGGATATCATCACTGGATGACTCGACCATTTCACGGTCTGCTATGACAACTTCGCGGCCATAGAAAGACTCCTACTATCGTGACAATTAGCGCTGTCCCTGCTACACATTCACCATCTATCATCGGCATAAAACTCACAAGCACATCCTTCTCCACCAACAGAACCGCTGTGTACGCCTCGAGATAGACGCGCGCCGCCTTTTTCACAATCTCCAGTCCTTTGACCGTGATATCCTTCTCATCCGCCAAGCCGAGACCCACCAGATACAGCATGTTTGCTGTTGTAAAATCGCGCGTCAAGTGAATGTACTCGATGGGTGGTGGGGTACAAAAGTCGCGTAATTCACAAAAAAAGTTGTTGGCGGGGCGTGTATCTAGGGCTGAGCGCGGGCCAAGACCTGCAGTCCGCCCGCCGCACCAATGGAGCAGGCATCGTCTGGAACCACGCTAGTAGACCGCAAACCCGCGTGTTGCCAGAGCACCCTAGACCTCAATCCCCCATTTCATCATCGCACGCCTGGACTCTTGTATTTGTATTCTAACCACCTACTTTGGATAAGTGTTCCTACTAGACGACGCGATATTTGTATGATTTTGCAACCAGTGCCTGTACAGTGTAGGGCATCATGTCGGACAAGGATAAGATGGCCAAGTACCGGACGGAGATCCAACAGGTAAGTCAGGATCGTTCTCTTCTTCTTCTTGCCCCTTCCCTCTGTGATTGTTTTATTATTATGATACATTTGAATGAGAAAGAGAAGGGACGTGGGTGTAGTTGCGCGACAGACGTCTCTAGAGGCCCAGCTACGGGCCCTTTCCTGTTTGGGCCACACGCTGCATATACTCATATCGTTGATATCCGACTTGTGGCTCCCTGGAACGTCTTTTCGCTTTTTTTGTTCTACGGGAGACTGGATGTGGAGCTCGAGTGTATGCACAGCCATTATCATTCCCGGCATCGTTGTACATGTTGGTAAAGGCCGTATGGCCCGTACTCTACTTTACCTGCGATTATCCCAACTCCCAACTTTCAACTATATGGCAACTGAGCTGTATCCGAGCTCCTACCAAAGCTCACCCACAAGAAGCCTCCAGCACTTGTGTCACCAACTCATTTCTTTGACTCCAACCTCTACCCCCGTCCCCACCGCAGGCGGCTGCCATCATAATCTTCCCAGTATCACCACCACCAACAGTTTCCTCGCCCCCAATGTCTCCGCCATCATGCACAAACGAGCTATTCCCATGCGACATTGGCATGCTTCTAACGATTCCGCAGATGATGTTCGTGTCTGGCGAGACAGGCGAACCATCTCCAGAGACAACGACTCTGATAGAATCCATCGTCCAAGACCAAGTCCAGCACATGCTGCGTGAATGCACAGCCCTTGCCACGCGCCGCGGATCAAAATCAATCTCCACAGACGACCTCTTCATGCTAATCCGACACGACCGAGCAAAAATCTCTCGACTCCGACACTTCCTCCAGTGGAAAGACGTGCGGCGCTCCGTCAAAGACTCCGACGACAAAGGCGGCGATGCTGGTGCCGATGTAGGAGCCGGCGACGCAGACATAGCAGCCGGCGTAGTAGGCGCAGGCGGCCCTGGCGCGGCCCCCGTCGACGCCTCCAAGAAAGCGAAGCGAGCAAAAGTCGACCTAGTCTGGGACGTGCAATCCTTCTTTACCGAGTTTCCGCCCCAAAAAGACGATGTCGAAGACGAAGAAGAGGAAGAGATGAACTACGCCACCCTCCAACGCCTGAAGAATGCAGACGAACGCACAAAAAACATGACGCGCGAGGAATATGTCCACTGGTCCGACTGCCGCCAAGCTTCCTTCACCTACCGCAAAGGCAAGCGCTTTAAGGAATGGGCGGGCTTCGGCCTCATCACAGATTCCAAACCTTCCGACGATATAATTGATATCCTGGGTTTCCTCACTTTTGAAATCGTTCAGACGCTCACTGAGGAGGCGCTCAAGGTCAAGGATGCTGAGGACTTGTACAAGAAGAATCATGGCGGCGAGCAGAACCGGCTCAAGCGCAAGAGGGAGAGGGGACCCTTTGATGCACCCGAGGAGGCGAGGGAACCTGTTCAGCCTAGTCACGTGCAGGAGGGGTATAGGAGGCTGCAGAGGGGGAATAACAAGGCCAAGGCTATGCTCAACTTTACTCGTAATGTGCATAGGGCGGCACTCAAGTTGGTGAGTTTAATCTGCAACATACAGGCGAAGACGACATATGTGCTAACAAGATGCTAGATTTAGACAAGCAGTGAACCAGACATTAACCCAAGCCGGAAACTTGGTTATGTGATATTTAGGCTCGGTGTTCAGGATAATTCTTCGATACCCTGTGCAGGCAATGAGCGTCTAGCGTAATTTTTTGTGAAACAATTTGGTAATTGAATTTAAATTTGATCTTTCGAAGAACTTGGTTCACACCACAAGCATGTCATTCAAAACACTAGCATTTCTCACAATCATATACATGTTCAATGTCTGAAAGCAGACCAACTCCGAGATTGACTACTAGTTTCTAATGCCGATGCTCATATCCTTTTTGTATGGTACACTCATAGCATCGATGATCAGAGTGGGGCAGCCTTGTCGGTCGAGTATGCATGGAGAAGAAGAGTCCTTCACAGACGTTACATGAAACATGACCGCATATGCCCAGATAAAAAGGAGATTGACGCCCTCCTTTAACCTTGAAAAGACCCACGCCAAGTGTTCATCATGCCATGTGCTTACTCCGCGTCGTCGCCCAGCTGAGCAATGCGCTTCTGCTGCACACGCTCCTGCCTCCTCTCCCTCGCTGCCTTGGTCTTCGCACGCTTGGCGTCCATCTCCTCCTTGATGATCCTCTCGCGGGCCTTCTCAGCCTTGGCCTTGTGGATCTGGGATGCATGTCAGTAGCCGAGCATTGAGCGGGGTTGACATAGTCATGATGTCATTGGCAAAACATACGTGTTCAACGAGAGCGCGCTTGTGCTTGAAGGTGTTACCCTTGGAGAGGAGGTAGAGCTCGTGGTAGAGGTGCTTGTCGATCTTTCCGGCAGCACGGTACTTGACGAGGAGACGGCGGAGGACACGGAGACGGCGCATCCAGACGATTTGGCTATAGAAACCCACATCAGCAAACAATCCCAATCATCCATTGCGCCGCACAATGGCCATCTGCCGATTCCATTGTGACAAGGGCGTTGTGACTGCGTACCTTGGCATACGGGCGTCCTTGGTACCCTTCCTCTTACCGAAGCCACGGTGTCGGCCAATTCGTCGGGCAGCAGTCAGTTCCCGGGCGCGGGCACGTGAGTGCATGGTTACGGGCTTGCGGATGATGAGGCCATCCTGGACGAGCTTGCGGACGGTCTGGCGGGAGTTGGCGTTGGCGATTTCGCTGGTCTCGTTGGGGTCGAGCCAGATCTTGCGCTTTCCGCAACCGACCACGGAGGCCGCGAGGCGCTTCTGAGTGCGGAGGTTGACCCTATCGAACCACCTGGGTCAGCATTTTGATCATTTGTGCGGTCATGGGCGACGGAGGGTGCTATCGCAGGGAGAGGGGTTCGCCACGTCTCGAGTGCTTTGGCGGCACCACAGAGACTCGGCGAGCCTGTAGCGCATGCGAAGGTTGCTTTACGAAGCAGTGCTGGAGGGTATGAATCGGTATTCCTTACATTTTGATGTTGTATCCGTGGTCGTGGGTGAGGTTGTCGACTTACCGTTGTGAAGAGCAGCGAACGTGAAAATCGGCAGGTGCGCGGTCGCTAAAGCGCCAAGCCCGTCATGTGACCACTAGTCAATTTACGACACCACTCAACCCTGGAATACGGGGAAATAAGTCTCAGCTTTCATGCACCATTTCTCTAACACTCTGAGGCGGATGGGTTTTTTCTGCTGGATGTGCACATACAATACCCCGTTATGCTGCAACGCGGCTGCTTCTACACACAACCAACGCCAAAACAACATGAAACTTCCTGCAACGCCGCCCACTCAGTCATAAATGCAGCGACACACGATGCGCATATACTGACTTGTAGCATTGCTAATGAATGGCTGACGAGCACGTTGCTTCCAGACCAATCTGTCGTTGGGCGTGTCGGATGTAGTATCATGATGACTCATTTGAGATCAACTCAAGCTAGTTTCCGCACATCAAAAGGCACCGCGGAGGGTTGGTGGCAACGGATACATTTAACATGCGGATATCAGAATCAAACTAGTAGTAAAGGTAGGGAATAGGAATGACATCCATATCATCTACAAACCAACGACATTACGTATTTACTGGAGCTTCAGATCCTCCTCACTCAACACACCGTACAGCTTTTCAATCTCCTGTCCGATGATGTTGAGGTCCTGCGCCAGCTGCGCAGTCACCAACGCTACCTTGATGTTAGTTTTGGCTCCTTAATCATAGCCTAATGCAGACATGACTCACCGTAGGCATACAACACTTCGTAATCCTCATCCTTGGCAATGACCTTTCCGAGGCCGTTTTGCCGGAACTCGAAGACCTTTGCTAGCAGTCTATCACGCGTATGCTCAACGTTGGGCAATACGTCATTGAGCGGGTAAGCAAGCTTCATAGAAGATGCCATAACTATGTATCATCAGCTCAAAGCTCAAGCGTAGTCTGTGGGTGGTGCTTACCTGAGAACAAATGGCTGATGCGCCAACTCAACTCGGTCCACTCTTTTTTGGTGTATCTCAAGGCCTCCTTCTCACCTTCTGATGCTTTCAAATCCTTCAGGATGACGACGTTCATAGCATGGAAACTATCCAGTATACGACTTGTTGCACCGAGGATGATCTTGAAGCTCTTGTCCGGGAATGGGCCTCTGAGTTCGAATTCTGCAGCCGCAGCTGTCCGCAGCGTGTCCAGATGAGATAGGTATCGTCGAAGTTCAAGCTCCTCCCGCTCAGACATGTATGAGTACGATCGCATCGAGTTTTCGCTCGACTCAAGTATAGTCTTCAGAGGGCCACGTTTCCAGATCAAGCCCATTTTGAGCCACAACAGAGACGTGCCTTTCTTGACCTTGCGACGCGCCGAGATTGGCCAGATGACTCGTGTCACAATGATTCCCCATATGCAACCAGCCATGACTGCGACCACACGATGGAGAACAATTTCCCATATCTCGGGCGAAATACCACCTTCATCGTCGTCATCCTCCTCGTCCTTAACAGAAAGCGAGTATGCGTAGAGTGCGGAAAGGTTGTACGTGAGTAAGATGAAACGACCCATAGGACCCTTGCCCTGGCCGACGATGATGTAAAAACAAAAGAGAGAAATCACCCAGCCGAAGAATCCCAGGACAAAGGCATGTTCGTCAGCTGCAATCCATGAGGCAATGGCCAACACTGCACCTAAGCAGGTACCAGCAAATCGCTGAAAACCTGTAGTGTTGGACGCACCGATCGTCATGGAACACACCAACATGTATGACAACAGGCCCCACTCGCCGCGCCAGTGGCCGTAAAACTCTCTTGTTGGCTCAACAAAGGACCACATAGCGTAGAGAACTGCACCAATGCCGACTTTAACAGCATATTTGAGGTCGTCCCTTCTAAAAACTGCTAATGATGTCCAGATACGATAGGACAAGGGCTGCTCGTCCTCTGGCTTATACGGATCTCCGCGAGTCGATTTGCGATAGATGGGATTATGGATTTCGTGCGAGCCTCCTGGCGCGTGGTCATCAATCTCGTCGAGACTAGCTTCTTCAGAGCTGTCACCCAATTGGCTCTTCTTGCGCCCATGTTGCCAAAACTTTAGCCAATTGTAGGTCCTCTTTCGTGGGTGCCGGTTGACGTTCGCTTTCAGCTCTTCGAGGATATCAAGGAAGGCCACCATATCCTCAGCGAAATCCAGCAACGACGAACTGAAATATCCGCAGCTAGCAGCGACCTCTTCAAAGTCGGCTGCGACTGCCGCCGAGCTGGTTCGTGTTGGTATCTTGTTTTTATAGACAGCAGAAAGAGCCTCTCGTCGGGCGTTTGCAAATAGGGCTTTCGCGTCGACCAGACTGTGGCGGAAGTGTTCGTTGATAGCCATGTGGTACTCTGGGCCAGGTCCGAATGGCAGCTCAGAGAGTACTTCGCGGAGCGTGTATGCGAGAGATTTCTGCCGGAGTTAGTAGTGTGAATAAACATGATTCTCAGACTTACCATTGGTGGTCCCAAGTGGGCGATGAAGACAGAAAACATGTCCGCGGGCGTTAGATTCGAGTGTAGGAAGCTCGAAACTCTTTCTGACTTGTTTTTCGGTACAGTTGACTCATCTTCAGATTCAGCCGCCGAGGGGAATCCTGAGGCTTCAGCAGAGTTTTCGGGTAGTTCATCGATAGAGGCTAGAATACTACTCCGCCTTTCCGTATGGCTGAGAGTGGGGGAAAGCATGTGAGGGGGACTTTGTGACAAGGCAAAGTCCGAGAATACTGAAGATGTCATTGTGTCATTAGCAGGCATAGATGCATACGAGGTCCCATTTGGCTCCGACTGCGCAAGTAGGGTGAATTGTGTTTCGGCAGCACTGCGCAATCCACCAATGCTCTGTATCAGCTTTTCGAGACATTTGACCAGCCTAGAGCTAATCTTGTGCTCTTCCTCAGTACCAAGGGCGTAGTGCTCGAATTTTGCTTCCCCCAGGTTCTTGACAAGGGCCTTGAATGTCGTCTGACTCTGTTTCGAGGCTTTGACAAACGTGTCGCTCTTGAGATCTTCTTCGGCACCGGAAAGAAAGCTGAGGGTGATTCCGTTCAGCATCTCCGCCATGGCGTCAGTAGATTGTATAAAAGTATCCCGAAACTCGTTGCGCGCCGACCTTGGCTTCACGAGGAGTGATACGAGCGCGGAGGCGGTACAGCCCATGATGATCATCTTCAATACCTGCCAGACTTTAACGTAGGAGAACTTGGCAGCCTGAACAGCTCCTTCCTTGGTCAGGATGGTGATGAGAGCGAGGGATGTTAGGGAGCAAGCCACATTGACTAAAGGGTTGCCCAGCTTGTGTTTGGTCCAGCCTACAAGGCCTAAGCCTCCTCCACAAAAGACAATGAGCACTATTATATGCCCAATGATCAAATGATGGTGATTTCCAAAGTATACAGACACGGCCATACTGGAGAAGGATACGAAAGCCGCATAGGAGAAGGCAGCAAATGCAAGCATGACTGCCTCGAGCATACTGCCGGCTGACCGGGCGGGGTGGAAGTAGACGGTGATAGTCGCGACTATGTGCTTGCCATCGTTCCTGCCCAACAGTGCAGCTATGACTGGCACAAATGTCGCCAACGAGCCCAGTACATAGGCCAGCGAGCATTTCAGTATGCCAATGCCCATGGGACTCTTAGCGTACGCGTAGCATTGTTGCAGCTTATATGTGAGCATGTCTCCGAACCACTCGACCCGTCCCATTTCTCGGTGTCTCGCGGGATCGAAGTGACCGGGCGCAAGTAGGAATTCGGACGACTCGTGCGGGCGGCGTTCGTTTCTGCGCAGGGTAAAGGCCTTTTTGACGCGTTCACCAGTTTTCGGCTGAATCATCGTCGCCGACCGTAGCTATAGCACAAAGTAAGCTCTGTGTTCGTTCCCAGCTTCCCAAGACGCGACTTACATTAGGACGCAGAAAGCGGCGCTGGGCCGGAGCCTGCGGAGACTCGTTACTCATCGTGGGCGTCATCGTTTCCGACTTTGGGTGCGACAGAATCTAAGACATTACGATGGTAGACAGGAAGGATCGCGCTGTGCAAGGTGCAAGCGCTCCTGGGCTTCGATATGCTCATCCTTGGAACCCTGCAGATGCCCAGATGACGATGACGCTCAGTTGGCGCTAAGATCGCCAGCCACACGCGTGTTACCAAGGATATGTGCATGTCTTTCACTCTTGGACTACCAGACTAAGCGACAGAGGGGCTAATACCGGAATTCCTCTACAATGCCTCGACACAAAAACCGAATGAACGTCTCTCACGGCTGAGGCGTCGAGCAAAGGCATGCTCAAGGAGACTGTCTCGCTCCGATTGGCCCATCCACTTCTAGCGTCATCTTATGTAACCTCACTGATCACGCGCTTCCTCCTACTACGCGACGCGACATCAACGAAATTACAGAACGACAGACACGCATCCAGTATGGAAGAGGAGGAGAATGCCGATATTGCCGCAGCCATGGGCTTTGCGTCTTTTGGCGGGACCAAGAAGCGAAAATTTGACAACACAAATTCTCCAAAAGCGAAAGCGGATGCAAGTGGCGCAAACTCGACCAAGCTAGGAGTCAGAATGAAGAGAGCAGCAGGGACTGAAGAGGAGGATGCTGAGAAATCTGCGCAACAGGCAACGTTAGCTCCAAGTAATGCGCATGTTGGATCACAGAAGATCCAAGCAGCAGGTTCAGGTCTTGCCAGCTTCCTAGCGCGTGGTCAGAGCCTTCCTCATAAGCCTCATGGCACTGCTACTCCGCCAGCTCCAAGCGAGCATTCTACTTCGGACATGGTATCATTCGGTGGCCCTGCCATCTCCAGAGCTGAGCTGAACGCGCTGCGTAACGGTGTTCAAGCAGAGAACGGAGACACTGCCTACTTCCTACCGAGCTTCATCGAGGACCCTTGGGCAAAGCTCAAGAAGGGCGTCAGTTGATGGCGTGAGTTCCGTAGCCAGTCTGAAATGGTTCGTAGCTGACTGGTAGACCAAGTAATGGCGAGACCAGCCAAAACACAAAAACAGCTACCTGTCTATTAGCGATCGAGTGTCAGAGTCACAACAGGCCCGATTTCGATAGCGGCGATGTAGAAGCAAATCCGTAGCCCCGGTTCCGGAGACTACATGGTAGGTAAAGAGCTCTTGGTGGTACCTGCATTATGACTGCGGCCTACACGGAGGAGGAGCAGAAATCAAGACTATTTCAAGACTATCCCCCATGCTATTAGCAAGTCTCAGCTATGCATGCCAACAAGGAGATGGCTGCTGCTGCTGTTCCGAGGAATGCATGCTCGGTAGTGATGAAATCTCCGGCCGACAAGCTTCTATCTATCCACAGCCTTTTAGTGGCTCCCGCTGTCAGAAGTGACCTTATCCATATGCAGCATACTTAGGCGAGTGCAAGCCCCACAGGCATCAACATGATCGCCGAAGTGTCATACAGCAACTTGTACCTAGTGAAGCCCGAAGGATGGGTAGCCCCTCGTCAAGACGATCCTAGCAGTGCATCTGTTTCAGTAGCGCAGTGTTACCGAGACTGCATACCTGGTTCGGCGCATAGTTCCTGCATAGGAGTGGCCCGGAGGATTGTAGAAGGACTCTATTGGGGCTGGGCTGGTTGTCCGCATCTATGGCTTAAGAGCAGATACTGGACTCTTGTGTGACAGTAGGTCCGCCATAACTTCCACGCGCAGCTCACATGGCTGTCTTTGACAGTTGTGACACCGGATCGGCTCGTATAGCGCCATCGGAACGCCAATGTAACGGCTTTGGTGAACACAAGCTTACCATGACCTCGACATGGCGCCACGTGCAGAGACGGTCGACTTGAGGGTCCAATGGCCGAGGAGGCCATTGCACACACGATGCAGTCACGGATGACAGCATGATCAAGACGGGTGCGATCCAAGTTAGAATGCGACGCGGCAGCAGGACATAGCCGCAAGGGCATTGGGTCGGCATCAGTACGGGCAATGATGAAGCAGTACCTGCACGCATGGGTCAGTATGTACGTGTAGGCAAGGCCGTTGGGCGCATAGCGGACTGATGACCTGCAAGAGTAGCGAGCTAGACGGAATTCCTCACCGCCACAAGACGCGCCGTTAAATTGTGGTAGAGTTGCAATTGGCACGTCTGCGGACGCGAGTGAGGTGTCGTGCGAGGTTACGCGGAGCCAGGATCCAACATCGGCTTCAGGCATCAAGCGCTAAGAAGACGGCGCAGAAGGGCAGAAGGCGTTGTATTCGCGTGCAGGGCCAATGGTCGTCAAACTGGCCTGGGTGAAATTGCCAGTCGCCAGTTCGCCAGGATGACGCATCGGGCCCAATTGAGGGGCAGCGCGCTCGAGCAGGCGGGGCTCTGCTGGACCCGAATATTCCTGAACGTCCTCCCATGGCCACGACCATGACCATGACCATGGACGTCAATGCCACCAGATGCCGTCCTCCCCTTGTGCTGCGTGTCCGCGCGCGCAATCCGGCCCTCTTCGTTGAGCGAGTGCAAACAAATTCCGCCACTGGTGGCATGCACTGTAGCATCCTCCGCATCCCGCTTCCAGATTGCATGTCCCCAGGCGTCGCCATCTGTCGAGCCAACGCATCAACTTGACAACACTTAGCACCTCCGTCGGCAACCACCCATGCATGTACAGATCTCCACAGTCGCTGCTTTTGCATGGAATTGGCGTCCGCGTCTGCTGCGCTTACCATGTCTCGCTGCCTTAGCCATGCACTGGTGCCGTCGATGGCCGGCACTGCTTTCACACTCGCAACTTTTCGCCATTGAACGCCAATTCGCCCCGTCAAACCTTGTGTGCTGATACGGGCTGAGGCCCTTTTCCACTAGTTTCTTGTCCCGGCCAATTGGCTTCTTGAGCATTCAGTGTTGCCCCGAGGCATCGTGCATCGGCTGCGGCCCACAGTCAAGACCGCTCTTCCAGCCCATTCTTTATGACGCTCTGGAGACCGGGTCTAGCGGAAACAGACCTCAGTGGACGCAAGTCTATGCAGCTTTATCACCACACAGGCGGGGTTACGGACTTGGGTCGGCATGAAGGGGTCAAGGCCATGCCCCATCGACCAGCATGCTCCTGGCGTGCTGATGAAGGATGGGTATAAAAAGGCGCCTTGATACAGCTCTTGCACTTCTTCTTTCCAGTCTTCTATTCACCTCGCTGCATATATCATTCCAACTCCATCACATTTGGACTTGATCCTCAGCTTCACTCATCTTGACTTGATACCACTACATCACTTGCCTTTACACCAATCAGTCTACATCTTCTACGCTACCTTACAAACACTTGAACAATACCCAAGATGGCTTCTACACACTCCTTCTACCACTACCCCCAGTCCTCCTACCCGATCAACATGCCACAGAAGCCTGGCTTCTACTACCCGCCCCAACAGCATGGCTTTGGACGCGTGTCAGCATCACCACCGGAAGCTCCAGACAGTACCACAACTTCCGGTGTGCCGTCATACGAGCCATCAGCGACCTCCAGCAATTATGCTGGTAGTGCAAGCGACTACGAATCGACTAGTGGCGCCGCCAGCGTGGACCTTCTCGAATACATGGGTAGCCGAGTCAACGGTTCTTTCGACCCGATGCCACTAGACCGTAGCCTAGCAAAGCAAGCACAGACGTACGTTTTAAAGCCCCATCCCTGCCATCGCAGACGACAAGTAAGCTAACCAGATTCACAGATCCGGTGAACTGAATGCCAAGCATCGCGAACTGCTCGAATTGCAGCAACTCGCTCAGCGACGACTGGCCGGTGCGCGCATGAACTTTGCAGATGGCATGAAGGCCGCAAAGGAAGTTCAGAAGGATCTACAATGGACCCAGAAGAGAGTAGAGTGAGTTTACCGTAACTACCACATTTGAAGAGCAAGGCTGACAATTTCGATAGCTCACTGAACGAGCGAGCTGCCCGCAAGTACCCAGATCAATTCCGCACCGCCCAGGGACGATTCCCAGCGCCCGTGGACTACTAGTCCTCTCAAACCCCTAAAAAACCGCCTCGCGGCCTGTTGATGATACAAACATAAAACTTTCGGTTACGTCAAAACTTGGGAGGTATTCTGTCGCTTCATGATTCCCTGGATTTCATTGCTTTTTCTACAATTTATTTTACTCGGCTTCTCTTCAACGGACTTCGAAGTGGGCATGAAGTTGCGAGCTGTAGTTCGAAACTCCGCTCCACTCCGCTCCACTCTCGGCAGACGGCCTCGCTGCTTTAGCGTCCCACACGCCAGCTTTTCTTATTTCAGAAATGTGACGCGGTTCGGCCCGCCGCTTGATGCAAGTGCTACGCGCTTGCTGATAGCTAGCGAGCGAATAGCGGCTTTCAAACGATCTCTGGGGCTGGGACGGTGCGGGTAGCTGGCGTGGTTCCTGGCCAGCGGTCGACGATCGATCTGTCATGCGTGGGCGGCGACCTGGTCAGCAAGCTCATTCATCTGAGACCGGACGAACGGGGCATGATGCCGGGGCGACGGTCTTAGGGACGCTGGGAGACTACGTTCATTCTTATTTCCTTCGTCTCCTTATGTTTGGGAACTGGAGACTGTTTTCGGATTGGCGTCATGATGATCCCGCTGTTTATCAGCCCCGCCTAGTTCAGTCACGGGGTCATCGTATCTGGGGTGTTTCAGGTCTCTTGTCTTTCTTTTTACTCACATGTTGATGTAAACGGCCTATATGACCAATGTGGCAGATGGCTCTACTCCTAGTGGAGAGGGTCCACTCACGAGTACATACAAATGAGAATGTGTCAGATCGAATGCACGTGTTAGTGTGGGGCTTCCAAAATGCCACGGTGATCACGCCCCCTCATCGTCCATATGCGCCTGGGTGGTGACGACATAACCAGAGATATCATGTGACCCCCACTTACACATCCTTCAAATCGCTCCCCCTCCCATGTATCCACGTACCTCCAGCGCCGGCAGATCGGCTACCCGTACCCCCAAAATGAACCCGGTCCCACCGATACCCGCCAACAGAGACAAATTAACGCAAGCTCTTGTCACACACAAACACAGCACAACAGAACAAAACACACAAAGACATGCAACCAAAACTCTAGCGTTTCAGGTTTCAGATAACAAATCTCGTTTCTTCATCCCTCTCCAAAGAACCAAGTTGGCGAAACGGAGCTATGACATGTTGTATTACCCTGCTTTACTACAGAAGCTAGTTGTAGTTTGGTGTTGGTGTTGTGTACGGTAGACTAAGTGCTGCGGACTCTCGGAAGCAGAGCGGCCCAAGTGCGACATGAAAGGGGGTGTTTTGGATGCCACGCCCATCGTCCTGGAGAGGTGTGTGTGTGGATGGTAGGATAGGATGGGATGGTTGAAGGGATAAGTGGTGTATGGATAGTTGGTAGGTGTGTGGTAGGTCTTAGGCGTTACATTACACATAGGGCATACACATGAACAGAAATCATGCCACAGAACCACAGATCTCGCAGCGATACTACAGAGCTACCAGTCTGCCTACTGCATCCCATCGTTCCCCACTCCTAACATGTCTCTCCTCATTTCAACACTCTCCTCTCGTAGACGCCCCAAAACCCCCCTCCAATCCACCACCCGGGTATAAAAACTCCCAACATCGGCAAAACCCGGCCTCACCCTCATCGAGTACAACCAAGAAACCCTTCCCCACCCCCTCCACATTCAAGGGCCTGCATATGCGCACAATCATCAGCTGTGAGGTTATTGAAAAGCAGTCTGACAAGTGACAGAACCAGGTTCGGGGTGAGCGAGCTCGGGGACCATGCCGTGGAACCGAACGCGGCATTTTGCCTCCGACACACAGGAAGATACACAGGGAGATACACGACGAAAACGAGGGTTGGCGACTACAAAGCAGTCGGACCTTGGGGGTTTGGATTGGAATCAATACCCACATACAGCAGGTCAGACTTCTGGCAGTGTATATTTAGCTTTGGAATGACTACGGTATACTCTAATCTCGTAATTCTAGTACAGCTAAGTCCTGGTAAATCCCCAAAGTATCTTTCTACACCGGAAAACAACTACATCACAGCACGACTACGATCCCCTGTTTGCAGCAATAGCGCGTGACATGACGCGTGCAAAGCGACCAGGCACATCCTGGTCCTGCTTGGCCGTCTCAATACCGGTGAGAATCTTCTTGATGCCGACGCCAATCTCGGCGCTACCGGTGATATCCGCAATCTCACTAATCGCACGCTGCTGGTCGTGGTCTGAAAAGGCGCCGGATTCGCGCAACACGTTTGCGAGTTCCGCCTGCGTGTTTACGTTGGGGACGGCGATTTCAGCATCGAATCGGGCAAAGAGGTCGAGTTGAGTGAGAACCGAGCGCTCGGTCGTTGTGGCGAAGATGAGGAGACGGCGGTCCTGTCAAACCTGTTAGCCGGAAACTTTATTATGCCAGATTATCTGCAGAAACGGCTGTCGAGCTGTCAAACGTACCTTTGGTGGCTCCTTGGCGAGAAGCACCTTGAGCGCAGCCAAGACGGTATTGCTGAACCTGGGTCCAATTGGTACCCAGTCCAACAGCAACTCGATCGAGTCAATCACAATGACACTCAACGGACTCTTGTACGCGTCTCTGAATGTCTTGTCGAGCTGTTGCACCTTTTGCATCTCGCTGTACCCGATCATATCTTCGGCTGATATCAGTTTGATAAATGGATATCCCGAATCTATGGCCATCTTTGCAGCCATTGCTGTCTTCCCGGACCCAGGGGGTCCATGCAAGGCAACGGACAACAGCGGACTTGACTCTGGCTTCCTGACCTGGTTCATGTACAGTCGTGCTTCTTCCAGGATGTCCTTGATAAAAGGCGAAAAGTGAATAATGCCATGTCGTAACCGCCTGCCTAATTCCTCCTCGGCAACACCAAAGAGCGGCTTCACGTCATCGAGGGCGCTCAAAAAGTCTACACGCTTGACTTTGATGTCCTCGACGTCTGCTTTGACAGTAGTACCACCCTGGAGATGTCGACCAAAGGCGTATGACGTAGCTGCTTTGACTAATCCATTCAATTCAGCCCCCGAAAAGTTCTTTGTGAGCTTTGCAAGCTCTTCGACGCTGACGTCTGGCTCTAGAACGTTGTTCTTGCGCATCTTGGTTGTGTGAATCTTGAGAATCTGGGCTCGACCTGATTCGTCGGGAAGGGAAATCTCCAAATGTACTTCGAGACGACCGGGACGTAAAAGGGCCTCGTCGATCATGTCCATACGGTTCGTCATACCAATAAGCAAGATATTGTTCAGTGCTTCGACACCATCGAGCTTGGACAGCAGCTGGTTGACAACGCTGTCTCCTACACCAGTGCCACCACCAGCACCGGAGCCTCTTTGCTTGCACACGGCATCAAGCTCGTCAAAGATGATGATATGCAAACCGCTCTCATCACCCTTTTCCTTTTGCTCTTTCTCGGCATCTGCAAACATCTTACGGATGTTCTCCTCAGAAGCTCCGACGTACTTGTTCAACACTTCTGGACCGTTGATGACCTTGGGCTCGCGGGCGTTGAGCATCTTTCCTATCTGTCTCGCAATCAAGGTTTTGCCAGTACCGGGAGGACCGTACAGAAGCATTCCGCGCACGTGCTCAATACCCAACCGCTCTCGGATACCTGGGGGGAAGATGCGCGATGCGAAAGCTCGGCGGAAGATGGCAGCGAACTCAGTATCCAGGCCACCAATGCCCATGTCCTCGAACTTGAATCCTGGCTGAATGATGGAGTTTGCAGCCGCCCGTCTCGCAGATGCCTTCAACTTGATGTCTGTCCGAGCGTCCTTGAAGAAGTCGACCTGGGTATGTCTTGTGAGGATACCACGAGCGCGTGGATCGGTAATGGCTGGCGCATCAGTCTCCTCCTTTTCCATAGATAGGTCTGCGAGTGTTACAGTTCGTATCATCATCCTGAGTGGTATATTCTTTATATCGAGAAGGAGTTGTTGGCCTGGTGCCAGCAGCTGGTTTTCGAAGCTCTTCTTGAAGAAAGTTGCAAGCTCGTCTTGGTCATACGGCGTCTCCGTTGTCTTTCTTCCCGCAAATCCGACTTCTATTTCAACGGAACCTAGGTACGATTTGCCGCCGCCGTGACTGAAGGGATCGTATTGGGATGCCGTGACAACCTCCTGAGGTCCAAGTGAGATACCCGCCCATGTTCGTTGTGCGTCTGTGAGTCCGATTTCGCCTGGTCCACAGCCTTGTGTAGGTCTTGCAGAGAGAGCAAAATTTCCATTGACCATTATGTAGATGTCGGAGCCGTCCGGGTTTGCTTGGAAGTCCTGGGGAGATACTGCGACGCTGTTTTCGTCAGCGTATGCTATGATAACAATAAACCCAGGAGGCTACATCAAACCGGTACGTACATGTTACCAAAAGCATACGCATTGCCTCCGGGGCTCTTAATGGGCCGCAATTGCCTCGCAGGTCCTCCACCGCCGCCACCACCACCACCTCCTCCCGGTGGTTCTCTTGCTGGCATGCGCTGCGCACCTGGCGGGGCGCCGGCAGGCGGTCGGTCGTCATATCCACCCATCCTCGTATCTGGACCTCGCTGTGCTGGAGGTTGTTGTTGTGGGGGTCGTCCGTAGCCGTCGTTGCGCTGAGGTGGACGGGGTGAGTTTCCAGGCAGACCTGGAACCCGGTCTCGATTGAACATGTTTTTGTATATGGTAGGAGTTCTGCTGCTACGTGTCGTACTAGAAGGCAACAGCGATGGGGTTTGTAGTAGGCAACAGTGATGGAGGTGTTGTGGAAGGCAATAGCAACAGACGTGTCCGGAGAATCGTAAGCGTCGATAGCCTACCGAATAGAATAAAGAGTGGATATGAAGCCGTTGTTGTATCAAGCCTGTTTCTAGTTGCGCATCCTCTTGGTGCCCGAGCAGCTACGAGGTTCAAGCTTGGGCCGAGCCACAGTGGACCAGCCACATGTGAGCCCCACCATGACCGCGGGTGGCTCAGCCCTAAACAATGCACTACCCAAATTTGGAAATCTACGAGTACTACTGACTAGTACTACTACTACTGAGTCTATCTCCAGCCCGAACTGATCTTTAATTGAGCATGCAGGCTATGTTTTTCCTATAGGGAGACTGTGTTGGGGCAATGAGAAACTTTGGTTGTAGTGGAGTAGAACCAGGTTGACTTGTTCGCTACCATGAAGCTCATCTGGACACATTGAACTGCGCAGGCCGCCTGGGGCATACAAAATACTTGACATGCTAGTAAAAAAAAAGGCCACTGTAGTCGCCATTATCCAAACTGTCGAGTATGTTGCGCATCATTTCCTAATGCGCACTACATCACATTCTTTTCTGCTACAATCACCTCACTCCAGGGCTGTTACTCACATGCAGCAGGTGCCTCTCTCACTTGCGTCGCACAGAGCAAACGGCTATCGCCATGGTACGTGCACCTGGTAGATTGATCTAGTAGCGCAGTCCCTTCACAAGCTTTCTCTCACACAGCTCTAACACTGACCCGGAATACACAAGGACACGGGATAGAATCTCACTGTACACAGTCCCCCGATCTTCCCACACTTGGGTCAAGGGCCCACCCTTCGTCACCCAATACTCACAAACATGGCCGGTCTATCATCGCTGTTGCGCGAAAGCGGTCGCAGCTCCAAACCCCACGACCCAAACGCTAAATCTTTCCTCACACTACCGGCCGAGTTGCGAAACCGGATCTATGACCTCTTGTTCGAATCCAAGGAGCGTATGCGCGTCATCTTCAGCAAAACACACAAGTCAGAAGATGAGATTACCGGTACTCATTTTCGTAGCAAGACAGGATCTGCGGTAGCGTTATTCTCTACCTATAAGAAGATCCTAAAAGAAGCGGCTCCAGTACTCTACACGAGAAACACTTTCATCCTAAGTCAAGAGAAAGCTCCCATGCTCAGGATCGGATCCCATAAAAAGGTTGGTGCCGTGGGACCTTTCCAAACATGGATCAGTACCATCGGTTCAAACGCTCAGCTGCTCCGCCATGTTACACTTGACGTGTACGCAACTTGCTATGACGAGAACTACTTCTACCCCAGATGGTCGGGACAGATAGATGAGACAGGTGTGCTGGATGTGTTGGGAATATTGCAGGTGCTCTGGAGCGCCGATCTTACGCTAGAAATGAGCTTCATCGTCGCCACATGCCTGTCGGATTCCAGCTGGGACCGAAGTTACAACGTAGCTGCCATGACGCGCAACTTCCACGCTCTACGAGACGACCAATTGAATCTTCGGAGATATCTTCCGTTATTAGATGCCGTACATCTCAATCTCAATGGATCTGGTGGGCTGATTCTGTGGTATACAAGTGCCAACCATGCCTCTGAAGACAAGTATCCTCAGATATGGCATGAGCCGACATACACGAGCAAAATTGTATCAGGTGACGATGATGCGAACCGGCTGAGTATTATTGAGAGAAAAAGTCCGATGACACTCATGGGACTTCCTCATTATCTTTTAACAAAGATTTGGAGCGACGTCATCCTCCCCCCCGAGGGTATTACCGTCGACCTTGATACCGAAACTCACTTCAAAAACGAGGCGACGTACACAAATCGACGCTTATACAAGGAGTGGCGGGGCCTCTTCTTGAACCTAAACCCCTTGACGGCTAAGATGACTACTTCTACGGTACGCAGTGACTTCTCGAATTTTACAAAGCTTCGTCAACTACTCCGGACTGCTTTCAGTTCTACCAATTCCACGTATACCGACTCCACTCTTCAGCTGCAGGCTGGATTTGAGATGATACTAGACTTCAGACTCGGGCAATTGGCAGCACTTGAAGACCTGCGTGTCAGCGTGCTGATTCTTGTCTTGGAGTCATGCCATGTTCCGGCTAATTCAACGATCAGAATACGTTTGTGGCGACTCGATTCAGTCTATGTGACTGATCAAGTGGTCATCGGCCTTGAGCAGCTGCGTCGCAAAGTCGTGGCAGCCTTAGAAGAATTTGTGAAGTCTGATACTCACAAAGCGGCGCCAGAGATATGGATCAACGCAGACGGACAGGTTGTAGAAGTTGTCGAAAAGCCAGCTCCGAATCGAGAAGACCCGTTGATGCCGATGCCAGAAATGGCGTCGCAAGTGGTGCGCTCTGGAAACGGGCTATATCAGCTTCTGGATGCACATCCAAGAGACTTTCGTGCCTGGCGAGATAATCGTACAGCGAACCACATAGGGTGTGGCTTTGAGAATTGTGATCAATTCTTCCCTTTCCATCACTCTGCCACAGAGACTCTTCGGTACATAGCCACGACTCTCAACGAACCTTCAGAAAATTCGTAAGTACTTCTGGAACTGTATTTGAGGGTCTACCTAACAGTTCGAAAGACTACGCAGAAGACCCCCCATGATTTGCGTATGCGGCATTAGATATTGCGAGTACAAACGATATTCTACCTACGAACTGGGGGCTCAGGTATGAACGAACGGCTAGACGATAACGTGCTTTGATTTCCCCTATCAGAGCTGTCACAGCGTCGTGATGATCTCATGGTAGATGGTGCTTGAAGATGTTTGAGAGGGTGTTTTGAGATGTTCACTATGTGGCCGAAGGTCCGACAGAGTATGGGCTGACTGGTATGGATTTGCGAAGAATATGTATAGAGCCATTGGAATGTGCTCTCTCAAAGCATTCAAGGTAGATGAGTGATATCAAAATTCAGGAAGCAATGATAAAACGATCACTTTGTCTCATTCCGCTCACTCTCTTCTACTCCCAGCAAAACTACGGATCAATATTAGTGACATTTATCGTGGTCACGTCCTCTGCCGGCAGAGACTCTACTTCAATTGTCTGCCGATTGGATTGGTCCGGTAGTCAGCCAGTTCACTATCGATTTCCAGCAACTGCATGATACCATTCCAAAAGCCTTGATGGATGTCTTTCACCACGGGAAGCATAGAGTGGCCCCTGAAGTATTAATCGATGATAATTACAAGTTCCAATCTTTGGTAGAGGCTTTGCATCAAAGGTTTGAAATGAAATACTTGACATACTAGTGTACAAAGGCCATTGATTGTAGACGCCACAGATATGCGTACCAAGTGCTCACATACACTATCAAGCATTTCATATTACCCAGATGCGGTTAAAGCTGAATCCTTTATCAGAGTCATTAAATTACAACTATTACAACTGTTACAACGAGAGTCATCGCAACACAACAAGACCTTAGTAACCATTCAGCAACCGCGGTACTCATGTAGAGTTAAACCGTACTATTAGACATAAGCCAACAGCAATTCAAGGTCATCGAAAACCTCTGGATCAACCATCTTATTCATCTGGCGCGAAACCAAGCAGGTGAAGTTGAAGTGGTGTGATGTGGTACGTGAAGACCGGGGCCAGAAGTGTACTGGTAGTGCGGCCCGCGCGTGGTTCGCTGAGGGATGACGCGAGTCCGAGCTTCATCCATGTCTCCAACGCGAACGTCGGCGCATCCATTCATATCTACACGACGATCCACTCGCTGAAATCGAGCGAATCGAGCTTATTCCTATGGATGCAGCATGAACGAAGAGGATGACTACGAGAATGGCGGCAGTAATTGCATCCCGTGCATCCGACACAGCTCCATAGCTAACCGCGACGTGCAGGCTCCGGCGAGGAGGAGGAGCAGGAAGAGGGCGATGCCATGGATGTAGACGAAGAGGAGGGCGACGATGACCAAGACGACGGTGACAACGACGATGACGACGCAGAAGGGGATAATGACAATGACGACGACGATCAGGACCAAGATCAGGACCAGGACGAAGCCGACAGCCCTTCGCAGCGGCCGCGCAACAGTATTTCAAACGGTGGCGCATCTGGACAAGCGGATGGAAACCCCTCTGTTACCCTCACTTCCCCCAGCCCACGAGCGGGGGCCTCGGGCGTTTTGGGCAATCTACCCTTCCACCCCAGTGTACGGCAAGAGGCCTTGAACGCGCCCTTCTACGACATCATACCGACCATCGCGGCACCGCATAGTACCTCGATCAACGCGATTACAGCAACCCCGGATATGCGATGGGTCTTCAGTGGAGGTGCAGACGGATATATTCGGAAATTCAATTGGGTAGATACGGCTAACGGGAAGCTTGCTCTGACTGTAGCCCAGCGACATCCGTTTGTGGACTCGGTCACAAAGGCTGGCGTCTTGCTCTCATACTGGGAGAATGAAGACACTGCAGGAGGGTCAGAGACTTTGTCCCCCGTCTATTCACTTGCAGTACACCACCAAGCGCTGTGGCTGCTGTCGGGTCTGGACTCGGGCGGTATAAATCTACAATCCGTGCGCCACCAGGAAGGGACACGGATACACACGCTCAAGAACCACACCTCGGCTGTTTCGGTCTTGACCTTGTCGCAGGATGAGACGTCTGTACTGAGTGGCAGCTGGGATAAGACTATCAACGACTGGGACCTGAATACTGGACAAGTCAAAAGGAAGTTTGAAACTAGCGGTAGTCAGATCTCCGCTATCGAACAGCGACCGCTATCTACACTACCCATACCACAAGATACGGAAACCCTTCCTCAAGCCAACGGAACCTTTTCCTCAAACAACTCCGCGCGGCCCCGGGCCAACGGCAGTCTTCCGAACGGCCTCGACACAAAGCCAGCAGCGCAAAAGGACGAGGGTGCTGAAGATGCTCAAGGTTCTCCGGATGACTCGCTATTTGGAGACAAGGACCAGGACTCTTTATTCGGCGATGGCCAGGAAAATAATCTCTCAGCAACAATGCCTTCATTCGGAGACGACGACGACGAGTTCTCAAGAGCCATCGCAAACGGCATACAGCAGGCGGACGAAGACGCCAACGTCGATCTAGACATGATGGACATGGGCGGCCCAGTTCAGGAGCCCCAAGAAGCGGCCAACGAAGTACTGAAGGAGCCTCCGGCTGCTGCTGAAGCACAGCCGGCAACGAACGGAACCGCAGAGTCGCAACCCAATGGCACCGCTAATGGCCTGCCACACGCAGAGGACATCGAAAAGCCTATCAACACAGTAAGTCAGACTGAGCAACCAGCTTCGTCCGAAACAACCTTCATGGACGCCTCGATCGACGGCACACTACGTATCTGGGACCGCCGACAACCAAACCCCGTTGCGCGTATAACACCCCCGCGCAACACCCCGCCTTGGTGTATGAACGCCTGCTGGTCGCCAGATGGCAACTTCATCTACGCGGGTAGGAGGAACGGTACCGTGGACGAGTACAGTCTACACAAGAGTCTACGGGAACCAAGACGAACATTCAGGTTCCCCAGCGTCAGCGGTGCCGTAAGTGCCGTGCGAGCAATGCCTAATGGCAGACACCTAGTCTGGTACGTACTTCCTGTTTTTACTCCGATCAATCATTTTACCAAACGCTAACACTGCTACCAGCGCCTCATACGACATTTTGCGCATGTACGATCTCTCACATGACGACGGCGGAACCAAAGTAGGCGCTGCTGCTACCCCCTTCCTCATCGTTCCTGGTCATCGAACGGGTGTCATTTCTCAGCTTTACCTCGACCCCACGTGCAACTTTATGATCTCGACAGGTGGGAACAGAGGATGGGAGGGCGCTTCTACAGAGGTGATGCTCGGCTACGAGATTGGTATTGGATCTTAGCTTTATTCCGGTTACTATACCCAAGGTCTGTGGCGTTTGTTTCTGGGGAATTCTTCTTGAAAAAGTAGGGCGACCAGGCGTATACGGCGAGGAGGGGTACCTTACCCATGGCTTTACAGTTTACCTCCACACGGATCCGCATGCAATAGGAAAAAAGCAAACAGTTTGTGCATGGCACTGTACATCAGATGGGGCATCTATGCAAGTGAGCCTTGCCACGTTTCTTTGGGCCAGAGGATTTGCCACTGGGGGACTGAAAACACGCGGCACACACACACATCCGCCCAAGTCACGAGTCCTTTGCGGAGAACGAACACGAAGTCCGCCTGTCTGATCAGCTCAAGCGCCTACCACCTGCATTGGAACATGTTCTTTCTGAGCACAACGGCGGGAGCGGATTCACGCATGGGCGCCAAGTGTGGGAATATGACGTAGTCGGTGAGAGCCTCATGACTACCCGACAGAGGGTTGGCCGAGAAGTTTTTCTGTTGGGCAGACACGCGCGCGCATCGCATATAGTACTCGAAGGATTACTCGGTCCGTGGGTAGGTCAGGGCAGGGCACGGCAGGGTAGACATGTCCGTGGCCGCGGGGCACGGCACGGCGTTGTGTGAAGGTGAAGGGGGAGAGGGGTTCTAAATCCGGACTTCCCTGATGTGCACTGCACTGCACTGCAACTGCACCCCGCCATGACCCTCTCTTCCTCACCATCGGACCAAGATCTTGCGTCGCACACACGCGTTGATCCATCTTCCGGCGGTCCCGTTGCGACATCGGCAACCAGTTATTCTCGGTGTTTGGTGGAGAGGACCAGGTACCGTTACCTTGCCATGCGTGGTTACTATACCCGCTCGTCGTAATGTAGATTAGGTACCATACATAGCGGTGAGCGCCTCATCTGCAAGCGCCCCTCACCCGTCTGGGCCAATGACAACACGTCCGTAGTTTGCACATACAGTAGGAGTGGGGAGTACTTGTAAACTTGTACCTAGTCCTTGTTGAAAATAAAGCGTCATAAAAGGTCCGATGGGTACAAAGTGTGGACCGAGGCTTACCCGACAGGACGACAATTTGTTTCGAAACAGTTGAGCGGACCAAGAAACTGTCGGAAAGAGCCCTGAGCCCCACCCCACTTTGCTCGCCCATGGTGTTTTTTTTCTGGTAGAGATGAAGGACGCTGCAAGGTGACGGTTTGGGGAATCCTTGCAGCGAGGAGCTAGCTGTAGCTCCCGCAGCGCGGGGCGCGTCGATCGTGAATGAAAGGATGCGCAAAGGGCGGTGTAGGGCGGTGAAAGCCTGAAGGAGGAGATTGATGATGCCATGCGCATGTTGAAAGTGATGATGTATTGTACAGTTGGGCAAGACGAGAAAACGAGGGGTGTGAATAGTGGTATAACGCAAATATGCGGCTCCTTCACAAAAGTTACGGGGATTGTTGGTCGGGTGAACCTGGCAAAAACTGGATTGGTCAATTGAGGCGTAGGTAGAAGACGCCATAGTCCAAGATGATTTGGTAAGCCGGGATTTCCCCACTAGGATTTAAACACATTCTTGAAAGTCGTAGTCCACCTGATGCGGTAGCCGCACCCGAAGCAGTTAAGAGAGCTTAACCCGTGGACGGGGGGGGGGGGGGGCGAGTCATGCAGATGTCGTTAGTAGATGGCATTGTCATTCCAAGGAAGACATTTGGCATTTTTTTTTGTTCACGGGCATGCCGCACAAATGCCATGTCGGAGCTGACACAAGCGCCGTTCGTGAGAGAATCAGCTGTGCTTTCACGATCGCGATTCTTTGCATAGCGTGGTGTTTAGCTGCGGCTAGTATCTGTCCACAGTCCTGGTCGATGTGGCTGTCGCGCATGTCTACTCGACGGGAAATATGTTAGTGATAAATCTCGGCATCGACGAGGATTCGTTCAGGTGCTCACCGTTCAAAGCTGCAAGGCGATGCCGAAGCGTCCAAGGGCTGTCTGTTAAGATGCATAGCTGAGGGTCGTATTTTTGAGCAGCGCCTCTTTTGGTCGTCGTCTAAGCGAAGCGGACAGGCTACTGCTACTGTCTGGGAAATCCGGAACGAGGGTTAGTCGTCAGGCGGCATCAGGGGTCCAGGTGACACTGCAGTGGGTGAGATGGTGTTCAGATCCTTAGTCAGATTAGTATTGAGCCACAAACCTTAATTGTGGCGCGCTGGGGGAACGGCGATACCAGGGCTCCACCATGGCAGACGACGACGACGAGGAAAAAAAGATACGAGCAGGACCGTGCTGGTTTGGGTAGAAGGGAGTGTAGTAGATGACGTAGTGTTTGCACGTACCCCACGCTTGCTAAGAGGCCGGCAAGGCCGTGGCGCCGCAAGCGGCCTGATTATTCCAAAAGAATTGGGCCGTGACGAAGCCGAGTGGTGTTAAATCCTGGAAGGGGTGGGAAAAAAATGTTTCTACATATCGCCAGGCGAGTGGAGCCAAGTTGGATATGCCGCGATATCCCAGATTGTCACATCATACGGCAGTTTTAGGCCAGGGAACAGGCCAAACCTCCTTACGTCTCCGGCATCACGGCGAGGGGCAATTGTCACGATGATAGCTTGACAGGTCAAATATGGAGTTTGGTGCATTGGGAGCCGCATCAGCTGAAACCAGTGCCAGGCTGAAACCTGCTCTATGATAGCTTGATATTTCCATTGCAAGAGTACCGCCATGGTGGAAGGTGTGGTTACGGGGCCGGCTGCAGGCACCAAACGAATGTTCACGCCGTCAAAGGTTCGTCACGCTCATGATAGGACGCGTATTGGGATTCATCAGCCGTCAGCTTGCGCGCGAGACACAAGCGACGGATGTGCGAGCAGCAGATGGTGTGTGGCAGGTCCCAAAGCGGCAAGTCTGAATGAGGCTGAGTGGAGAGGTTGTGATGGAGGACATGGTAGATATGGTGGTGGTGATGGCGTCGTGTGTGATCGGCCCCGCACTTAGCGCTACATCGTGACCTTCGGTCCTTTTGAGACTCCACACCAGCCCACCAAACCCACTTGTCGTCGTCTTCTCTCGCGGCGCTTTGCTGCAATTTGCACGATCGCGCTGTTCAGTCTGTGGCCATAGTTTGGCAGTTAGCGGGCCTGCATCGATCGACAGTCCTGCATTAACGGCCGTCTGGTCCGCAACATCTAGTGGCCAATGCGCGCGTGCAGCCTGCAGGTCATCCTTCACCGCGATGGTGTGCCGCCAACCGTCTCATGTGGTCAGTCAGCCACCTCTCTCTGCCTGTCACTCATTCCTCAGCGCCCTGGAATCCTTGCCTGTTTTGTCCACGCTGCACTAAGCTTCTCCTCCACAGTGCGAGCTAATGCATCTGTAGGCCTATGCACTGCACATGCAGGGCACCTCTTGCGGCGCCATCGAGCGCCTACGAACATAAGTACCCAGGGAATCCTCCAGAATATACGTTCCCTATCCGGATATCTCGACGGGCTCTCTCAACTGCCTCATACTAACACTCGCAAAGTGACTTCGTCTCTTGCTGCAAAAAGCATCCCAGGCAGCAATCACATTGTCTCATCCCTAATCCCCCTTGTCACTGCGCCCTCCTGTGACTCTTCCGAAAGGCGTGCCTCCAAGTCACGCATATTTGTCCTGATTGCGCCACCCAACTGGCCCAGCTACAAAAGCACCCCTTTCTCCCTGTTTGTGAACTCTCGTCACCGAGTGTTCGCAAGCTGTTCCTACGAGAACGACCGGCCGAGAGCCGGGAAAGAGCATCATTTTTGGTCACATTTGCTTCGTGAGGGTCGAGTCGAGTTGCAAAGGCGCACTACCTGTCCGACGCTCTTCACTACGTCGAACAATCAAGGATCTCGTCTTGATCATGCCTTCCTACCTACGAAACCCCCACCGCGCCTACTCCTTTCCACCATGGATCGAAGCCGCTGAGAACGAAGCAAGCCAGCTTCCTGATATCGACGAGGACCCCTTTGCTCACTTCATCACGCCCATCTCAGAGGCAGAGGACCCGTACGAGCTTGCTCTCAGTGCAGGCATCGACGGCGACGAAGGCCCACGCACCACAAAGGCCTCCAAGTTCAAGTCCAACGTCGCCAACAAGTGGGCGCGATATGTCAGGCACAACCACGGCCAGCTCCACACCCAGTACCATGCGCCCACCATCTACGAGGAGGACGAGGAGGATGACGAGTCTTTCATGGGTCTCGATGACGAACGCCTAAACGACACGCCCCATGTTGTGTCTCAGCTTAGCCCATCGAAGAACTCCATCAACGAGACTCACCGCGGTCGTGCACAGGATCTTGCAGCACGCAAGCAGCAGAACCGTCGCCGTTACTCACGCACGCTTTCTGGCCATCGCCATTCGTGGCGAGAACCCAGCCCGGATCTCTTCACTGTGGATGAGTCCGAGGAAGAAGAACTCCCCGTGCTTCGGCGCCCCAAAACTAGGAAGCCCAAGGAAGGCGCGGAGCGCCGGAGGTCTTCGACTAGGTCAAAGTCAAGAGCAAGGGTAGACGTGGCGGAGAAATCGAGATTGTGAAGAGTCCCTTGTTCGCCTAGGGTATGGCGACATCAAAACCAAGACTTTGGATACGACAACATCGCAGCATTTGCATTGGTAGAGTGGAGGCTTGCTACCGTTGAGCGTTTTCGCATTGCATGGCGTTTTGGCTTTTTTTTTATTACTTTTGCGCACACAGCATCGTTTGGCGTTTTTGGTATACCATGGGCTTGCATATTTTTAGGGGATTTTGCATTGGGCGGCGTTTCTTGGAGGTGAGCATTTACACTCTGTTCAGATTTTCCGTTTCAGATTTCCAGATTGCGGCGGGTGCATCGGATCGAGATAGCAGATAACAACCAACGCGTAATACTTCAAGCATTCACACATCGAACGAAGCGCTCTTCGGTTCTTCTGTGCATGGTGCTTTCCCACCAACCAAAAGGCCCCGTGTCCACGAAACCTTTTCCATGCCACCCTCTTCGGATATCTCTCGTCTTTCAAGCCTGGGTAGACTGTCCACGCACACGCACCACTCCCCACATCAAACCCCACTACTGCACACTAGCACACAAGTGCGCGGTACCGTGACCTCACGACGCATACCCACGATAGACCTTCTACCCCTCCATCCAACACATCCCAGCCTCCTTGCGCGCTTACCGCTCCTAACCCCAAAACCAACAACGATTGTCGCTGTGGGGGGCAAAGGGCGATACGACACCGTGCAGTATTCCACAGTCGCAGACAAAGAGAAGACGTGCAGATCCGATGTATCGCTACCCTAACCAGGACGCCTCACGATCCCAGTGCAACGATCGCGATTTGCGATTTGCGTGCCTCGTTTTACTCTACGCAGCTGGCCACATGCAGCGAAAAGGCCATGCAGCCGCATAACTCTGCTGCAAGCCCATGCCCATGTGTGCGAATAAGCCCACCACACGCACACTCTCACACATGTATGGCCGGCATAGCAATACCACCCAATCACAGCCGTATGCACGAGTGGAAATTTCGAGAAACAGACTTTCTCTGCGTATTGTCGCGGTTTAACCTTTGCGCGAGGCCATGCGATGAACGGGACGGGTTGGTTGGTTGGTTGGTTGGTTGGTTGGTTGGTTGGTTAATTGTTGGTGATATGTACGTATATGCAAAGAGATAAGAAGATTATCTCTGACCTGGCCTGACCTAACCTGACCGCTTGTCCACAATGAGAACATGTACCACATGTCATGTCCACCATCTTCTCCGGAAGACCCTGCATTTTTTTGCTCTTGAGGGTCTTCCTTTCGGGTGGCGATCTCTGTTTTTTTCTTGGGCTTGTTCACATCAATGTTCCGAGAAGGGTAGTGCGTGATCAAGTTAGACTGTGCGGGGACTGGTCCGGCAAAGTTGACGACCTTGGTGGAGGTAGTCAGTTGGTGGGGGGTACCCAGTGCTACGACGAGAAGGCGTCTGTGATGGCGGAGTTTTTTTCTCGTTACGATGGCCGTGGCGGGGCTGGCGCATGTTGCTTTCGTCCAGTTATGAGGGTTTGAGGCTCAGAAAGACGGGCCGATCTTGTGTGGTGCTGTTACACTGCAGCTACGAATGTCATTGGTGGTTGGAGGCAAGAGAGGCGAGGAATTTAGGATTATTTTTCCGAAAGACGTAAATGCACGTGCGGTGCTGCTTGTGTAAGTGATTACTTTTTACTTTTGATCACTTAGATAGGATCTGCCCTGCCCTGCCCTGCGAAGATCCACGACTCAGTTGTACGACACCTGGCAGAAGGTTAAAAGGATTTACTTATTTTAATATAATGTCGTGCATGGCGCGGCAGCCGCAGGGCTTGCTCAGCGACGCAGGGCAAACGGAAGTGAGGAGACTCTCGGAATACCGGCACAGAGATCTGCTGGTTGAAGGCTACGGTTCTCTTCTAGACGCATTAGCTTAGCTAGAGATGTTAATGTGGATACAGCGAGTCCTTAGTTAATCAACTGCCACCTCGCGCGGTAGAAGGGGAAGGCAGACCGGACGGAAAGTTAAGTTGCCGCATCTCTAGGACAGATTGGCGTGAGCTGTTGGCACAAGAATCCAAAGGGAACATGCCTACAAGACCAAAAGGCGAAGATAGCCGGACATATGCGCCTAAGTCTGGGATAGAGGGAACATCCTTACTTACAACTTGTTCCCGAAGGACTAGCTATTTAGGCCATTTCAAGGTTGTATAATGTTAGTAGCAGGCGCTGATTGGTGCCACACCTCACGCGTCAGATGACGTCGGTGTCTGTTGACGCGACTTCTCAAACACCTCCTACAGTACTGTACCTTGTATACCGTAGTACTACACCACCACCCTAACACGACTACAACGGATCCCCGCTCGCTACCTCGACAGTACCAAAGAACATGCCGCGCCTAGACGAAACCACACAGCAAACGCTACGCGATGCCGAACAAGGCATCCGGCGCACCACAGCCAGCGCCTGGGAAAGCTTCAGCAACTTTGCCCTACGCGACAATGTACTCGAGGTAGCCGTTGGTCTGATGTAAACAAAACTGCTCCTCCTACACCACACCTCAACACGAAAAACCCAACCGCACCAAGCTCCCCGTGGTAATACCGATTCAAGAACTAATACATCCCCCTTTCCCCAAACAGCCTCGCCTCCTCCTTCACCGCCTGCGCCAACGCCCTAGTCAGCGACATAATCCTTCCGATAATCTCGCTCCTCCCCTTCCTCAGCCGAACCCTCGACACAAAATTCGTGCTCCTGCGTCACGGGCCCAACTCCAACTCTACAATCTCCGCCGGCTACAACACGCCCGCACAAGCCGTCGACGACGGTGCCGTGGTGCTTGCGTACGGTCATTTCCTTGATAAGATTGTCAGGTTTGCCATTGTTGCGCTGGCGCTGTGGGTTATTGCGAATGTGTATGGGAGGTTCAGTGGGGATAGCATTGTGAAGAGGCAGGTCAAGTGTAAGTTTTGTAGAATGTATATCAGTGAGAAGGCAAGGAGGTGTGTGAATTGTACTAGTTGGGTCGATGGAAGGGAGGATAGATAGGGTGGACGAGGGAGTTGGGTGGTAGGGGATTGTTGGCGTGTGCGTTTTCCTGACTGCTTGGATATGAGTACACACAACCTTGCGGTGGATCTTGTAGATTCATTCTATCCCTAAGATAACTACGTCGAAAAAAAGTCTTATTTTTTTTTCTGGTGGTTGGTAGTTTTTCAGTACTCTTGGTGTAAAGTTAACATGGCGACGTTTTATGGTCTGTATGGTCAACGGCATTCAAACGGCACCCCTCACTCTAAAGCCTATACTATGTTCAAGTTCCCGATGTTGGAAAAGATCGACCTAAGCGGCAATGATGTCCTCGATGTTACCGCTTCAACAGCTGAAGAAGAGGGAATGACAGATCCGACGTTACCATCTCCATCATCTGCGCATCCAACAACATCCTACCCAGCCTCCTCGCAAAACAAGCATCCCATCCCTTCATCATCACAAATACCATAGGGATTCATATACACACACTGAGACACTTCGCCCCTGTCCTTCACATAGATCACCGATCCTATCAGCCGAACACACCCGCCACACGAGAAATACCATGAATTATCAAATCAACTTCCAAGGTTGTTGTACCTGATCTACCGGGGCACTGTACTCTGAGAACGCCACCGGAGTGGTAGCGTGATCGTTTTCCCGCGGACACCGAAGGGGCGAGATGGCTAGGTCATGTGATGGTTAAGTTCGGTTTCCATAAAGGCTCAGTTCGCCGAAGTGAACGCCACAGAACCGTAGTGCATGAGCTTTTATGGACGGGGTAACCTTGCTTGAGCCTCGCCGAGCTAATGTCAGTGTTTAAGGAGGGAGAGACTGTCGTGGATTTAGCTTTCGGTGTGGAATGAGTGAGGAGTGTGAGGAGTGAGAAGAATGGAATGGAAGCTATCCGACTACCATGGGGTGAAGAGACAGAGACGGAGACAGGATGAAAATAGAAGCAGGCGCAGTGCAGTGGCAAAAGATACGAGAATAGAGTGTTCACTGTTCACTATCACTATAGCTAGGCCGACTCTTCTCATTATTCCGTCTAGGGTACCGCTACCACGGAGAAAGAAAAAGAGGGTTTGTGAACTAAGGTTATCGATAGCTTCGTCGTCTCATCCATATCTACGTCTGACAAATCAGAGCATTAAAGGTGCCTGTCCTATACCCCCATGCGCCGGTTTGTTTTGCAGCAGGGCAAGTGGCAAACACACACAGTGTGTGGAGTAGAACGAACTTGCGTTTGGTGTAGCGCTTTTCTCACTAGGTCAACCGAGTAGAAGTGTGATAGCATCCACACCATCCACGCGTCCCCATCACTTCCCAACAAAGTGCGGTCGCAACAAAAGTCAAAGTAAATGGCCAGCTGACACCCGTAAGGTGTGTGATGAGGATTATAGCGGGGAACCCTGGTTTGCACACACTAACGCCGCAAGCAGCCTAGTCTGCGTAGCCTCAACGAGACAGACATCCGACAACCGGAAAACAGGGACAGGGCGACTAAGGCACGCGGGAGAGCAGCGTGATTGCCTCCGGGTTAATTTAATGCTCATTCGCTCTTGTCTCGTGGAGGCTATGTTGATTGTTTCTAAGCTCTAGCTTCTAGTTTTCCAGAAACTGGGCTACGAATTGTGCGACCTCCGAGGGCCTCTCCACCATGGGTAAGTGTCCCGCGCCGTCGATGACCTTGAGTTCAACACCAGTACCTAGTTTGTCTGCCATGTTTTCCTTCATAGTCTTTGGTAGGACGCCGTCGCCGGCGCCAACTAAGAACGCGCCTTTGCCCTTGTACCCGGCCATCTTGTCGCGGATGTCGTACTGATGCAGTGCTTTGACCGAGTCACGGAAGCCAGCTAGAGAGTTTGTCTTGACCATGTCTTTGACACGTTGGATCTTCTTTGCTAGTTCGGCATTGTCGTATGACTCCTTGACGAACCACCTGCGTACTGTGATTTCGGCAAGGTCTTCGCCGACAATGGGCTCGCCTGATGAAGCTTTTAGTCCTTCTTTCTCGGCCATTTGAACACGCTCGTTCCAAGCATTGGCGTTGGAGGGGGGCGCGAAGGCATTTGTGTCGCAGCCGATGAATGCGGAGATGCGGTCTGGATACGAGAGGCCTGCGTTGAGTGCTGTGGCGCCTCCAAGAGAAACGCCGACTATTGATGCCTTTTTCACACGAAGAGCATCGAGGAGAGCGATTACATCCTGCGTAAGGACGTCGAGGTTGACTGGTGATGTAGACTCTGATGGAAGAGTGTTGCGTCCGCGGGTGCTGTATCGTAGGACGCGGTACTTGTTGTTTGTAAATTTGAAAAAGTGTGTCAGAAATTCATCCCAAATGCCATAGTCCACCAATATGCTGTTTGAAAGAAGCAATAGCGGCGCATTAGGATCACTTGAGCCCTCAAGACGGTACGGGAGTTGGATTCCATCTTTCGTTGTGATGAAGCTTTCGATCACTGGTCGCTGCTCGGGTGTGGTATGCGCTGGGTATGTCTTTACCAGTCCTTCCGAAAACTCTACGGGTACCGTGTCCTTGTTGGCAAGGCTCTGCAGGTCGCGCTGTGCAGCTCCAAAAGTGTAGTACAAATCGTATACTCGTCTCTTCCTCTCTTTGACGACATTCTTGTATATCTTGTCGCACCACTCTGTCGTAGTCGCAGCGACAAACTCTGGTCCTCCTAGCCCGTTCTGAGGTGCGTATTCGTGTAGCGCAAGGAATTCCTTCTCCGTCTTGTGCCCGCTTTCGAGATCCAGGTACGAGGTGACAAATCTCCTGGTCCTTCTCCATCCCGGCACCTTTTGGAGGAGTGGCACATGCTCCTCCTCATACCACTTCTTCAGTTCCTCCTCTTTATCCGCGCCGTCCTGTAGTGCAAAACTAACGGCAATCATGACGTTCTTCTCGCCCTCGTTCTCTACCTTTTGCAGGTCCTTGAAATCACCGCCTTTCCACTCCTTGAGCAAGTCATAAGATCTCCTGTCGACAAATATCTGCTTCATGGTATCTCTCTCCCTTTGCGACTGCACTGGTGCGCTACGGAGCTTCATGTACGGTTCTCTGGTCAGCCATTCAAGTTCGTCAAAGTCGTAGATGGCCATCCATTCTGGCTTGTCTTTGGTTCCGGCACTGTTTTCGAGGTCCGTCGCGCGGTAGCGGAAGCCATTGTTGCAAAATGGGAGACGGAGGCGGTTAGGACCGTGTTCGTTCTGGTACCTTTGGGGGAAGAGTGTTAGGTGAGAACGCGAGGAGGCAAGAATCCGACTGTGGAAGGGTCAACTTACCAATCGTGAAACTGTGCATCTGATAAGCCCTCTTTGGGCTGCATAGTCACATACAAAATGCCCGGTGTTGATTTCGCGGCCATGATGGGAGGAGTGGGGTAGCTAGACTTCACTTTGGGGAATATCTGAGAAGCAGCAACAGTGGATGGATTTCGACAGAAGATTGAATTGTTAAGATTTGCGGATGTAACTATGCTACTCTAATCCTCTTGTGCGAACCATGATGAGGTTGGGGTGAACAAGCTCCCCGATGACATCTGCCGACCGGCACTAGTTCGGGCGAGAAGTCCCCCCCCCCCCCCCCCACACTGCCCCTCCATGCTCCGAGGCTGAACATAGATCCGCCACCCACCACCAGTTCGGGACATGAAGGTAATGTTTGAAACGCATGTCGGATGCACTTTCTTTTTCGGGCTTATCAATTGATAGAGCATCTGCATAGCTGCAATTAGTTCACATCCCTCTGTTTGAGTATACGTTTGTATCACATTCTCTATTCTCTATTTGTCCATGTCAAACTAATCGTACCATATGGCATTCATTCCAAACCCCTTTTCACCAATCTCTAATCTCGCGACTCTCGCAAGAAACTCATCGTGCCACCTGTATATCTCAACCCCACCCTTCTCATCATCGGTAAGCGCAAGCCACTCGTCCGACCAAGGACAGGGTGACACAGCGTTTGAGTGCCCACCGGAAGTTGGTGTAGGATTGAGGCAGATTTGTCGCTCAATTGCACCGGATGGCGCAATCTTGAAAGCAGCAATATATCCGGTGAGGTCGAACGAGTTGGATCTCGACGTCGCGAACAGGTATTGCGAGGACTTGGTCAGGAAACAAACGTCGGATCGGTACATGGTGGTCGCATTGGGGATTCCTGAAATATTCAATTAGCACAAGAACAATCAAACGGAGGTGAACGCTTACCAGGTGGTATCAATGGGTACGTCTTGTGGGTGTAGATTGGCAACTTTGTCTGCGGATCGATGACGTATTCGCACAAGCGATTGCCCCCCTCCATCAGAGCATACAGGTAGTTGCCGGAAGGGTGCATCTCTACCCATCTCGGATGGTCCTTTGGAGCAGGCGCTTCAGTGAAGCCTACTGTTTCCAGCTTGCCTTCCTCATCAGTCTTCTTGTGACACCATACTCGGTTTGCCCACATATCTGCGCTGTAGAGATAGGACTCGGAGGGGTCAAAGACCATACCGTGGATTGCCGTCTTTTCGCAGTATTCGAAGTTTTGGATGTTCTCCTTGATATGGCCAGAGGAGTTGACCGAGAAGACATTCCCGTAACCAGCATAGTCGTAGAAAGGATTGCAGTACACGTTGTACGGAGGTTTCTTGCTGGGAAGGAGGAATATGGCGCGTGTCTTCGTGTCGGCGTCGTTGGCTTTGGCTATGAAGCTTGTCAGTGGTGACACGGCGTAAGCATGTGGTATCGCGTACGGTGCCCGCCTATGGAAAAGCTTCCAGTGTGTACAATCTCGCTCGGGCTCTTGACCTCATGCGAACTCCATTTCTTCATGGATGCGCCATAGATGTTCTTCCTTTGGTGCTGCGTTCCTGGTCATCAGCCGTTGTTGACCGCATTGGTTCGTGAGTTGCGCGCATACGTCAAAAGCCATCCAACTGATGGGCTCATCTTCAGGAATTACCGTCTTCTTCACCAGCTCCAGCTTCAATGTTTCATCGTCGAATGCGACGGTGATTATTACACCTGGCGGCGTCCAGGTGCCGATCATAAGATGATGTTTGACCATGATGGTGGTTGTTTCCTTTCACACGATGCACTTTCTTCAAATCAGGGTGCGTCGTAGGAAAAGTACTTGGACCGACAATGTCTGCCGGAGCTCTATCCTTGACTTCATAATTTGGACCGTCGCGTCGCGTTGGCACACCTCCGGGGTCTATCCCGAAGGCGGGGCATTAGTGCTGATGGCGCTAAGTTCGCGCGCAGGAAAAGTGCCGGTTAAGACTTCATCCACATCAGCTTCCTTCCCATTCGCCAATCCTCTGCTGTCAGGGCGGGGCATCCATCGCAACATTCGGCACTGTCGCTCCCTGCACCATAACACGTTTGAGAAGCGGCGTAGCATGCCGCACACGGATCCGACATGGACATATCGCCTGAGCGCGGCTAGAGGGTCGGCCATTGCTAACGGTGCTGGTGCGGTTGGGTACGGCTGGCCAGACTGAAGAGCTATTTAATAAACCCCTCGTGCCCCAGGTAGCATCTGACTACACAGCATTTACCTTTGACATCTCTCGATACCCCTTTTGCCTTGTTTCCAAACATTCAAGATGAACCCCAACACACAGCAAGCCCCAAACGTGCAGGAGAATGGCTCCCACCGCTTCGATCCCAACTTCACTGACGCCGTCATCAATGCTATTGGACCCAATGTGCCAGACAGGACGCGTTTTGTCATGAGCAGCCTCATCAGGCATCTCCATGACTTTATCCGCGAAGTTGAGTTGACCAACGACGAGTGGTTTGAGGGTGTACGATTTGTAAACTCCATCGGCAAGACAACCACTGCTACGAGAAACGAGGCACATCGTATCTCCGATGTTCTCGGCGTAGAATCGTAAGATGGCCATTGTTTTTTCCCTGCATGTCTGCTAATCACACTATAGATTGGTCGACGAGATCGCACACAAGCACATCAACGAGTCTGGCGAGACACCTACCTCATCCACAATTCTCGGTCCCTTCTGGTCGCCTCACTCCCCATTCCGCGAGCTCGGCGACACCATCATCCGCAACGAACATCCCGAAGGCCAAACCACTCTTATGCACGGTGTAGTCAGGGACCTTGATACCAAAAAGGGCATCCCCAACGCAGTCATCGACATCTGGCAGGCGAGCGCGAACGGAAAGTACGATTTCCAGGATCCTGAGAACCAGGAGCCAAACAACTTGAGGGGAAAGTTCACTACAAATGAGAAGGGCGAGTACTGGTACTACTGCTACAAGCCCACGGCGTACTCACTGCCTACCGATGGTACGTCAAACATCTAATCTTACCACATGAATACAACTAACATCAAGCAGGCGCCGCTGGCCAACTCTTCAAGACGCTCGACCGTCACCCATTCCGTCCCGCCCACATCCATCTTATGGTTTCAGCGGACAACTACAAGCCTTTGATCACCCAACTCTACCCCCGTGATGACCAATGGGTTACCAACGACACAGTCTTCGCGGTCAAGGACGACTTGTTGCTGGACTTCAAGCCGAGCAACGACCCCAAGGCGAAGCTTGACTTGGAATACAACGTCACTTTGGCTCCATCAGGAAAGAAGACCAGCAGATTGGAGGGTATTCCCAGGCTACCTAACGTGTTTGATGAGCAAAGCAGGCTGTAGATGGTTTCTTTTTGGTCAAAATATTTATAGCGAGATTTTCAAAACTACTTCGAATTCTTGAGTTGAAAATGATGATTACTTGTGATACCTCCAATCAAACCAATGATGTGATACCAACCGGCAAGTATATCCGTCCCAGTTCCGCAAAACAGGTATATATAGCCCCTCTGCCCAGCTTCCCAGACATCAATGTTCTCCCACCTACGTCTGCCAAGTTCAATTCTAAGAAACACCACGTCCCACTCCCGCCCCTTCACATCCATCAGCATATCTAAAATGCGTGTTCCCTATGCTCCAAGTGTGCCTGTAAATGAAGAAGATGTTGAAATCTACCAACGCATCGCTGAGCGACGCAAGCCCCGTCCTCTCATCCCCCTCGATCTCGCCCTACTGCACAGCCCCGCCGTAGCAGACGGCTGGAACAGCTTCATCGGAGCGATTCGCACGAAGACCAATCTATCTCCCAACCTCAAAGAGCTGGCCATCAGCCGCATTGCCGTTCTCAACCATGCAGTTCACGAATGGGACATTCACGCTGCCCTTGCACTCAAAGCAGGCGTCTCCAAGGAGGTGCTACAGACAATTTTCGAACTACCCGTCACTCGGCACGGGATGGTAGAGAGGGAGGGATTGCTGGGATTTAGCAAGGAGGAGTATGCGGTCATGGTTTACACGGATCAGATGACTGTTGGAGTGCAGGTTGAAGAGCAGGTTATGGACATGGTCAAAGGGGTGCTGAGAGATGATAGTTTGGTCGTGGAGTTGACTGCGACGATTGCGGCGTACAATGCTGTGAGTAGGTTTTTGGTAGCACTGGATGTGGGTGAGTGTAATGGGAGGCGTATGAAGAAGGTTGAAGAGTTGTGAGCCCTATGTATGTAGATGCAGTTTTGATAATAGAGTGTTGGAGGCTCACAGCGGAACACATCCGCTGTCCCGGATACTAGCGTCCCTCCGCATTTTAGGAAGGTGCCTCGGCCCATCAGCCGTCGCAAACCGAACATGTAGTTTGCCTTCAATATGCCATCAATGACTACTTCACCCGCCTTGTTGTCCAATTTTTCTCACAATTTGCTTTATACTGAATCACATACACATACACAATGGTGTCACTAGCCCCCCGCCTCCTCACACGCAGCATCCGCCAAACACGCGTCCGCCCAAGGACGGTCCTCACAGCCGCCCAGCGCTACGCATCAACAAAGCACCCCACAAACTTCACGCCACCCACCCAATCCGACCTCGACGAACTGCGTGATTCAGTCCGCGAATTTGCCCGGCGCGAGATACCCGAAGAAATCGCCGCACGCACCGATAAGCAGAATGAGTTCCCCAACGACATGTGGCAGAAGTTTGGCGAGGCCGGTTTCCTCGGCATAACCGCCGACGAGGAGTTTGGTGGCCTAGCAATGGGATATCAGGCGCATTGCGTAGTCATGGAAGAGTTGTCACGGGCGAGTGGAAGCATAGGACTGAGTTATGCGGCGCATAGCCAGTTGTGTGTGAACCAACTCATGTTGAACGGGAATGCCGCGCAAAAGGCAAAGTATCTGCCTGGATTGATTAGTGGGAAGAAGATTGGCGGATTGGCTATGAGTGAGCATAGTGCTGGGAGCGATGTTGTCAGTATGAAGACGACAGCCAAGGAGGTTGATGGTGGCTATTTGCTCAACGGGACTAAGATGTGGATTACAAACGTAAGTCTCCATTCTCTGTACCTGACAGTTGAACCAAGGCAGATGCTGATCAAAGAATAGGGCCCAGATGCCCACACTATAGTCGTGTACGCCAAAACAGAGCCTACAGCCGCCAGCAAAGGCATCACCGCCTTCATCGTCGACACCGCGACCACCGGCTTTAGCGTCGCCTCCAAACTAGACAAACTCGGCATGCGTGGCTCCAACACAGGCGAGCTTGTCTTTGAAAATGTCTTTGTACCCCGTGAAAACATCCTAGGCGAGGTCAACCGAGGCGTGCGCGTACTAATGGAAGGCCTGGATCTCGAGCGCCTCGTCCTCTCTGCCGGGCCCCTTGGTCTCATGCAAGCCTCCCTCGATAACGTGCTACCGTATACACATCAGCGCAAGCAGTTTGGCACTCCCATCGCACACAATCAGCTAGTGCAGGGCAAGTTGGCAGATATGTACACCAAATTCCGCGCCTCCCAGGCCTTCACGTATAGCGTGGCGCGAGCTGTAGATGAGTCTCACGCAAGTCCAGATATAAAGACACAGGATTGCGCGGGCGCGATACTGTATGCGGCCGAGAGGGCGAGCGAGGTGGCGGCTGATGCGGTGCAGTTGATGGGTGGAATGGGGTATATGAATGAGGTGCCCGTAGGTCGGATACTGAGGGATGCCAAACTCTACGAAATTGGCGCGGGTACGAGTGAGGTTCGGAGAATGGTCATTGGACGTGCGTTTAACAGGGAGTGGAAGCAAGATGTGTGAGTAGTCCTGGACGTTGTACAAAAGCTAAGAAGGTTCAAAGATATATCCTTTGTTGATTTCCGTTCTTAAGGGAGCAACCTAGTAAGGGAGTAACAGGTAGATCTTTTGCGCCCCAACATCTTATCCCGAGATCACCTTCCTTCCCCTGCCTTCCCAAACCGCACAATTAGACGAGCTTACGAAAGGCGGTGGACGTAAGCCGGAAGCTGACAGAAAGACATGAGCCTACAAAAGCGGATACAGTACCACAACATTGTACGAGCTTTACTATGCTGACTTGCGGCCCTTATTCTCCGGTTCGACTGTCATAGCTCGCATGTACAATGACATGGCACGAGCTCCATCAAGCATTCCAATGTAACTAAACCTGCAGAATTCGCCCCTTCTTCCTCCTGTCCTACTCTGACTAAGAAGTTTAGAATATGATTTCTCTATTATTGAGCACTGGGTTGACATGCATGCCAAGGTAAGAAAGGGGTATCCTGTATCCTGTCTTGCAAAAGTCAGAAACACAACGACCTTGTTGATACTACATGATCATCGCATTATGATAATAACAATGATTCCAACTTTCAACGTACTCGTTACAATTACATGAAATTTCGAGCCTTCCAAGGCGCGCCATTGGCTCATCATGTTGCGTCCCGTGGTACTGTTCTACCAGGACCATGGTACACCAGATACGCTCACGTAAACAAGATTGTTACCTTTGTTTGATACTACTCTTCCCCTCGGCGCGGCTATTAGTTACCCACCATCCCCCAAACGAACATCAACGATCCAGCACCATGAAGCTCTCCATCGTCTATCCTGGCCTTGTACTAGCTACCACTGCTTCTGCTTCTACCAAGAAATGCGCCTGGGGACGATACATCTTGTGCGAATACGGCCAGAATCTTGTCTACGAGAAAGGAAGACCCGCACTCAACTCTTGCATAGGCAGGGAAAACCATTTCGGATATTCCACCTTTGATTGCCCGACTACCTTCAACGGCTCGCCCTTGTTCTATGTGACGTGTCTTTCCCGGCTTGTGGGCGACAGTTATTTCGGGTGCGGCTAGTAAGTTCTTGTTTTTAGGAAATTGAGATGATTTGCGTTTTTCTAACCGGGTTTCTGTAGTGATGTATCGAACATTGGTGAGTGATTAGGGAGGAATGAGGGTTTGGGTTTGAGAAAGTGGGATGGAGTGAAGAAAACGAGGAGGAGGATGAGAATGCATATGTTCTATTTTACTTTGGATGAGCATGCCGTTGTTTCTTGGTATTAGGAACTTCCGCTTTCTTGTTCTTGTTTGATGTCTTTTAATAACAAATAAATATAGTCGCGACACTGGCACCATGGTACAATCGACCTGAGGCACCCCCAAAATCACCTCATCCAAAAGTCTTCAAATGATTACATCGACGCAGAAAATTTACGATAGAGGAGAACAACAAGCCTGCAAATCACAGATGGTGACAAACATCGTCAAGATGATCAAGGAATCTCAATAGCGATATTATACTCCTTGATCTGAACTGTCTAAATATACATTTGTTGTGAATGTAAAGTTTCCTTATGCCTTGCTCTAACATAGAAACTTCATCGACACTTACAAAAGCCTCGAACCATCATACCGCTCCCCATCTGCTTCCACCGCATACGCAGGCCTGTCCTCTTCCTTGAGGGACTTTGGATCGATATAACGACACGTAAGAGCAAACCGTAAACTACCCTCATGCTCAACAGCATGTTCGTAATACTGTTGCACCTCGGCACCATGCATCATCACAATGTCGCCATGACCTAACTGCATAGTGAGCACTTCCTTTGCTTGGCCCCTAATGTTAAGTTCCAGTTCCTTTGGTATCTGCTTCCTCCTCGAGTTGTATGGCTTGGTGTCTACCAGCTCCTTCAAAGCGTCGAGTTCGGGTTGTAGGGCGAGACGGTCCTCGTACTTTTGGCAACCGGGGATGGGGGGAGCATCGTCGTAGAGGCCTGTGTTAGAGGATATACCGTGGTATTGTCGGGCCTTCATGCGGATGCGCATTGTGCCAGGCGCACCAAGACTAAGGGTGGCAATGGTTGGACCAAGACCGTATTCGCCGTCATCGTGGTAGTTGATTTTTTGGCCTTGAAAGTAGCCCAGGGCGAGGACTTCGTTGAATTCTTGTCTTTTACAGTCTTCGGCTACTTCTTGCATGCTCTTTCCGGTTTTCTGGGAGAAAAGGAGTTTGGCGGCCCAGTTTAAGCGGCTGCGCGTGCTAGTGATCGCACGGGCGGCACCGTCGAAGGACCGAGACGCGGTCGTTGCGATGAATTTATAAGGCATGCCGTAGTTTACCAAGAATTGGCGGCAGTAGTTGGGCCCTTTCAGCTGACCACTGGGCATGGAACGACGCTCTAGTCCGATGTCTGTCAGTTGGAGTTCTTCGAACATGGCGTCTGGGCCACCGTCTTCCTCTAATACGGTCTTGTTGGCAATCATGTGAGTTACGAAGCCATCGATTCCCGGAAGCTTAAACCGGTTGATGCGATAACCATGACTGAGAAATACATTGAGATCGATCAGAGGCGAGTATGTGTCTCTGGAATGTGTATCTAGGTCGGTCACGGGCCAGAATGGGTCCCGAAGAGAAAGGGCAGGGATGAGTGTGTGTGGCGGGGACCGAACGAAGTCGCAAGTAGTGTTGGGACACGTCCAACAAGTCCAATTGATGCGTGGGATACAGCTTCCGCATTTAGGACAAACTATCCCAGACCAGAATGCGACAGATGTGTTGTCACCCGGCCGAGCGTGCGGTGATAGCTCGGCAGTGTTAGACACGAGCGGGTAGTCGCGATCGTCGTTGACCCAGGGCGTCTTCTGTTTGAGAAACCGAGGGTCGTAGATGAGAGACGCTTCATTCGGCTCTTGCAAGGAGGTGCTGTTCCCAGGGCCAGGTGTCGCGGTGATAAGTTTCCAAAATGATGCGCAAGTCGAGCGTAGACACATCCATCCGTTCAGATATACTTGCGGGGATATCACGCCACATGAGCCACATTGTCTCTCAACTGGGGGTGGTAGTGAGCCAAGTGTGGCAACATCTGGGCCGTCCTTTGCTCGCCACCAAGAATCTTTCTTCGTGTTGAGCTTCTCGAACCGATATCGCACCATCTCGTTCCCGCCACTCTTCTCAGACCAGATGTGTGTGGGCTTGAAGTGGTCAAGTACACAATACTGGTGTGGTGGCTTTGATGGAATGTGTGGATTGTCGACTCCGGTAATGATAACCACCGGGTTGCGACTGAGCATGCAATTCCTCAAACCTGCAGCGACCGAATCTTCTTTCTGGTCTCTACCAGCTTTCATCTCACCAGAGTCCTTGTCTTTCACTCGACCCCCACCTGCTCGTGAGAGGATGACATCGCTATCGATATAGTCACGATCATGCGCAAGTTTGTCGAACATGAAGCCGCGTACAAACCCTCCTGTGGCGTAACTGGAACTCTGGTAGCTACGAAAGTAGTGCAATGTTTCACAAAGCTCTTGTCGCCCTTCTGCCCACACTTCTGGTTTTCCAATGGGTTCCGGCTTGTTTTGCCCTACATTACGTTGGCCAAGAAGCTGCTCAGCTATAGCGCGGAGATGCTGCAGGTCATCATCTACCCGAAACGAGGCATGGCGCGATGAGCATTCCATATCCTCACATTCAGTCGTAGCATCTGAACGTGCATATGCTGTTGCAAGTGGCGTCGAAGGCGAAACTTGGGTCGGCTCTATTTGATATGAACCCTGAGGGGGTGTGTGTTGTTCCCTGAGTTCTAGATTAGACTTCAAATCTAAATTCTCGTGCGCGACTTGTATATTTGGGTAGGGCTCCGAACCGGGGGTCAGGTACGCATGTTGCACTGGCGATGTCTGGTTATCTGTATGTGCTTGTTGCGGGGTCTGGCGTAGAGGATCCTCGGGTGTCTGAGCCGTTGAGGGGTGTGATGGAAGTGTTTGGAACTTGGTGGCTTCGGTTTGCGAGGTGTTTGGTATGAAATTCTGACTAGATGCTGGTAGCGGTGCTGGCACATTTTGAGCGCATTCACTTGACCTGTCCAGTGGAAGAGTCTGCTTATCAGCAGCCGTGATCATCTAAAAAGTTGGTCAGTGTTATTTCTAAGAAATCTCTGAGCTACTGACCGCGCTTAAGAGCAAAGAAGGTGGTAGCGGTGACAGATCGCTCTCTTCACTTTCATGCTCTGGTTCCTGATTGGGCACAATGGCTGGTGAGAAGCTGCCTAGCAGGACTTTGGGACTTTGTATTTTAGAGTTTTTCTTGAGTCCTTTTGAGATTTGCGAACCGCGTTTCGTAGTCGTTGCCGGCTTCCTCGAAGAGCGTTTTGCTGTCGTCTTCGGTGTTGTTGTTGTCCGTTTCCTAGGAGAGGGCTGAGGGGTCACATCGGAGTACTTCTCGGGAGGTTTCCGTTCACGCTTCGGGCGTCCTGAGGAAAGAGAGCCAAAGTTGCCTGGAACATCTAACATTCCGGTCTGCTCCAATTCTTGCAATAATTTGGGTTGCTTAGTGACTGGGGCATCTTCCAGTGCAGCTGCGTCGTCATGACCGCGCTTTGAGAGCGCCATTTTGGTGAGCTGAGAACTTTGCTGATCTCCAGATAATAGTTTTGGAGTAAATGAATGCGATAAGAGTGAGCGAGGTCTACTATATATGAAGTGTAGAAAAGGTGGGGCCAGCAATGCGCAGAGACTGCACTGGGGTAAAATAGGAAACGAGCAAAGATAGGTCGACAATAGACAGTGGAAAGGTAAACTCAGTGGCCAGTGCTCTCTCTAGTGTTCAAGACTAATGAACATCTGTCATTTGTTTGAGGTGAGTGAGAGAGAAGAGGGTCGCCACACAAGACGCGGTTGGCACCTGCCCCGCCATACCGTAAGAGGGAATCGTGCCATGGCAAGCGCGCAGGGACCTCGATAATGATGAAATGCCAGTGTTCAACTGTTTAGCAATCTTTCCATCTCAGCTTCTGAGCGTGGTTGAGATGGCGAGTTACCTGTCTTTGTCTGGAGGGGGGTCATGTGGAGTTGAACCGTACCATTAGACACAAGCAAACAGCAATTCAATGTCATGGAAAACCTCTGGGTCAACTATCTTATCTATACCGCAATCACCGACTTGGGCGAAAGCAAAGAGGTCTATGTCTAGGGCGATGCATGTCGGCCCTACCAGTAGTGCGGATCATGAGTTTAGGCTAGCCGATTAAGGAGTGACCGCGGCTCCACACCTGCAACAGCTTCCCCACACTTGGAGCTTGTCCGCAATGCCGGCTATGGGTCTGCTAAGATGTTTGACCCCGTCGCAATCGGCGCGTCTCAATATGCTCACGTCAGTGCGAGCATCAGACGCAGCGTTAAATCCCGGCTGAGCCGCATCGTCGCCATGCCCCCTACACTCTCCTCTGGAGCTCCATAGACGGCATCCTTCTACATCTCCGCAGGGCAGCCCATATCCAACGTACCGCTAGCAAGCTGTCAGCATGCCCTTCTATCCTCCTTCATGGGTGCCGAAGCTTCCGTTCGACCCACCAGACTCGATTCCCATCAGCGAGTTCATCTTAAACGACATCTATGGCCGCCACCCACTCGGATACTCGCACAATCCATTCACGTGTGGTTTGACTGGCAAGACGTACACGGCCTTGGAGGTTCAGGAGCGTGTTGACTACCTCGCACGTGGTCTAGCAAAGGAGCTCGGCTTTGATCCAAACAAGGGGTCTGAATGGGACAAGGTTATTGCTGTCTTCTCTGTGAACACTGTGGGTATATCAGCGCAAGGCTTGAATCGGTACTGATGGCTGCCAGATTGACACGGTTCCGCTAGCATGGGCTACCACTCGTTTGGGTGGTATCCATACACCCGCCAACGCCGGATACAGCGCCTCTGAACTCGAATACCAGTTGAAGACCTCTGGTGCCAAGGCCCTCTTCACCTGTGTGACTTTGCTCGAAACAGCTCGCATTGCGGCCAAGAATACCGGCATACCGGAAAACCGTATATACATACTTGAGGTGCCTGAGAAGTTTGCTGGAAGAGGTACCCCAGAAGGGCTCAAAACGGTTGACCACTTGATTCGCGAGGGCGGCAAGCTCGATCGCCTGCCGCCATTGGACTGGGAACCCGGACATGGCGCCAAGAGGACAGCATATCTCTGCTATTCGAGCGGTACCTCTGGCCTACCCGTAAGTAGCTTTTCGCTGATACAGGAAGCCGTCATGCTGACCTCCTATTCAGAAAGGAGTCATGATATCGCACCAGAACGTCATCGCCAATACATGTAAGTTGCCCAAGATGTCATCTCCAAACCAGACTAATCGTGAATAGTGCAAAACTTCACCCATGAAAAAGTATACCGTGATACCATCATCAAAGACGTGCGCAATCAATCAGACTATATTGAGAAAGCCCTCGGTCTGATGCCGATGGCTCACATCGCTGGCTTGGTTGTCGTCGGTCACCTCAACGTCTATCGTGGCGACGGCACTATCGTCATGCCCAAATACGACTTTGAAACAATGCTTCAGATGATACAGGATTACGAGATCAATTCAATGGTATTAGTATGTACAATGGCTGAATGATTGCTTGCACCAGCTAACTATCAAGGCTCCCCCAATTTTCATTCAGATGATCAACAGCAAACCTATACTTGACAAATACAATCTCAGCTCCGTGTGGAACGTCTTATCAGGCTCAGCGCCCCTAGGGGTTAAAATTATGACGGAGCTGCAGAAGATATTCCCATCATGGAAGCTCCGACAGGTATATGGCCTTACTGAGATAAGTCCCTGTGCTTGTTCGACTGCTCCCGATGATATTTGGTTTGGTTCAGTTGGTTCTCTGATTCCAAGCACTGAATGTAGACTTGTGACGCCTGAGGGTGAAGAGATCACTGGCTACGATCAACCCGGCGAGCTACTGATCAAGTCGCCTTCTGTCGTGCTAGGCTATCACAACAATGAAAAGGCCAATGCAGAGACGTTCCAAGATGGATGGCTACGCACGGGAGACGAAGCACTTTTCAGAAAGGCGCCTTCGGGTCATGAGCACCTCTTCATTGTCGATCGCATAAAGGAACTCATCAAGGTACAGGTAGGTACTCGAGTTTCCTCTCAGGGAAACAAACGCTAATTATTAAACAGGGCTATCAAGTCGCACCGGCAGAGCTCGAGGCTCATCTCCTGTCCCACCCCATGGTCAAGGACTGTGCCGTGATCCAGGTCCCCAATGAGAAAACCGGGGAGGTACCCAAGGCCTTTGTCGTCAAGGCCTCGTCTGTTGGGCTCGAGGACAACGATCGCCTTGTTGCTCGAGATATCACAAAGTATGTTGAACAGCACAAGGCGCGATACAAGTGGCTAGGCGGTGGTGTTGAGTTTGTCGACGAGATACCCAAGTCGCCATCGGGCAAGATTCTTCGACGATTGCTGAGAGACTGTGAGAAGGAGAAGAGACGCCAAGCCGGGAGCAAGCTGTAGTAGCGCCATTCAGTTGGTCTGCGTTAGATGTACTCTTGTCACGTACACGCTACACCACAATTAGCTAGCGTCTACAGCGTTCACACACATAAAAGTCACCCGTTGCCCTCTGCTCTGCTTCTTTCCTAACACTTCTGTATCTCATGCTTCCTACTTTAAAACACAATTCGTTGCTCGGCATGTCTGACGACGGCTTTCCTCTTCCAATTTAAAAAACTATTACAGGCTTAGCATGTCTGCCGCTGGTCTTTCTCTTCTAAATGGCAGCTACTCCGTCTTATGTGGTTATCCTGAATTACAACAATAACGCCGGCATGTTGTTCCTGTTTATAAAAATAGGGTTAGTGCTTCTTATGCGGTCGTCCTAAATTACAACAACGACACTGGCATGTTGTTCCTGGCTACTAAAATTCGACTCGTACTCCTCATGGAGCGAGTGATTGACCCTCTTTTACCAAAATCTTCCTATTTTCAAGATTGAATTACCATTTATCTATGGTCTGGCCTGGATTTCTCTAAAAAACATACTTTTTATGTGACAGTGTGTCTCTTTTTCTTCTTTTTCTAAAACTAAAGAACTTCATGGGAGATTATATGTTGGTGTCTGCTTTGAAAATTGTACAAGATGCAGCGAATGTTCTGCGTTTGTGGTGGTGGTGGTGGTCGCTACTTCAATCATATTGAGTTTTTGTCGGCATACACACGGTGTGTCGCCTAATAAGGCCCAATGTACCGCCTCGATCCTACTTCGGCCCAACTCGGACCCAACGCTATGTATACCTTCGTAGCCCCCACATTCGTAGAATCATCATACACCAGAATACCAATACACAAGATTACCTTAGCTACTGTTATTCACCGTACGATCGTACAAGGCCTTCCAACACTGATCAGTGATTGCACGGCAGTCACAGACAGTTAGGTTAAGAAGAGATAGATTCTTTACCCCGCGCGTTCCCTAGATTGCCTATATCAGCAAGGCGGAGTTATCTATGCTAAGCTCACTGTTAGCTATATCAGGCGTCGTTCGTGGCTAGCGACCGACCGTTACAGCCGTATCAGAAGCGTTCCAAGACGCCGTCTATACACGCGCCAACCGACCGGTTGAGATTTGACCCGTGTACAACCCACGACCACCGACGCATCTCTAGCGAACGCAGCTAGCGCAACAAGCGTCAACAAGAACACAATGGCAGGAGAGAGAACATCATCGGAAAGAGCACCGGTAGCCAGGACGCCGGCAGTAGGAATGGCGAGCAGTAGTAGAAGAGTGGTACCCAGACTCCGCAACAATCAATCGATTGACATGATTGATTCCTATATAGGTTAAAGAATTACTTCATTAGGCAGCCTTTAACCTAGATAGGAATCAATCATGCCGATCCGATTGATTGTTGCGGAGTCTGGTGGTACCCACACTAGAGGCGCTACTAGGGACCACAAACATAAAACCAAGAGAATGGCATCACATCGATCCAGAGATTTGGGAGGACAACGTTGAAGCTCCAGACGATGAGGTAGGGATTACTACAGCAACAACGTACATTGCGCGTGCGATTGCGGACTATACAGATCGACCAACAGCAGATGAAGAACTCTTTTGGGAGTTCCGTCAGGACTTTGAAGGATGGACAGAGGCAATGTTCCTACGTGCCCAGCCAATATACACAAAGGAACTAAAGCGGATCCTCCGCTTTAAGGGAGTGTATACTGGCCGTATTAATATGGCACCTAGTGAGTCTCTAGCTAGGTTATTACGCATGGAGGAGTACCTAGAATGGCCTCAGGACGTATTCCAGTCGGCTGTGTTTGACACACGATCAGCTGCGCACATGTTGCAAGAGCGGGCACTACGGCAACAACGCAGTGAAGGATCAGTACAGTCCACAGACAGGAGATTATCAAGCCAGGCCCAGAGCCGAACCCAAACGCCTGTAAGGACAAGAGGCCGAGACGTAGACAGTCGGCAAACCCGCGATCAAGACCAGACCCACGCCCGTGTGCAAGGACGACAGGAGACCGTTGAGGAAGAACAACAGATTCAGGACCAGCTGGCAAAAACGATTGAGAAAGCCCAAAACCAACCAATCCGAAGCCAGCCTGTAGAGACAACTGAATCCGCACCGCAGCCAGCCTATCAGCGCGTCCAAAGTCAGCAACCTCCCCTCACCTACAACAACTTCGACCGATTCCGCGAGTATACACCAGCATACCCGCAACGTCCGAAGGGACTGAGCGTTCCCCCAATTGTGCCCTCTGGTGAAACAGACCCGTACAAGGCAGTTCCACCAATCGAGTTTGGCAATGAGAAACTGGATCCTAAGACGATCAATGTCTTCGTGAAAATGTGGGACCGAGACAAAAAGTATACGGGAAAGCCGTACGACCTCCTAGACGATAAATTGAAGATCTTCTACAGCATCTGTTATCACGCAGACATCGAGCCAGGGCAGTTCCATGCAGTCTTTCCACGGATTCTCGACGGCCGCGCAGAGGAGTATTACCTCCACTTCGTCGATCAGCGGATGGATACGTTCTTGACTGCCTACACAAAGCTCAAGAACCACTTCGACACAGACGTCAACCACGGCCATTACTACGCGGACTGGACGACGACATCGTTTGTCAAAGTCCGCAGGGAGAACCCCGAAAAGAACCTCCACGAGGTCCTTGACATCATGCTGGACAAGCTCCAATTGTGTCAAAGAGCACTTGGACAGCAGTACATGGGAGAATACGCGCTCCGAACGACTGTAATCACAGCATGCCGAGGCGTGAAGGAGCTCGAGATGGCACTCTACAAGCCGTCTCTAGAATGCGAGGTTCTGTTTGGAGATCTGCGATCGTCAATCGAAAACTCACTCGCCATGACCGTCTCCGTCAACTTCACTGAGGCGGATACGGATAGCCAGTACTACTTGGATCGTCGGTACAACAACAACAGCTCTGGAAGATTGCGAGGGAATTACAACCCTCGCGGTGGACGCAGCGGATTCACCCGCGGACGCGGTGGGCTTCAGCACCGCTCTGGAGTCAACACACAAATCGACAAGAAATGTTACGTCTGCGGCAAGACAGGCTGTTGGTCCACAAACCACACGCTTGAAGAAAGAAAACGCTCAAAAGCGCAGTACATCACACACTGCGCGATTACGGGAGAGCAAATGGAGTTTAGCACATTTCTCGTCGCGTACGAGGGGGAAGAAGTCGACCAGTTCATCCTAGAGGAGCAAGACGAAGATGATGAGGACCAAAGACTGGCAGTTAAGTACCTCACAGATCAGGCCTTTCTGCACCACGTGACCGGAGAAGACGTCTACAGGTGCAAGGAGCCTATTACGCCCGCAACGCAGTTCCTTATCGAGGATCGATACTCGCGAATCACGTACCAAGGCATTCTTCCTGACACTGGTGCCTCAAATGTATCGACAGCCGGAAAGGAGCAGTTCCTGGCGCTCCAAACTGAGGACCCCACCGTAACTCTAGATACGTCTACTGCTGGAAACGCATCTGTGCAATTTGGCAAAGGAAGCGTCACTACTTCGATTGGAACCGCACATGTATCGACACAGATTGGAAAGATCAAATTTGAGGTCTTGAACGCACCCACCCCGTTTCTCCTCTGTCTGAAAGACATGGACCGGCTCCACGTGTACTTCAACAATACTACGGACCAGCTGGTACAAGGAAAAGCTACCTTTCCAGTGATTCGCAAATGGGGACACCCGTGGTTCCACCTAAGCAAGGCAGAGCGCGCGCGCGTATTCCTTACGGAGACTGAGCTCCGACGCTTACACCGGAGGTTCGGGCATCCAGCCGTCGAACGGCTGATACGATTGCTCAAACGCGCAGGACACGAGGACGTGGATGAACGGCTGCTCCGAGAGATCCAAACGTTCTGCCATCACTGCCAAGCGCATGATCCAGCGCCGCGCCGATTCAAGTTTAGGCTGAAAGATGATCGGGAATTCAACTTCGAGATCCTCGTAGATGTGATGTATCTGAGTGGGAAACCAGTGCTTCACGTGATCGATTCGGCTACAACATTCAACGGCGCGCGATTTCTACCGTCTATGAGCGCGAAAGACACCTGGGAAGCACTCCGCCTGCTCTGGATTGATACATATCAAGGGCCGCCAGATATCGTCACCCACGACGCCGGCACCAACTTCGCGTCAGTCGAATTCAGATCAGAGGCGAAGATCATGGGAATCACATGTAAACAAGTGCCAACCGAGGCCCATTGGTCTATCGGCAAGGTAGAAAGATACCACGCACCGCTCAGACGCGCGTACGAGATCCTGAGGACAGAGCTTGACACTGGCACCAGCGACGCCGCAGTGTTGCAGATGGCAGTCAAGGCCGTCAACGACACCGCAGGCCCAGACGGGCTCGTACCCACGCTGCTCGTCTTCGGTGCATACCCCCGGATATCCATGGATTCACCACCATCTCCCTCGATAACCCATCGCGCAGAGGCAATCCAGAAAGCGATGAGGGCGCTGCGGAAGGCTGCAGCGGAACATGCAGTGAGCAACGCACTTGGTACCAGGAATGGGCCTACCACAGACGGGGTACTATCACTGCCTCTTCAGAGTGAGGTGATGGTATGGCGCGAGAAGAATGGATGGCAAGGGCCGTATAGAGTCATCGATATGAAGGACCACGATGTTACTGTAGACATGATCAACGGCCCAACGACGTTCCGATCCACTGTCGTAAAACCGTACTATCGCGATCTGACTACAGCGATAGACGGCGCAGATCAAGGCACAGGTGGATCTCCGACCACAGACGAAGCGATTGCTGATGAACCGCCACTACCGGTACCACCGGCGGAAGCCACCCAAGCGGCTCAGCCGCGCAAGCGGGGCCGCCCACCTGGATCAAAGAACAAGCCCAAGGTGCAGTACCTGTCGAAGAAGGAGGAGGACGATTACGCCCTGGCCGTCAAGCTACGCAATGACGGCGTGATTAACGTCCCGGGCGCTCCATTCGAA